GAAACATGTCGCGAATTTTTCACTTGAAGCGGAAGTTTGGCCGGGAGCGCTGGACACGCTTCACAGCCCAGGCCTTGGTAGCAATCATCAAGATCTCATAAGCCATAATGAAAGCACTGAAGCCCAGGGCGACAGTGAAGGCGAACATTGCGTCCAGTTTGTAGTACTCCATCGCTTGAATCACATTGCGGGTCTAAGATCAACGTTAGTCATGCTCTTGGGCGACCTTATAAAGCTTATAGATGTATGGGCACTTACACTCATCATAAAAATTAGACCTCCCGAGATTAGGCAGAATGCAGCGATGATCTCTGTCGGCGGACGAGCCGGGAGGTACGAGGTCGGTGGCTTGAGGTACAACATAACATATGTCATCCCGCGCGCCAGCGCAAATCCAACCAACATGTTACCCCACTGCTTGTGTACCATAGTCGATGTCATGCTGTCCTGGTGGTGCGATCCCATCATCATGCCAAGCAACATAATGACTAGGGCTGGCATGGGGTTCAAGGAAACGCCCTGCGACCTCGGGGGCGTCCAGGCTTCATCCGAGGTAGCATGAGCAGGGGCTTGGAGGATGGTGTTGTTGACCCAGTCCCGGATGCAAGAAGATTCGAATAGCATACCGGCCTATTTTATGTTAGTTAGATTCCTATAAAGAGCCGAAAACAAGGAGGCTAAATCATACCAGACCGCCGCCGAAGAACAGCACGGAAATCGAAACGTGTTCGAGATCTGTAGCAGACCATGCCTTGCCCGCACTGGAGAGGTGCTCGAGGAAAACATTTGACGCGCCATATAGGAAAATGACAAACGACTCTGTAGCTTCCCCCGAGGGAACCTTGGCTTTCCAACCTACAATAGAAGCAGAGGGCTTCTTGTTCCAGGCCCAACCCAGATCTGCCCAGCAACCAATATAGCGTCCAAGTGTCAGGATACCGTACCAGAAGAAGATACCACCCTTGATGAAGTGTGCAAGCCCGTTGAAGATCTCACGACTCCTCATAATACCGCCGTACGTCACAGCTCCAGTCGCAATGGCTACAAATCCGAATGGAAGAATGACACGGTCAACGATGTTATACACGACATTCAGAGCGCGGAGAGCCCGGCTGGGAATCAGACCAGGGACGGTCTTGGACAGGAAGCGACCAATACTCGAGCGATGAATCCAGCCATGCTGGGTGGTAACCTTCCCTGGCAGTTCATCAGGCTTTTCGAATCCATCGTATTCGGTAGGCGAACCACAAGACGATCCAGGACTATGGATGGAAGGCGAGTTACTATCTGTGCCCTGGCCACTATCGCGAGACCAGCGATGCTCGCGCATGGTGTCGGTGAGACAAACACGCTCATTATCATGGTCGTCGGTCGCGACAGGGAAGAACGCAGCATGTTCATATGAGGGCGCATTCGAATTCGACTCGCCGCGGCCAGCGTAGGCAAAGAGCAAAGCCAAGACGACCTGGACACCGACAACACACGTCGCGAGCCAGCCGAGTTTGTGGTGTGCATTGTTTTCGTACAGGTTCGGCGTCTGGCTGTTGTAGACTGCCCCGAGTAGGACACCGAAAGCGTTGAAGGCCAGAAAGAGGAACTGCGATGGAAGCGCAAGCCATGAGCGCGCAATGCTCATCATGACAGCTATTCGAGGGATCAGTTCCTGTCCGTTTACTTTTCTTCGCGTTCAGAGCGCGACGACACTAGAGCTACTTACCGACAGGAAGAACAAAGCACCATCCCAGAACCATGAGGACAATGTGAGCTATGATGGTGCTGGAATGCTTGCCATACGCAAAATAGCTCATCGGACCATTGGTGTTATTTTGCGTCGCGGTAGTTGTAGGTTGCGGCGCGTTGGTGGCCGCACTCATATCCATTCCCATGTCCATTGATTCATCGTCACCGTGTGGAAGCGCGGTCGCAAGGGATGCGAGAAACAGAATGGAAGTTGCCGCCAATGCGACCCGAGTAGCTACAGGCCGCATCTGGAGGAAGATGTGTTATACTGCAACAATAATAATGTGTATGTTTGTATGTGCAAGAATGCAAGAATGCAAGTGGTCGCGAGATATAGAGCTCCAACCAGCTGAGGTCGAAGCTCTATCGAATCGTGACGTAGCGAACCTGTCAAACCGATGGCCTGGCCCGTATTTATTCTTGTTTTTTATACTCCTCCAAGTCTAGACAGGACTACTTGGGGAGGGGTTTGACGAACTAGACTGTTCGATTATGTTTGTAGTTGGAGATGAAGCTGTAGGGCTGAAGTATGTTGTATGAGACGGGTGGGAATGCTGTATATAAAGTCCAGGAGGGGCTAGGAATGAAGCACCGGGACACTGCTAACAAAGCTAAATAGAATAAAATAATTTAAAAAAATCAAAAAAGAGCTTGCCGGTGCCGATTTCCATTGCTTTTGAGAGAAAAAAAAAATATGAAAAATGAAAAAAATGAAAAAAAGAGAAAAAAGAGGAAAAAAAGTGCGTGGAAGAAGTAAGGCCCCTCTAGGCTGATATGCCCAACTCTGCTTATACTTTGTAACTAGGTTGATGTGATATTCCAAGGTTTTTCCTGTACAGTCGTTAGACTTTTTAAAAGTGTCACAAACTACACTCAATCATGGAAATTTGAGCCAGAGTTCTTGGTATGTTTCTTACCACCCAAAAAAAAAAATTAGGCTCTTCCTGTCACTCGGGTGTCCCGGGAGCCTCATCAAAGTGTGGAATTTGGTGACTTCACGAGTTCGGGAGGCTGGGAACCATGAAAACATGGAACCCCAACATTGGGGGCCTTTGCCATTGGAAGGCATGTATGTAGACCTACATCTGATGCCATACGCATATTGTACGGTGTACAGAGCGCCTAGGCCAATGACGTAGTCGATCGTTACCTTATTTGGACGGTGACCAGCCTGATCTTCTCAGTATCTTTATCTTACCCCATACAAACATCTATGTATAGACATGTAACATCATGGGGGATAGGATAAGTATGTAAATGGAAATATGCCAGCCTGCTTGGCTTCCAGCCTGACTATCTTAGGTTCGACTTCCAAGGTGATGATCAATGTGCAAGTCTAGCCCCGTTGAAGCTGAAGCAGATGATCACCAGAGGGATCTGTTCCTCCAATCACCGAGAGCCAACATACTTCTGTATGTACTAGTACTTATGTTGTATGCATTCCTGGTCAGATTTTCCTTACTATCCCTGTCTCGGCCTCCGCTCGCTTTGTTTTTCGAGCCGCATTTTTGGGCTGGCCCCGTCGTAGTGGGGGTGTATAGTATGATGGAAACTGAGTGCCGGACCCTCACTCGGATTTACCAAAACAGAGCAATAGGCAATGGATTCAAGCGGAAATACGGCACCTTACTTTATTACCCAAAGAGGTGATATTGAGGTAACAACATAGTTGCCTGAGGTAGCTCGCTTCCGTGATAATCCGAATGTAAAACGTTAGGATGGTCCTTACACCCCCGATACATAAAATTTCGTACACAGATATCATGTCATAGTAGAACATAAACCATGTCCAAAAGAACTGTTCGATCCAAGCCACCAGTATGTATCAACACATACCCGATGCATATCGTCATGTGGTGTCTTACCCACCCTGGTCCAAGCTCGTACAGCTTGACATAGCAATATCCTCGCCAAGCGCCCCCGCTGTACGGAGTACTCCCTTCTCCATACTTCGTGCAACAATGCACTATACTATACGGAGTACCACAGACGCCTTCTACTCAACTGAGACGCCACATGAACCATATAATTTTCCAGTAATAAAGAAATAAAGCAGCACCTGGCCATCGACAAAAGTCGGGGCCAAGCCCAAGCCGAACCCGAGTCCGGTTCTTGACGATTGGTGAATCGGCATCCGTGAGCATCCGGGGGACCTGAAAAAGGCTGTAATATTATATCCACGCACCTGCACGTCCCTATGATCTGCGTTGAATAATTGCTAATCCGTTGAGGTGAGTTCTATGCCGGAATGCAAAGTCCGCCTTACTTCCGAGCTCCGAGTCCATTTGTAAGTACTATATCCGTTCTCCGTATGAAGTGGAGTATACTATGTCTCCCACTACCTCGTGTTTGACTATGACATGAGCCAGAAGATGTCCTTATGACTCATGCTCGTTCACGCTTCAACCTAGGTAACCTTAAAAATCGCTGCTCTATGCCTTTCATTCGGTGGTTTTCCTGATGTCTAACACCGTAATTTTTCTAGATACCTCCATTGCGGCTGTACCCGGCTGTGATCAGACGGTGTGACCTGGCGCCATACTGCTGCATACCTTGATTTCTCATCCATGTCAAATCCAATAGCTCAGCTCTCTTATACTCTAAACACAAGACCCGATTGCTTATGATCCTTATCTAGTACCCTCAGCTCTCAGAATACTCCGCACAAACCACACAAATATAGGCCTTTGTTCCTGGACGACCCGGCAAAATCACAACCTTTAATCGATATTAAATATTACACGTGCACACCCCCAAGAAATATATTATTGCCAAGTTGAGAAAGCCTTGGAGTAATCGGAAGTTCGGCATAACTACTTTCCACACCCCGGCTCTGATCTAGCCGTTCCCCAGGGGTAATAATAATGACGGGTGACCAATGAGCATAATATGAATAGTACCTCAAGATCCCGTGTGATTAGCATGGGTGCAGGACTGGGGCACGGACACGAATATGGTCGAAGATACTCCGTACTCCGTAGTTAGGGGTTGACTAAGAGCACCCTTAAGCTAAAAAGTACGAGACGCTAAACCACATACTATACACTACGTCGGTAGCGTTCCCGGAGCCTTGGTTTATATACCACATGCTCATCCTATCAAAATCAAGTACATGTGAGCATGTCAGTTTCTCTCATCAAAGAGTAGATCCAGTTGCAAAAAAAAATAATAATAATAATAATAATGTCTTAGTGGTACCATATAGAGCCCTACAATGCATGTGCCGTCATCTAAATTGTCCATCCAGCTGAGGCACCCGGATGTGCTTAGAAGCAGAAGAAACCAGGTATATCTGGTTTGCCGACATTGAAGCCGCTACGAAGCATTCGCGGGCTCATGTACCGTCGGTGCACCCCGAGAGGCTCACCCAGCCCAGCATCAAAAGCTACACCCAATGCAGAGACAAGAGCCGTGCGAAAGGACGCCCACCCTCATCCAGACCACGAAGCAAGTTGTACAGCAAGCTGGAGCAGAAATGATTCCCAGAGAAAAAATTCCGTCATTGAAATTGTTAAGAAAAAACCAGGATGAGGGAAATAACATAAATCCTCGTTTTTCAAGACACTCCATGCAACAACCCCAAATCCTCCCCTCGGAGCCAAGATCTGGTGTGATTCGCAACCCCGAGACACCGGACACGCAGGCCCGATGTCTATTCCTCCATTCACAAAAACATCAAAGACGCCATTTTTGAGCTCGTCTGAAACATTGCTCCACTGGACGCTACCGTAGTCGAGCCGGGTGCGTAGATGGATTTCGTGGATGCGAACGGTTCGAGAGGAGGGAGTCAGCTTTTTTGCTCGCTTAGCGGTACTGTAGGTTGAGAAACTTGTGGTTAGTGTTGTGCTTTTGCAGTGTACATGTGTGGTGGTATTTGTGGTGGTAGTAAATTTGTCGGTTGTCGATTGGATTTTCATATCGGAGAATGTGGTTGTGTGGCATTCGAATGGGGATCGGATAGGACTGTCGAGCGAGGAATTGAAACGAACCTTGGTGAAACCGATGTCGGTGGACTTCTCACGGAAGCACTGACGGCAGATGTTCATCTAAAAAACCATCCGTATTAGCCACACAAGTCCATTTCACGTCACATATTGCCATGTGCAATATGCTTGAGGAATCGGTTTCTCCTTACGCCGTACTTGCGGATCAGACCGGCGCGGTGGGAGCAGACACGGCTGAAGGCGCACACATATTAGCAAGCCCGTTCCTTTTATATCGATTTTCGATTCCATCCAAGCCTCCTCCAAGTTTCATTCTGGGTGTCGACTGGATCGTTCATCGGGGGATTGTAGTAGGGTAAACACACCATTCGCGGGAGCCCTTGCCGTACCTATTGAAATTGTGGTTAGCCTTGTCGTTCTTTTTTCGATATGGTGCCTGATGTGTGTGCGTCGTGCGGTTTCGACTTACTTGCGGGGCCGGCTGTACCAAACGCTCTCGTGAGTCATCTTGAGGTTTTAAAGGCGGGACCTGGGAGTTGACGGGGTTGTTGACGGGACGAGGGTCGCTGGCGTTGGGCGTTAAGAACGGAGACAGGAGTTAGGGTTGGAATTTGCGTTGTGTGCTGCCCCAATGGGGAATAGGGCACGGGCCAACTCGCTTGGGTTGCGCTAGCTTTTTTGGTGGATCATGTGACTAATGGGCGATCACCACATCTCGGTGCCTCAGGCTGTTAGATCTTATACTTCAGATATTTTCGAGATTGATGTCTTTAACCGACTTCTCTGTTTGAAGGTTGTTATTGACATATATTCTGGCTCAAAACAGAATGTTTTCAGAATTATAAACTTGCAAAGTCTACGTGGGGTACTCTTGTAAATCCAATATACCACCTATAGTAGCCGGAATTCGTAAGGCTATGTACATACTTTGTGCAAGAATACTCGGCCGCGTTTGTGGCCTTGTGATATCTTTTTAGTTAGTATTTTTAGTCGTCTTTTTGAATGTCTTTGTTTTGTATATATTTTGCTGCTCATCTCAGTTGTATAGATAGATGGCAGAAAAAGGCGGAGAAAGGCTTAGTAGAATGGACTTTTCTATGTATAACTTAGGATGGATAGATGAATGGATGGATTAGTCGATATCTTATAAAAACCTCTAGGGTTCCTGAGGCTCTCTACTAGCCTAGTCCAGAAAGACCTTTTAGTCTAGGTCTAGGATAGTACAGCGTAGTACTGGTGCATTCGAAGGAATTAAGTGGCCATTGACGTGTGAAACTGATTAATTGTATTGAAGCCTATTTGTGCACAAGAAATCTACTTCTTTCCCTTCTCAGCTCGGAGATTACGGGCGCTGTAGAACAGGAGATAGGCATCCTGACGGAGGACTTCCGCCACGCCAGCGATGGTGACCTTGTTGTCATCCATCAGTACCCACTATACAGGCAACTCATTAGCAAAGCACGGATACAGAGGGGACAAATGTTATTGAGTAAAACAAACCTTGTCATTGTCAATCCGGGTGTAGGCATAGTAATGCCCAGAGTCCATTGTTCCTTGGTGAACGATGACGGTGGACAGGTCGTACATGTAGTTCGACATATCAACAGGGAGGTTGTCTTTTTTGACAGTGTACGGCAGCATATTCACAGACAAAGGGAAGTCGATATGGCCATTCATCTTTTCCGATGAGTTGGAGGAGTGTTCATAACGCTATGCGAATATTAGCATAGAATGGTATTTAGAGACATTCAGAAACTCAAACAAACCTTCAGTTGCATGCAAAGCATGACAGGGAGTTTTCGGATCTGCAGGCGCTTTGAAGCCCGCTGAGGAGTGTTACCACACTTCTCGCAGTGGTAAGCAGCATCGGCGTGGAGATCTTCAGCAGCAGTGAAGCTGTCCAGACAGCCGAGGAGGGTTCCAGTAGTAGACGAAGTAGAGCGACCGAGCTTGCGCTTCTTGTGCTGAAGCTGGACATCAAGACTCAGATCGGCCATGGGGTCGTGGGTGTTTGTGGTTTGGCCGCATTTGTGGCACATGACGCTGCTGCGCAGTTCGCCGTAGAACATCTGGTGGAAGAAGCAGTTGCATGGTTTGTCATAGCTCTCCACGTGTCCTGGTGTGGAGGAGTGCAGTTCATTGACAAGGAATTGGAAGTATTCGTGGGCGTCTTGCTGACGGTATCCACGCATTTCCTGTGAACTAGTTAGCCAGTGTTGTTGGTCAACTCGGACTTCGGACGTACCTTGGATTTTTGCCAGCCATGGTGAAGAAGAACAGCTGCGGAGACTGCTTCGGTTTTATCGGCGCTGTTGAACTCCATGAAGACTTCAGCTGTCGCACAGGCAAGACACTCCTTGATTGTGCATGTGTGAACGTCATGGCCACCTCCCAGGAAATAGGCAGTGAGGCTAGGATCGTGCAGCATGGCCTGCAAGATAGAAGATTGGTAGCATGTTTGACCCATGTTCCAGACACCACGAGCTCCACGGATATTGCATGGGTTTTTGTAAGCATTGTTCTTGACGTAGACCTCGGAGGCTGAGTCTTCGGCCCAAATGGATCGACCATCTACCATATGTTAGTAGATGTCCATGGGTTGGATAATTTGGAATTGCCCGAGACTCACCAATGGCTTCAAACTTGCCAGAAGGGCCACGGAGTCTGTCCAGGGTGTGGTCATATATGAAATCGACACACTTCTCACAGAAGACAAAGCGGTTGCGAGACTCAAGATCTGCCTTTGTGTAAGTATTAAAAAACTTGGTCAGTCAGAGACCATTGGCTTACAAAATGCATGCCCAGTCGCTGCAGTGTGTTCCGCTCGCTTGGAACCCAGGCATACTTCTGCGCAACTCAAACAGTGATACTTCGGCTTGAGAGATTCCACAGTTCGGAGGCCAGTAGTTGGAGCAGCTACCGTATCTGTCTTTGAGAACGGAGCTAGCAATTTGTATTGCCTGCTGAATTCCTCTCTGAACTGGCCAGCAGTCTTCTCGTCCTTGGAGAGAATAGCCGCGAGGTGAACTAGCGGGAGGTCAGCTGGGCATGGATGAGTCAAGGCAATTGCCAATTCTTACCACAGCCAAAAGCTGCTTCAGAAAGCAGCTGGACAGAATCGAGGGTTGCCATAGTGAGCGACATGAGTATGGTTGGGAAGAAGAGAGCAAAAGAGATAGGGTGGAAAGGAGAAAGTTAAGATTGTTCAGAAGCACGACACAAAGATATGTAGTAAAAACACGTTAATAGAAGTTCCAGACTTCTATCCACGTAGAGACAAGAAGAGGAGGTTGAAAGAGAGTCTTCAAGGGAGAGAGAAAGGCTGGTAATAAAGAGACCAGGTACAGCCTCAAGGACTCCTCCTATATAGGGCCAGCATTGCACTGTATAAACAATAAGCATCAATGAGACGGTCAATCAGAGAGTAACGGAACAATAGGACTCACGAAAGTAAGTGAATAGGGACAATAGTAGACGAACAGATGGAAGCTATACAGTCCACAAAGGGTTGCGAATGACGTGATTCGATCACAACCAAAGTTCAGATAATAGGACCTTATTCAAGGGCAATGAATATAAATATAAAAGTCTATTATCCAAACGAATGGGGTTAAGTCTCCTGGATTTTCAAAAGTAGTCGTGGGGAGGTTGATTTGCCATCGGGCGGTGGTTTTTCGCCTGGCCCCGATTTACCGATTTACCGCCGGATAAGAGATCGGACAGCTTCAAATGGCAGAAGGCAGAAGGCAGAGACCCTTGTTTTTTAGTTTTCTTGGGGAAGACTTTATATAGTATTTAAGTATATATAAGGTTGATTTTAATGTTGTACAACCTCTGGGTGACATGGTATAGTTATAGTTTCTCATTCAATGGTCATTTCTAGGGAATCATAAAAAGCAGATGCGCTAGCCCATTCCAGGTGAAAGCTATAGGTAAAAGTCCAGCTCTTGGATGCCAATAGCCAGACATGTAGCATGAACTGCTTGCCCATAATTCGGGCACTCGGACATCCGGCTCTTTACCGAGTCCCAGTCCCCCTACCCCGAGGGAGTGCGCTGGGACGAGCGCCGCGCGCAGCGCCTCGTGTAGTATACCGACTGGTTGCTGCACCACGAGCAGTGCCACGCGACGATACTCGTGAGCCCGCAGCATATTTGGACGTCGGTCTAGAGGAGGTTGTGGTGGTGCTCGGAGGATTCTCAACAAAAGTCGTATCCGTAGTCCTGAGGCGTAAGAACCCATTAGCTCAAGATCCTGTAGAGGAATTGTCGCATCGCTCTCCGGACTCACATAAAGGTCATCTCGCCGTCATCAATCGGCCGTGTTGGTTCTGATTCCGCTTCTGGGTGGTTGTTAGCAACCCCGATTCACCGCACCTAGGTAATCCCCATGGAGAGCGCTCGCATTACCTTTCTCTTCTTCATCCTGCTTAGCTTTTTTGAACGAGTCTGGAATCGGAGCCTGTATCGAATGAATCAGCAACCTGTCGCGCACTGTAACCCCTGCACAACTGCCGGCGACGCGTTCGCGACCATACCTCTGGGAAATCCACACAGAATGCGTTCATATTCAATCCGTAAAGGAAACTAGCAAAACTCTCACTGAAGCGTGTCAGGCTCTCGTGCATCAGCTGCAAGTGCATGAAGTTGGCCTCGAGATCTGCCATCGAATCGGCCAGCTCGGCAAATTGTGGCTCCAAGGCATTGATGGCGGGTTGTGTGTATCCTGCATTTCCAATGCTATTTCCATATCCGTGGGCCTCACGTAGTGAAGAGCGCGAGCTTGGGCGTAGAGGGGTTGTGGGCCTGGATGAGGGTCTCGGGCGCGAGGATGATCGAGGTGCGTCCATGTCTGTGATGTGTTTGAGAATGCGATCGGAGTGTTGACGAGAGATAATGCGCTAATGATAAGAGGGGTTGTTATTGCGAGACAAGTGGGTTGTCTGAGTGATGTTGAGTGGGTTGTGTTTGGGATTGTTGATCTCCCCGGAAAGATCTCGCACGCGACACAACTATACTTGCAACTTTGAGATGAGAACTGTGGAACATGTATTAGATGAACTCGAAGTAAATAGAAATTATTACTTTGAATTAATTCAGTATTCTACACCACATGCCTCTTTTAGGAGATGATCTTCCCCGCATCGTCATGTCCTTGATTCCGCTCTCACTCATTTTCCTTCCTCATTCCTCCAGGGCTAAGACCTAGTGCTCACTCACCATCACTCAGATCACCTCAATTATACTGCTTATGCGTGGTATAATCCTACGTCGTCTCTATCCTTCGGCCAAGTTCCCTGTCGCTCGGTATTCATTCGCGCGACCATTCTCCACACACCCAGAACCACAGAAGGCTTCATCCTTTTGGACCATCACATTTACACTCGCTGTCGTTGGAGGAGGCGCTTGGCTCCAGGACAGATACTTCAATCCCAAAGAGACAATCACTTCGCAGCCCCGACTCCCTCAAAAATCCTCCCTCGGAGTAATCGATACCCTTGCGACGATGCCCGCCGAAGTCGCCCCCGGAACAGTCGGGAACCTCACCCCAGAGCAAGAAATCAAGCTGAAGGAATTTTGGGTCTTGGCACTCAAAGTCTTCGGCCTCACACTCGAAGACCTCGAAGCGCCCCCATCCACCGCCACCAGCGATGCCCCAACACCCGCCCCAGTCCAGGATAAGAAGAAGTCCAAGAGCCGGTGGGGAATTTGGGGCCGCGCCGACGACGAAGACACGAAGAGCGGTTCCGGCAGCGGCGCCGCTTCCAGCGTATCTTCAATCAGCATCGCCGATGGCGACGACAAGTACGGCCAGTCCAAGGAGTTCAAGCAGGCGCTGGAGGACATGAAGCCCGAAGAGATCCGGACAGCGTTCTGGAGCATGGTCAAGGGCGATAACCCGGACTCTCTGCTTCTGCGATTCCTGCGTGCGCGCAAGTGGGATACCAAGAAGGCGCTTGTTATGTTGATTTCCACGATGCGCTGGCGACTGCTGGAAATGCATGTCGACGACGATATCATGTTCAACGGTGAGGCGTCGGCAGTGAAGATGTCGCAGGGCTCTGATCCCAAGGAGAAGAAGAAGGGTGACGACTTCCTCACGCAGATGCGCATGGGTAAGAGTTTCCTGCACGGCGTTGATCGCGCTGGTCGGCCCATCTGTGTTGTCCGTGTGCGCTTGCATAAGGCTGGTGATCAGGATAACGAAGGGTTGGAGCGCTTTACTGTTTATACCATTGAGACTGCGCGTTTATTGCTTGCACCGCCGATTGAGACCGCGGTAAGTATTCCGGTGTGAGCGTTGTGTTGCGGTAACTGACTCTTGCAGACTATTGTCTTTGATATGACGGACTTCGGTATGGCCAACATGGTAAGCTTTTCGTCTCAACGTCGTCCACGCTATATACTAATATCTCCCAGGACTACGCCCCCGTGAAATTCATGATCAAGTGCTTCGAAGCCAACTACCCCGAGTCTCTCGGAGCAGTACTCATCCACAAGGCCCCTTGGCTATTCTCAAGTCCGTATCCCATATCCCAGCATCATATACGAATCACCCCTTTCTAACTATAACCCAGGCATCTGGAGCGTGATCAAGGGCTGGCTCGACCCAGTCGTCGCAGCAAAGATCCACTTCACAAAGAACCGCCAAGATCTCGAAAACTATATCCACCCAAGCCAGATCATGAAGGAGCTCGAAGGCGACGAAGACTGGGAATACAAATACGTCGAGGTGCCGGAGAACGAGAACCCCAAGATGGCCGACAAGGAGACACGGCATACCCTGATGGCCGAGCGCCAAAAGCTTGCCAAGGAGATCCAGGATACCACCGTTGAGTGGATCCGCGCCAGCTTCAAAAAGGAGACTGCCGCTGCCTCTGCTGCTGAGGAGAAGCGCAAGGGTTTGATCGAGCAGCTGCGTGCGCATTACTGGGTTCTTGACCCGTATGTTCGGGCTCGCTCGTTCTACGACAGAACCAATATCGTTCAGGGCGGTGGGAAGATTAACTTCTATCCTGGCTCGGAGAAGGAAGCAGAGAGTACATCGGCATAAGTTGGTGATACATGAGTTGGGTGGTGTATTTGATATTGATTGATTTTTACGCTTACCTGCTAGATATTTAGAGTCTTGATTTTGCATGTTTGTAACATACAGACTTGGTTCTTGTTAACTAGAGGATATACGAATAGTTTGGTATACATTCAATGATCAGAGTTTTGAGAGTAGATCCAAATTGGCTTCCTACTTCGGCGTTCAGCAATTCCATCTACTCAAGCTGGCACTGCAATCCTTCCCCTTTCTCCGACAGAACGTGCACGGTCTACAGGGGTGTTTGAAATCATAAGGCAAATGGACATAACTCGGGTTTCATTTTCATCGAGTTCATTGTCCTAGGCCAAAGCCGTTTACAAATTCGACTTGATCTCCTCGTGAAGAGCCTTGAGCTTAGCCATATCCGTCTCCTGGGCAGGCCAGCCAACGATCAGGCCCTCCTTCTCGTTGGGCTTGGGGATCTATTGTCTTGTCAGTGTATGTTCCGAATACAGGTCCTAGCATAGGACCAAGTATCCAAAAGATAGTAGAGCATACCATGTGGAAGTGGACCTGTTAGAGAGGACTGGTTAGCACCGTAGCACTTATTAGAGAGATCCTTTGGAACTCACATGTTCAACGACCTGGTGCGCAATGCTTCCATTGTTCTGCAGGATATTGAAATCCACGGCGCCGGTGGCCTTGGCAATTTTCTTCGCGACGGGCTGTGGACGTACACCTTCGTTAGCTGTGTCCCTACTCGCCAATCCTTCCGGGTCTCGGAGGGACCTTGCGGAAGTGTCCCCAAGGTCCTCGTAGCGATGCAATCGAATTCAATCAGAGACTGAAGACATTGACCTTCCTCGTCATCCTCTTCGTCGTCCTGGGTTGCTCTCTCATCGACTTACCAAGATCTCGAGCAGGTCCTCATCGGGAATATCGGTCAGCTTCGCGCCGTGGAACTTAGGAATGACAAGCTGTGCATGTTGTCAGTTTCGTATTTCATTTTTCTGGGCTTTTAATCATTGGTCTTAATTGCCGGCTGAAGCTATCACCGCAGTTCGGGCAACTTCGCTGGCGCCCCGCCACGAGCAACACGCCAGATGCGGGGAAGGGGAATCGTAGGGAATGATACGTACCGCATGGCCACGGCTGAGGGGCTGGATATCGAGGAAAGCGAAAACCTTCTCGTTCTCGAAGAGCTTCAACGAAGGGATATCTCCTACATTGCCACGAATGAAGCATGTCAGTAAGCTCGTGATTTGCTATGACGTGTCGAATTGAATATTGCAATGGAGGTGTAGATATAGTGATATAAGCAGTAGACATACCCTTGATGATCTTGCAGAAGATACAGGCAGCGGATGACATGTTGTAAGGTTTTTTTTGGGGAGGGCTGGATAGATGATCTTGAAGTGAAGCTCAATTACGTCCAAACCCAACCAAACTACTTCGTACTACTAATATTAATATGCGGGGTCGAAAATAGTAAATCGACTGGCAAGTTTCGAACACCGGCCGTTCCGTGTGCGCCCGGGCAGCCAAAAATGGAAAGGCGGTATACTATAATACAATTAACAGAAGGCTATCCGAGGAGTGGGACAAGTTAGTGCAGAACCCATTTCTTGCCTTTTACCAGAGATGGCCGTGATTTGCCCACAATACTCCTCTCATAAATCTTTGGAAACACAATGACACAGCGGTCATTATTTTTATTTTTTGCTTCTTGATTATGTAGACAGGTTAATTCTTTGTATTTAGTGGTACGGTGTAGTACAACATAGAGAGAGATGTGTGTATGTGTGTGAATATGTGTATGGAGGGGATATATATATGTATCGGGTTTTAGGCTGCGGATGAAAAGTATCTCACGGCAGGGATTACTCAATGACCACTTAATCCATCCATGGATGAATTATAGTTATAGTCAGCAGTCAGATATTCCTTGTTAGGTTGGTCAGACCCTTGCAAATGCTTGAGAACCCCCGAACTCTCCTCTATTGAAGCGCATGGCCATCGGATTCCTATATCACTACGGAGTAGACATACAGCAATTGGAATTTTGGAGTCTTCACGTTGGCCCTCGCTTGCTGTTTCACTTTTTGCCGAAGGTTGAAAGTTGTTAGATAACGCATTTACCATAACAAACTACTCTATACACGATGCACATGAAAAAGAACGTTGAGATGGAAAGCTAAAGGAAAACTAGGAAGGGCAGAGGGGAGCTCATGTCCCTTGAGGAGTTTGATGGCCCTGGCTCGGAGCACGTCTGAAAGTCACGGTTCAAAACAGTTCCAACCACTCCAGATCGTCTAAACTCTTCACCAGTCTCTCCATGGCCACCTCCAAAACTGCATTTGAAACGGTAAAAGTGACTCTGAACCATCCATTTTCTGGCTCTTCTGCAAAATAGTGTGCACCGTCTTTGATTGACAAACCATTTCGTTTGCAGGTGTCCACAAGCAACCTTTTGATATTCGACACGTTGGGAGACGGGGTCAAAGCATCAGCTTCAACAATGCGAGCCGGGAAAAGGCGGATCCAGAGGTAAAATGCAGCGTTGCTACGGAAGAAAACTCTTAGCAAGTGGTATAAAGGGGGGTGAAGAGGGGCCATCATTGTGAAAGAGATGCGAAGATAAACATTTCAACATACCTGCCCCTCAAATAAGGAATCCGATGCTTCTTAAACAACGACATGAATCTTCCATAGCTGGCCGCCATTCGCTCGTGATTTGTTTTTTTTTTTTTGAACCAGTCCAGAAATTCCTGGTCTTCCAGTATTTGCGCCCAGAGGTCCTAAGTAAGATAGGCGGGCCAAGCAAACAAGCTATATAACAAACCAAGGTATCAGCAGTGCATACCATCTCAGTATGGGAAGTAACTTACTTAATGCTCGCAACTGCTTCCAGCAAATCCTTATTTCTTGTCTGAAGCACACCGAGGCGAAGACCATTCGCACAAAAGTCTTTGCTCATGCCATACATAATGTGAATGCGAGATTGACTGATGATTCCATCAAGATTCATACTTAAAGCGGATGTAAACTGCTGGGCGTGCAGCTCATCAGGGTTGACGAAGACCGAGTTTGCGTAGATTTCATCACATATGAGATGGAGGTCATATTTGTCGCAGAAGCGAGCAACTTCTTTGATAGTTTCAGGTGACTATTAACGTTGAAAAAGTTAGCACCGCTTCTATAGAATCTCCTCGGTCATTTACTAGGGAGGATATTAGAACATACGTAGCATCTCCCTAACGGATTGTGAGGGCTATATGATGTTAGAAACATACTTTTTGGAGTATGGTCTTCTAAACTCACTTCAAAAGTATCACCGCACGAACCTTGATGCCTTTCTCTGTGCCTTCTTTATAAGCACGCTCGAAGGCTCTGCGGTTTGCTTCTGGCTCAAATGTGTGGTCGACCGAATACTCTCGATCTGGTTCTAGAAAGGAAACAGGAATCATTTGTCCGCGGCTGCGCATCTGAATATCAATCTCAAATCCAACATAAAGTGGCTGCGGGATCAGAATTCCTTCATTATCATCGCAGATACACCATGTCAAGGTATCAATCAAAGCTGCGACTCCCGAAGTCACTAGGATTTCATTCTGTGAAACAGGCCTAATTGGGTCGAAATTGGTGTTAAAGAAGTTAGCCAATGCTTTAAGCAGTCGTGGTGAGCCCACTGGTCCTTGGCCGTAGGTCAGATGTGCGGAAAGATCAACGTTGAACTAGTTTCCTCCTAGTTAGCATTTTATATTCGACCCCCGTTCGACGAATACTTACCCCAGTCTTCAGTCGATCGGATATTTCCGTGTGCATGAGATAATTTTCAGCGAGACCCAAATTGATTCTATTATGAGTTGACTAGTCAGCATTGGAAGCCTCCAGGGCTGTTTCAGTCTTTGGCATTGTAAACTCTCACATTCCATTTGGATTATCGATTTTGTCGTAAGGCACCGCTAGGAGTTTACGGATGTCCCTCCAATACTCATTCCGAACGACGTTCTCGGCTCCTCGGAGAGAAAGTCCTGCCTGGGTTTCAATTGATGGCCCCATTATGTGTGCACAAAAGGTTCTTCGTTTAATTGAGGTAAAACAAAAGAAACAAAGAAAGAAAGACAATTATGAGATATCTATTTAGCCCTTGTTTTATTGAGTAATTTTAACTTTTTCCCCTCCGATTCTACGATTCTAGGGCGGTGGATTCGGTTATACAAGGAAAAGAGTATATGAAAGAGGCTAGGAATGAGTCACTGAGTGAAATAAAACCAATACTATAGTGTAAAAGGGAGAGAAAAAGGAGTACAAAGTATGTTGTACGGAGTAGAGTTAATGTTAACGGAAGGCGTTGGTCTCCACTGCGAAGCATCGGTGTTGATATAAACCCACTAGGTGGGAGTCAATTGGTGGAATTTCCCTAGCGTCAAAGGCATTCTCCGTAAGATTAGCTATAACGTCAATACTCATGAGTGTGTACGGAGTAATTTGTAAATTTTACGTTCTCGTTTCAGGGAGATGTCTTGATCGTATTCTTACTAGTATATACGTTGTACTCCGTACAATGTATTGAAACAATTGGCAACATATTGAGAAATTCAAAATATCATTTACACGGGTGGGTCTAGCTATATAGATTAAAACAATAACAGGACGATATCTTTTCAAGATCTTTCCATCTTTTTTGCTTGTTTGTCAAGATCATACTGCGCTGCCCTGCGAGTTGTGAGCTCCGACAACTCGATTCCTGTGCTACTACCCATTTGCCTGAACCCATCGATCACTCCGTTTCTATCACCGAGACCCTTTTCCTGGCTCATCTTGAATCGTCCGGCTAGTGATGTGATCTCTATCTCAATGCCCACGAGGTTCTTCTTCAAAAGCTCAATGTAGGATGTCGGGGCGTCGGAAACCCTCCAAGGACGACCCTCGTGATCCAGGCCAAGTCGCAAATGCGAATTCTCCGCATGCGAAGACAAATCAGACAGTTGCTTGTTCAAGTACTCTCCAAACTCTGTCGACTTTGTATCGATATATATCTTTGCGCGACCGTAAACTTGAACGGCCTCGTAGTTCCAGGTCGGCACAACTTTCCCTGTTGAGGGCTTTGTTGCTTTATAAAACTTCGGGGTTACATAGTGATGGACAGGTCCAGTAAACACAACCAGGACCTCTTCCTCAAGATATTGAGACTCAGGAGATTTCGATAGAATTTCGATCATGGCTTTGGCCTGGGGGTTTGGGCGGGCAATGTGCCCACGTAGCTTTCCAAGCTTGGTTCCATTTTCGCTCTCGCTATCGACCACCCAGGGAATGTGGCTCGCCTGAACTAAAGGATGGGAGGGAACCCGGATCGATGTAGTCAGAAGACCCAGAGGGTTGTCGCGGATAAATTGGTGAAGAATTTATGGTCGTAGCTCTGCATTGTATGATGGAAGATGCATGCTGTAACACAGGTGGATTTAAATATAGTCCACATGAGAAGGAGATCAGGGACTCTTGTATGATAGACTGTACAGACAGAAAGAAACAATAATATTCGGTAGTAAGCGAAGAGGAGAGGAATCAAGTCATTTTATATACTCCGTAGTGTATATTACTAGAGGTTTGATTACCGGAAAGCTCCGACTTGCTTACGCGTAAGTCCGATTACTGGAGCAAACTTACACGGACATTGCTTTCCCATCTCAAGTACTCCCGGTAAGATGGTATTTCAGAATTTATAAGTTCGTATTGAATTACCCCTCGAATCTCAATGCTATCAAACAAAGTGTCTTAGACTCCGGCACAGGGGCTTCATACCAAGAGCCAGCGCTATGAGGAAGCAAGAAAGCGGATGGGACGATGGATGATGCTGGAGTGGACAGTTTCTGGTAAATTATCACGGAAAGAACAGGCTTGGGGGTGCAACCTCTCGCCCTAGTGAGGATGTTCCATGATTCGGGAATTGTTTCGTTCGCACCCGCCGTACGAGGGTAGCAAAACACAATTATAAGGCCCCGGGCCGTCGTGAGAGACACAGATGTAGAACCAGTAGCCAAATCACCTTGTGTTTTTCTTTGGATGCCGTTGAGGCATTGATGGTATCCAGTTCTAGTTGTTCGTTTTGACGGAAGATACCGAGTCTATAGTACTATGAGTCAACAGCTATCAATTCCAGGATTACTGACGACCAAAGTTAATGAATCTTTTGTATGTGATTGCATTTGCTTGATGGGAATATATTGACATCTTCATAAATTTGCGACAGGCCAAATCACCCGACCAAAGAGAGTTAGCGTCTATTAGTAGAAATTAATCATAGTGTCTTAAGTGTACATGCAAATCGTTACATATCTGTGTTGTAATTGATGTATGAGTGGAAACGTCACTTTAGTATTAAACTTTTGGACTCTGCTTCTAGCTATGTTACAATACGTGGTTGAGACAAAACCCTTTGAAAAATACATGGACCATACAAAAGCGCATATTGAGTTTAGTCATTGATGTATAAAGCCCTGGAGCCATGTGATAATACATGGCTGAGAACCGAGTGTTAAACACGGAAATGGACCGCTTTGACGGCGGGTCCCATACAAAAACACATATTGAGCTTTGTCATTGATTTCCGCGCAAATTGTCTAATAATCTGTCATCCATACCATACATCCATGGATTGCTGTACACGAGATTTCTGTCAATGTATACAGTCCTGTACTGGATAGATTGCCAGAAATAGCGGATGTTGTCACTCTAGCTAGCTAGTTAGAGTTATGCATTGTCATTGACCATACCATACTTTGTACACCTTGATTCCTGTCAGTTAGTCTGGTGATTTTGGAGTCTCAGCACAGAAGTGGCGTCGGAAAGCAGGTGATGCTACGGAGTACTTGGCGAACAATCCATGGATTCCGAGGTTGCTTATGGATGCTTACCAACATAAAGTTTTTTAAAGTTCTCGTAATTATAAAGCTTAGAATACTATATAATGTATTCCAAGGTTAATAAGAAGACATTTTAACCTTGGAAATCAAATACTCTCCTGCTTTAAACATAAGATATAACCGGACGTTCCCTCCGCATATCTTTAATTCAGGTTCGCACACGAAACCAAAAAAAGTCGACTTCACTTACAATCTAATCATGCATCTCATGATTCTCGGTGGAAGTGGGAGAACAGGGAAACTTGGTGTCAAGTATGCCCTCGATAAAGGTAAGTGTAGTTAGTACCTTATGGGTGGCTTCATACTTAACTTTTAAGGTTTATACTGACATCTCTTTCAGGTCATAAGGTCACCGCCCTAGTTCGAAATGCTGCATCGCTCCAGCCGCACGAGAGCCTCACGGTGGTGACTGGGTCGGTCTTAAGTCAAGATGATATGGATCGTGCCTTTACAGCCTCATCCGATCCAGTTGATGCCGTTGTTGGATTTTTGAACGCTACCCGTACTTCCGACATGCCATGGGCCAAGCCTCTTGCACCACCTCGCTTCATGGCTGATTCTGCTGCCAATGCTGTTGCTTCTCTTCGAAAATACTCCACAAACTCTACACAAAAGCCTCGCATCGTTATTTTGAGCGCACTTGGGGTGGGTGACAGTTTGCAAGTGACACCATTGATACTGCGACTTCTGGTGAAACATACAAATCTGGGAGTCGCTTATAAGGACCATAACCTTGTGGATTCGGAGATTGAGGCGAACTGCGGTGATGAGATTGACTGGACACTTGCTAGAGCTGTAATGCTCGGAGGAAATGGTAAAGAAGTCAAGGCCATTAAGGGGAACCAAAAGGGCGCATCTTCATCAATTAGCCGGCAAAGTTGCGCAGAGTGGCTGGTCGATGTTGCAGCTGGTGAAAAGGGTGATGAATATAGCAAAAGTCGGGTTATTATTTCAAATTAAGACCAAATTTTATATAAAAATTGACAGAAATATGACTCCAACATATCCAACAATGTATGGATCCCAAGATCTTCACTAGAGAAACCGACCTCGGGAGGTATGCTGCCTTGACTAAGCTTGTTTTCACATGAACTCTTGTCAAACGAGAGAAAAAAGATCAACACCTATCGGTAGGATGTCGTTCTTTCTTGGTTTCAATAAATCATGACACGCCCCTTCTCCAATGACCATCTTGGGGTAATTCTTGGCATCATGGAATATAATTGTAGATTCCTTGGGACGTGTTAGATAGAACATTGAGAAAACTCGAGTTTTACGTGATATTAATAAATTAGATGGAAAACTTTTAAATATCCACGGGTGTAGGGGGATTTTTGGTTTAGGCTGTATTAGGGCTTTCTAGGGGTTGGCTCTAGGGGGGTTAAGGGCTTGGAGAAAGGCCTGTTGAGATGCCAATGTAGGTAACCAGGAAACCAATTCACTGGCCATAATTTAATTGTGTATAGAAGAACATCACAGTGATAATTGATAGACACGAAGAAAGCCTGGGGAACATCCAATCACAGTCCAGGTGTTGTCAGATCAAAACGGGGATTTTCTCCTACAGAGGTTGTAGACCTAGTAGCCAATCGATTTCAAGTAGTAGACTAAATTCAAATCAAATGAACAACCGGCATCCACCATATCAACCGAGTTCAAACAACAAAAGGGACGAAAGATGAGAAAGTGAATTGTTAAAGTGGTGGTCCGTACTCCCGAATCAGGACTAGCGCAATAGTCCCGTGCGGTTCTTCCGACTTGACGCTGCGAAAGACCCTCGCACATCACCACGCCCTTCTTGGCAACACTCCGCTCCAATTCGCTGGTCTCGAGAGATATACTCAGCCAGAGACCATGCAGAAGTCTCGCACTATCAACACCGCCCTGGGGGCCCGTCCCTTCGTGCCTGTCCCGCGCGTTCAGCTTCAGTTCCAGCGCAACCTTCAGGATGTCCGCATCACCCGGACTGGCAAGCCCCTCGTGAAGGTCCAAGGTGGCCGGTAAGTGATCAATTGTGCTGTGGATAAGCTTGCCATTCTTGCTTGCTGACGCGCTCTTCCTATAGTTCTTCCATTGGAGGTAGCTAAACCTTTCCATTTTGATCCTACGCTTCGGTCCCCATGTGCTCACACAATTCTAGGTCACACTGCGACCGTCTTCGGTGCTACTGGTTTCCTTGGTCGCTACATTGTCAACAAGCTTGGTAGGTTGAGAGTCTGCTGTATTGCAATTGGATCATGGACTAATGGCCCGCAGCTCGCCAGGGATGCACCGTTGTCATTCCCTACCGTGAGGAGATGGCCAAGAGACACTTGAAGGTCACTGGTGATCTTGGACGAGTTGTGTTCATGGTATGGAGCCTTCCTACAGTATACGTTGTTCGAATTGATGAGGGTATCTGACCCCAGTATAGGAATACGACCTGCGCAACACCCAGTCCATTGAGGAGAGCGTTCGTCACTCCGATGTTGTCTACAACCTTGTCGGTCGCCAATATCCCACCAAGTGAGTTATAGTGTGTGGTATACCTGAATAGGTGGTTTCTGACGACCCCAGGAACTTCTCCTACGAGGACGTCCACGTCGATGGTATCGAACGTATTGCCGATGCTGTTGCCAAGTACGATGTCGACCGCTTCATCCACGTTTCTTCCTACAACGCTCGCCGTGACTCGCCTTCCGAGTACTTTGCCACCAAGGTCAGCATATCTACCCGAACTATATAAGAATGACAGCGCTGATGATATATAGGCATGGGGTGAGGAGATCGTCCGCAAGATCTACCCCGAGACCACAATCGTGCGACCTGCACCAATGTTCGGTTTCGAGGACAACCTCCTCCACAAGCTGGCCAAGATGGGCAACATCTTCACCTCCAACCACATGCAGGAGCGCTACTGGCCCGTTCACGTAAGTTGTTCTTCCCGGGTGAACAAGCTGCATTGAACTAACCCTGTCTAGGCCATTGATGTCGGTACCGCTCTGGAGCGCATGCTGCACGACGACAGCACCGCCGGTCAGACCTTCGAGTTGTACGGCCCCAAGAACTACTCCACCGCCGAGATCGCCGAGTTGGTCGACCGTGAAATCATCAAGAAGCGCCGTCACATCAACGTCCCCAAGGCCCTCCTCAAGCCCTTCGCCCACTACATCAACAAGCTCCTGTGGTGGCACACCCTGTCCGCCGATGAGGTGGAGCGCGAGTTCCTCGACCAGGTCATCGACCCGAATGCCAAGACCTTCAAGGACCTGGGCATGGAGGAGACCGCCGATCTGGCCAACCTGACCTTCCACTACCTGCAGGGCTACCGTAGTGCCTCTTACTACGATCTGCCTCCCTCCACGGAGCGCGAGCGCCAGGAGGACAAGCGATACCTGCACGTGCTGGACGATCAGTAGTTTGTGTTTTTAATGTGTAAATAAGCCTTCCTAGACCAAAGTCGATTTCCTTTGTTGGATGAGTGGTGCATGAACATAGTACAGTAGACCAGTAGACAAGCTCGCAAAGTAAATATCTAGCTTTTATAAAACCAATCGCATTCTTCAAAAAGTCCAATATCAAAAACTCAATTCCCCAAAGCTCCCCGCACTCGATAACATCATATCAATCCACCTCCAATCCTTACCTACCTCATCTTCACCTTCACCTTCACCTCCACCTCTAAACCAACCTCCCACAATGTCTCCAACACCAATCCTCCTCCTCAAAACAAAATCCTCTCCCCACGATGGCTACGAAGACTTCTTCTCCGCACAAAACTACACCCCCACCTTCATCCCAGTCCTAGAACACCGCTTCCTCAAAAACAACCTCACCCAAGTCCGCGACCTATTCAGCACCGGCGCATTCAACAACAATGCCTCAACCCCCAGAAAATACGGCGGTCTAATCTTCACCAGCCAGCGCGCAGTCGAGGGTTTCGCGCAGATGATCGAAGATGAAAAAGATGGTACATATACAACCCATCCCACACCAACCCCAACACCAAGCCAAAACCCCAACTAACTAACGGCCAACTTATAGTAACCTTCAACATCCAAACCACCCCACCCCTAATCCTCTACACCGTCGGCCCAGCCACAGCCCGAACCCTCACAACCCTCCGCGACAAACACCTCCCAAACGCCCTCATCCACGGCGCAGACACCGGAACCGGAGAAAACCTCGCCCATCTCATCCTCTCACACTATGATTCCCTCTACCCAACAGACAAACCATCACTTCTCTTCCTTGTCGGTGAAGTGCGGAGGGATATCATTCCCAAAACACTAATGAACCAAGCCCTACCGGCCGAAAAGCGGGTTGGCGTTGAAGAGCTCGTTGTCTATGAGACGGGGGTGATGGAGTCCTTTGAGGGGGATTTTGCCGATGTGGTGAGTAGGGAGTCTGGGGATGTTTGGGTTGTTGTTTTCTCGCCGACGGGATGTGAGGCTATGCTACGGGTTCTTGGGTTAGGGCCTTTTGCTGGTTCTGGAACTGGAACTGGAAAGAGGAATGGGACTGGACGGGTCTTTGTTGCTACTATTGGACCTACGACAAGGGATCATCTGCGGGAGAAGTTTGGGTTTGAGGCGCATGTTTGTGCGCCTAAGCCTAGTCCTGAGGGTGTGCTTGAGGGGATTGAGAAGTTTATGGGTGGGATTTGAGGAGTTGATATGGATGGATGGACGGATTGGGGTGTATATGAACATGTACTTTGAGTGCTTATGTAGGGTGGATGTATATAACTAGATGTAGAACTGGAACTAAATGTATATAAAATAGTAGAGGTGCAGTGCAGGTAGTATTACAGTGTAAGTCAGCTGGTTTACTTGAACACTCATAATCACATTTCGAGTTGCCTTGCTACCTCTAACATGTATCAAATCACGCTGTCAAGTCAAAGTGCGTGTAGAATAGAATCCAACATCCTCTTAGCCAAATAATATCACTTGAAATAGTCAAGTCAAATTTACCGCATGATTTCCTCGTAGATCAAGACTTGAAAAGGTTAGTAAATTGCAAGAAAAGATCAGAACCAGACGAAAAGGGTCAACTCACGCTTCAGCTGCTCCTTACTCAGAGCATCCTTGTTCTTGTCGAAATCGAAGAATCCATCGGGAATGGGCGGTGCAGTAGGCTCATCTTCGGGGTCGTGGTACGGCTCGAGGTAGGGGTGCTTCAGGGCTTCCTCTACGGTGATACGCTTAGCCGGGTTGAAAGCGAGCAGCTTCTCAAGCAGATCCAGAGCGGTGTCGTTGCTCTTGGGGAAGAGTGCGCGGAAGGGAATCTTCTTCTTAAAGGGGAGGGAGCGGATGTATTCGCGGGCGCGGCGGGATTTGATGCCGTAGTAATCTTCCATCGTGGGTGTGCCGAGAACATCCAGGATGAGAGTCAGCTGGTGGTGATCTAGGTGCGTATGTTAGTTATTGTTACTGCTTGAAGGGATACGTGTAATCGTACAATCCTTGCCAGGGAAGAGAGGCTTTCCGCTTAGCATCTCAGCCAATATGCAGCCGACACTCCACACGTCAATAGCCTTGGTGTATTCCTTGAATGTCAACATGATCTCCGGTGCACGGTACCAACGTGTGGCGACGTATTCTGTCATGAATCCGGAGTTGTCGTCGGTGGAGGCGGCCGAACGAGCCAGACCGAAGTCGCAGACTTTCAGGTCACAGTTGGCATTGAGCAGAAGATTCGAGGGCTTCAAGTCTCGGTGCAGGACGTTGGCTGAGTGCATTGCCTTGAGCGCACGCAGGGTCTGGTAGATAAAGTATTGACAGTGGTCGTCTGAGAGGTCTTGTGTGCGGATAACCCGATGCATGTCTGTTTCCATCAGCTCCTACATGCCGTTAGTCAACCGGGCATATCCCATACATGCGCATCTTGTCAGATGGCAAGCTTCGACGTACTTGAATCAGATAAACTTCATTGAATCCCTCGTAGTTACGGGGCCGTTGGATATCCAGGATGGAGATAATGTTTTCGTGGTTAAAGTATCGCAGCAACTTCATCTCACGCAGTGTACGCAGGCAGAACATGGAATGATCGAATGGGGTGATCTTCTTGATGGCAACCTTCTGGCCCGAGGGTTTATGAATGGCAGAGCTATATGGAGTTAGAGGAGCCTTGACAAAACGGCTCGTACTACTTACCAGACGACACCATAGGCGCCTTCGCCGATAACATCTTGGATTTCATATTGGTCGGAAACATTGAAGGAGATCTTCCGGGATCCTCCCGCGGGAGGGGTTGGCTGAACCATGTCGATAACGGTTTCTTTGGTAGGTGTATCCTTTGGGTGATTGTCAGCTTTTGAAATCCATGGGATCCAGTCGAAAAAAGGTCGAACACAGTCCATGGGTAAATGAAATGGGAACCGGGGATTAAGACAGCAGACGAGGAATCGCGCACAATTTGGCGATTCACAATCCAGGGAACGCAAGGTAATAGCACTTGAGGTCAATCGCTCGAAAGGCTCGAGCAACTCAACCGCAAGTACCAGCGCGGGGGATCAAACGCAACGACAATGCACGGAAACCGGGAGATAAAGCTTACTTTCGTTTGCGCTGCAATCGAATTGGTTTCTCGGGAAGGTGCTCAAAGTCTCGATTGGATTGGGGTTCGAAGGGTCGGCGAGATCTCAGGGAATGCAAGGCGAGGAGTAGAAAAGGTAGAGAGGGACCTTGGTCGTACGAAGCTCCGGGTGGGGAAGGAGATGTGACAGGTACAACGTCTAGACCCAAAAGACCGAGGTAGGATGCGAAGATCACAGGATTAGGCGTCAGATCAGGAACACGGTATCAAGTTCAGAGCTTCAGAGCCTAAGAACGTGGCATGTTAGTGGAATTGACGGTGATGATGCTGCCGCGCATGGAGGACGAGCCAAGACGCTCCGAAGCGGGGTCATCCTCTGATGCGGGATCATAACGGGTCGGAACTGGATTCGGACTCACCTCTCGCCTTTTCTCTATGAAGGCAAAGAAAAATAGAGAAGAGAAGAAAGGAGAAGAGGATGAGAAGAGGTGAACCTGGAGAAACGGGCCGTAGGGGAAGTGGTGGGGCAGAGAGCTTTGAAGCGGCTCCGGCAATTTGGTGGGTGAAACAGAGTGGTTTAGATTGAGGAACGGAAATTGGCGTCAATTAAGGAAGAAAAACGGGGACTAGGAATGATCGACGATCCTAGAGAAATGTAGAGAGAGGAAGTAAAGTGAGTGAGAGAGAGAGAGTGGTCTGGTACTGTTTTCCCCCCTGTCCGCTTTCTCTGCTTTCTCTGGTTTGATGGACGTGGAACCTTGGATCACTCAGTTATCTCCACAATTACATGAGAGGTACTTTGGTTTACCCGTAGTCACCCATATATAACAAAGTACTCCAGAAGTACATCCATACAACCAGAGCGATCTAAGGATCTCCGCCACAGCGCCAAAGTCTCTCACATGTCGCGCTCTATGGACGGCGCTACTGCACCTGGCGAAACTTGTCACAATCATCTTTCCCGCTCTACCGCATAGGAGGTGCTGGTTTCATCCTGATTGGAGAACCCACCACTCCTAGTTTCACTAGTTCTAAGGGGCATCCCATTAATTGGGTCTGAGATGGCGACTAAATCAGGCAAATCAAGTATAAGTCATATGGGTCTGGAGATATTGTTCTATCTATGGGAATGTAGGCCGTGTGATTATTTTTCTTGCCGCTTTATGAGGGCGCTCAGGGATACTCATGAACTTATTCCAGGGCTGACGGAAAGGCGCTAAAACATCCATGGATATATGTTGTACTCAAAATAGAAAGTACATGGACTCTTCCAATAGCGCAGTATTCGCAGTATTCGAATGTTGATCTCTATTAATATCTATGTAGACCATCATCGATCTTCGATATTTTCGTCGGTCTTCGGTCTTCGGTCTTCGGTCAAAGTTAGCTTATTTAGTTAGATACCAAAAGTTGTTCGATTAAAGACGGTAGTCCCAAAGAGCTTGCCTATTTCCATTCATTTGATTCAAGTTCAAGTTAGGTAGAACACGATAGTTTGCAACAAAAGATAAAATATGACATCACGCTGATTCAGATCTGGATGGTTGATCTTCCCAAGATAGATGAGACACTTCAGACTATTCGACTGAACGCGTACAGTTTATTCTACATATGACGGTAGATCCACTGTCGCTTGCTCCAGCATTTCAAACTCAGAGAATGAAACATTGTATCGGAGATGTCGCTTCAGTAGTTCATGAGTGACAAAGCGCTCCGGCATATTCCCCTGCGCATCGACGAAAGAAACACGGGGGTTGGCGTTGCTGATTCTGTGTAGCTCATTTGCAAAGCGATGGTGTTGTGGACATCTATCTGCACCCATCAGGAAGATCGTGACATAAACCCAAGATAGACCAAGAAGATCGAGTAGGAATTCGTTCATGTCTGTTGCCTCGCCGTCGAGTACGATAAGCAACCTCAGTATGGGTGTCTGTGGACGAGCTTGCCACCCGTACATAGGGTGGTAGATTGCTGTCCCCGAGTGCTTTTGGAAGTGGAGTTCCTTGGCTCTTTGCCAGCCTAACATCAGTTGAGTTTCTCCTCCAAATCGAATGTTCGGCCATTTTTGTTCGAGATTCTGGTGGTTGATGTAGCCTATGTAGCGGGCCTGATTCGCGACTGTAAGAAGTTGATAGCCTCGGGTATTGTGGTCGTGATTGATCATTGCTTGAGTAAAGCGATGTATGATAGTCTTGGCGATGTCTATTTCCACAAGTTAGTATCTGATATAGACGGGTCGGAGGGAAATATGGTTAGTTACCTTTGCTCTTTGGCTGCTTAGAGGCGGAAAAACCTGTAATGAGATGCTCATTATAATTCGGGCGAAGTGGTGCCGATTTCATAGACTCAGAGACCCCTAGGAGAATCATAGTTTCGTCTAAAGGAACCGCCGGCTCCCCAGAGTGTCTGAACGGAGGCACAACCTGCTCTGAATAAGTCTCCGAGATAGATTGAACTTTGCAGATATCGTCGCGTGAGAAGTATTCTGTAGGTATCTCAATCGCGGATTCCATTCTAGATCGAGCCATGCTCATCGCAGAAATGAGATCGGGCTTCATCTTGTTTCCAACAATGCCCTCTTTGTTCTTCATAACCCAGTATAGACGTTCCTCGGCGAGATCATTGTATCCTCTCCAGTCGGGTGTGACTCCTCTCCACCCACCAATTGCGTCAATGGACAATTTGAGAGGGTTGAACGTGGATTTTGCCCAAGTTACTGGAATAGGTTCAAAATATCCTGCTCGGAGAAGGTGGAGATACTGAATTGGGTGTCGGGTACGAAGATCAGCAATCTTTTGACTCATTCCAACTGTTTCTTGGTATGTTGCCACAATCTGTCGCAATTCTTGATTTGGCCATCTGCCTTGCTCTTCCTCTAGAATGGCCTTGCGTAGCCCCTTAGTATGGATAGCTGCCTTCTCTGCCTTTTTCTCTGGCGTCTTCTTCGATAACATTTTTTTCAAGCTACCAAATGCGAATGGCTTGGAGCCCTCTGCGGGAGGAGTTGAGGGGTCGAGCCGTTGTGCGGCTGGTTGCTGGGTATTAGATGAAGCTGTGCCGTCAGCTTCAGTTGGTACAGAGATTTCTGGGTCTTCGGTATCCCATATAGTAGATGTTGGCTCTTTTGCATCAATAGCAACCTGAGCTGCAGCATTGAGAGTTGCATTCAATCGTATGGTCTTATGAAGATACTGGTTGTAGCAGGTCAGAGTAGGCCTCGCCGCACTGGAACTCCCGGGTGCTGCAATTGGAAAGGCCGAGGGCACACGGCTATATGGATTTTTCATGATGAGAGTCGATGAAGCACTGCCACTATATGCTGATTCACCTGCTCGGAGGAGAAAGAGAGGGTTAGACCATCGTCACGACACAACTGATATCGTCAAATTGGCAGAGCCTACCTGGATACATGACTGCTTTGGACCACATTTCCTGAACAGGAAGTCGGGAAGACTTTCTTGCTTGGTATTTGTGGACATCGCAGTTACAGTTAACAAATTGTGCGGTATGCTCTGGTTCAATATCACTATTGAAGATATGGCCGGCCTGCTGTAGGCTTTTGAAGGCGACTTGCATATCTTGCTGGAGTAGACGAATGTTAGCATTTCATTAAGACGGAAGGATTCCACATTGTACTTCATCTTGAGAGCGGATGTCGGCAGCTTCACTGAATATATTGGAGTACTGATGCGCAACCCCGCTTATGGCTGAACGTGCATACGGTGGGGGACGGTTCCCCGTCTCAGCCTCAGCATCCGTAGTAGGCAACCTTGGAGCTGTAGCCTCATTTTCAACATCATAATACCGACTAATAGCATCCTCGATACTTTCCGCTTCCTTAAATAGATGTGTTAATATTGGGAAAAGAGAAGTGATCAAACTGTCTTACCTCTAAAAACCTAAGGGCAGTTCCTTCATTAGCCTCTGGAGCGATGGCTATGAACTTCGCTATGTCATCTCTCGAGGGTAACATGGCGAAGAATGAACATTACTCCGAAGATGTAAGATAAGGAGGGGTGGGGTGCCATTAAATGTCAAATATGGTATCAAGTCACCAGACAGAAATGAAACTAGACAGTGCAGGGATATAGATAGCGCCTGTTCTCGTTGGCACTAGACGACTACCCAAGAACCACTAAATAGCACTAGCCCTCAATTAGGGACCGAGCACCGGTGGTCTGTCTTTTCAAAAGATTAGATCATTTGATTTGATTGACCTAAGTTGTTATCAATTTCCTACTATCATCTTAGCCTTTGCCCATTTCCCATGCCCCGTGGGAATTCGCATGGAACTATAAAATATGAATTATAAGATATAGTAGGAAAATGATACCGTTAATTCTTCATAGATGCGATCAGCGTCTATCGCCTGTCAACTATAACCCAGCGATCTACTAGTACTAGATAATCCAAACATGCCCGCCGTGATAGAAACCCAAACGCAATCTTTCCCAACGTAATGGTACAGGCGGGAGGGCTCGCGAAAACACGAATTTCATGGTCCACCAAGACCAACCGGTCAGCATCCTCATTACTGCACGACCTGAGAACAAATCGTCAGTGCTGACCGATACGATGGTCAGAGCAGAGGGCTCAAACCTTCTCCTGCAAGGAACCCATCCACTGATCCAAGCTGACACTTTGGTCGGCACGGTCCTCAACCAGCATTGTCTGAGCCCAAAGACGCAGACCGGGCTCGCCATCTTCGCGAACAATGTACAGGTGAGGCACAATCATGCTGCCCACACCCTTGGCCCGGTGATCCCGACTCTTCTCAACCACGGCCCGCACACGCTGGTTGAACTCGTTCTCGACGTCGGGGAGGGTTTGTTTGCCCACCCGCAACTGGGACTTGTCAGGGACGCCAAAGACATCCTCGATAAGCTGTGAAACAGCGTCGCGGCCAACCCAGAGGAACTGGGTCTGGCCATCGTCAATGAGGTACAGACCGTAGGGGACGAGGCGGCCCGAAGACAAGTTAACAGCAGGGGGAAGGAGAATTTCGCCCGTCTGTGGATCAGGCACACCCGCATTGTCGGGCATGTCGTGGAGTGAGTACATTCTTGGGTAGATATATTGGATGAGGAGCGGCAGGGGCAGGGTTGACAGAAGGCAGAGAGCTGCGGACCGCATGTCCGTGGGGATCTGAGCGGATTTGCGAAGACCAAGCTAGAAGAAAAATAGATTAGTATAGAACAGCTATCACAGCCAGAATAGAGAAAACTCACGTTCTTGATCATGGCAAGGAACAGGACAGGCAAGGCTCTCAAGTTGGCAGGGAACTGGAGACCACCGCCGCTAACGCTACCACCCGCAAGCTCCTTGCGGTAGGTCTGTAGAAGCTCCACGATCTTGGCCTGAAGAGCTTCACGAGCGGGCTCGAGACCGCTGCTCAATGCGCGCTCAACGGCCTTGTGGCTGAAGAATGTGGCGATGGCCTGTTGGTCAGCCGAGGCGTAGACGTCTGCCAGGGTCTGGGTCGTTGGAAGTGCCAGGGTCAAGACACGGATACGACGTTCACCGTTGCAGGTAGTGTGAAGGACAGCCGCCTGCATGCAGACGACCGGCTTTGTAACCGTCTCATCAATAGCCACCTCGACCACGTAGGCCTGGTCACGGGGGAAGGCCGGGAAAGCACAGAGATCAGAACTACGGTTGAAGAAGTTGCCGTAGAAGGTGTTCATACGCAGACCGGTGGTTGCGCGCACACGGAGAACGGCCTCCAAACCAATCTCCGAAGAGAGATAGTCAGAGAACTCACGGGCGAACTTCATAGCATCTTCGGTCCGTGCGGCATTCCACCCGGGGTAGAAGTAGGTCTGACCACCGGTGTAGCGGGGCAAGCAGCTCAAAGATGCCACATCTTGGTATTGCGAGGAGAAGAGGAACATATCCACAGAGACTTGAGCTTTTGAACATTCAACTGCAAAGCTCTTGTAGAAGGAGTTTGCTGTTTGGAGCAGACTCGATTCCTTGCTGGTGCCCAGCACCTTTTTGTCTTCTCTCATAGTGAGCGCTCCGTGACCCATGTTGGGCAAAGATGAGCTCAGCACAGTCATCTTTCCACCGACGGGGGAGATCAACTTGTAACCAGCTCGCAATGCCGCACCCATGGCACAGCTGTTGTTTTGGGTGTTCTGGAACATTTCCTGCAGCTTGCGGAGGAAGACCTCAATGTTCTCCCGGCATTCGCTCAGCGTCACCAAGAGATCACCAGGGATGGGGAGGAAAGGCTCGTCCAGATCACTGACAACCAACATCCGCGGCTCTGAGGACTCTGACTCGTCCCGGGGAATGCTGAAGTAGTGCAAGCTTGAGTCCACTGCAATAAATCCGAGGCGGGTACGGCGGTCTGCGTTCGGGATGCGATCAAGGCTCTCTTGGATAGTGCGAGCGGTGGTGGCCAAAAGACCGTTGGTCACCGATGCATAGCTCACATCGATCAAGAAGAGGTAGACCAGAGGTTGAGGTGGTCGGACCATGTATTCCTGCGGCGCAACGAATTCCACCATGCTGTGGTTGAGATCGGCACGCAGCGCACGATCAGCGGGCTTTTGCAGTGTAGAATCCCAATCGAAGGCTTGTGGCACATCGTTCGTCAGGTTACACATATTACAACGCCAGCGGTGGCCATGATCGAGGAAGGTGACGAAGGGGTTGATGTAGGAGCGGCAACGTCGGCATCGTGAGATGACTTGGTCTGGAATCACAGGAATAGGGTCCTCGGCGTCATGAAGAGAAGCATACGGTTGGATGACAAGGGCGAAGGGCAACTTTGATTTCTTCAAAAGTGAGTTGGTTGTGGGTACAGCGTTGAGCGTGGAGCGCATATATTTCGTAGGGCAATTGGCTTCGGGCGATGGGTAAACACTGGTCTGTCAATTGTTAGCATATCGACTACATGCGCAATCTGGCATATATACATACTCCCGGAGGCAAGATAACTGGAGGAGGGGGATAGTCCAGCTCAGCGACGTTGAAAGGTTGGGATCGAAGGTCCGTGGGGTAAAGCTGGTTGAGCTGGATTTGAGGTCGCATAGGGGCCTGGGCCACAGGCTGCGGGGGCGGCATGTGGTGAGGCTCACTCATGCCCATTCCACCGAATTGCTGTGTCATCTGAGAGATGTCGGCGGCAGCAGGCGCGCCGTATGATGGTGCTGCAGGCTGCATCTGGCTGGGATCCGCACCGTAGGCGGGTTGTTGATATCCTGCAACTTGGGGTTGTTGAGGGTAGGCCCCGTAAGCACCTCCAGCTGTGGGTTGTCCACCGAGTGCAGCGTTGGCGCCGGAGCCAAAATCGAATGCCTCACCAGCGTAAGCTCTCTTCTTCTTTCCACCTGCGGCGGGTGCAGGCGCGCCTTGCTCATGGACTGGGGATTGTGTGGGTTCTGGGGAACCGTAGGCGGGCTGGCCATACCCTTCCTGGGGAGGGAATCCCCCTTGTGGTGCTGCCATTAGAGTTGAGTAGGTTGTATTTGGTCGCACTTAAGGGTTGGGAGGAAAAGAGGGTTGCGCTCGTCACGAAGTCGGCGGGTGGAATCGATATGAGGAGGCGGGTGGTAACAGCTCCTGGAACCCCACAATCAGTTTCTCGTCAACAAAACAGGGTGAACCTGGTTACGTACAGGGCAGGCTGTACCTTTAGAAAACCCAGAAGTATCACAAAAGGCAGTAGCGAGGCGAAGGACAGCTCACCAGAAGAAACCAAGGGAGTGTGGGAGAGGCGGTGATGATGGTCTACGGTGGCCTTTAGGTCGTGGTGCTCCAGCCAATCAGAGACCAGGGGACATGTGACGAGAGGCGTGTCTTTATACTGTACGGCAACATTTGATATTGAGTATAGGACGGTCTAGATATCAATGTTGAATGATATATATGCAGTATTTCTTGCCATCGAGCTGACCTATATATATTTCTAAGTATCTAGGCTGGTCAAACATGAGCACTTAGCCCTAGGTCCAAGCGCAGTGCACATCCGTAGATTATACTGTACTGTCAATTGTAATTATGAGGCTAGTCATGGTATTTTCCAAGATTATCACTTTGTTCAAATTGTATCAGAGCAATTATATATCTCCAATGTGGTGGTCGACTCTTAAGAATGTACTGATAACATACGTTGTAGAGCAAAAGGCCGTTGCCCTGCCAACACCAACCACACCGGTTGCTGCACAAGAGAACTCCACACGTTCCACAACCTTCAGTTCTGCATACACCAAGTAGTTAGTTTCGTTTCTTTGTTTTTTTGTGGAGGACTTTATTGTTCTTAATTGTTCTCCTTTTTTTTACTTTGCACTTCGTTCCAGTCATTCCTTCGGTTTCGTTTGGATTGGATCGCATCCCTGACGTCCAGGACCCATACCATCACACGACGATTGAATGAACATCCCGCCACAATGAGTGTCCGAGTTGTCGCGCGTATTCGTCCCCTTCTCAAGTCCGAACGGGAGACCGATGTGATCGTTCGTACAGGATCTTCTGCTACCGCCGACTCCAAATCACGCCAGTCAATAAATGGCGACAAGAGTGACAAGAGCGATAAGAAATTGGCGGCATTGAGGGACAGGGATAATGTGGTTCGGATTCCAAACCCCAAGAATGAGGGAGAGGAGTATGCGTTCCAGTTCAATGGCGTGTACGACGCGGATGTGTCGCAGCAGGAACTGTTTGATGCTGAAGGTGAGTTGCTATTCCAAGCTCACCAGGTCTGTGGTGGGGTAGTATATTGATCGAAGTGATAGTGTCGCCAACAATTAAGCATCTTCTCAACGGGTTCGACGTGACCCTCTTCGCATACGGTGTCACTGGAACAGGCAAAACACACACAATGCGTGGCGGGAAGACCCTGGCAGACCGGGGTGTAATTCCCCGGCTACTCAGTGGCATCTACAGACGCAGCCGGAAGATTGAGAAGGATAGCGAGGGACAGACGACAGTGCAGGTTGCCCTGAGTTATTATGAAATTTATAACGACAAGGTGTACGACTTGTTCGAGCCGCCCGAGAAGCGCACAATGTCAGGTCTTCCTCTCCGGGATAATGGGGGCAAAACCGTGGTTTGCGGGTTGAGCGAGAAGCCGTGTACCACTTTGAAGGAGTTCGAGCAGCTTTATGACCAGGCTAATACTAACCGATCCACCTCCGCGACGAAGGTATGATATTATGCCAACATATGGGTCTATATTCTCTGCTAAACATCTAAACATAGCTCAACGCCCATTCGTCTCGATCTCACGCCGTTCTCGGTGTGAAAGTCACCATCACATCTCCTGACAAGGTTCGCGTCAGCACTGCTTCCGCTATTGATCTCGCAGGATCCGAAGACAATCGACGGACGGAAAATGATAAGGAGCGCATGGTCGAATCGGCCAGCATCAACAAGAGTCTATTCGTTCTGGCGCAGTGTGTCGAAGCTATCAACAAGAAGCAGCATCGCATCCCGTACCGCGAGTCCAAGATGACAAGAATTTTGTCCTTGGGACAGAACAATGGCTTGACAGTGATGATTCTCAACCTCGCCCCTGTCCGGTCTTACCAACTTGACACGATTAGCTCTCTGAACGTCGCCAATCGCACAAGGAAGATCGAGGTCCGCGAAGTAGAAAACGATCCCATGTTTAAGGGTCCGGCCCGGCCATCTATCCGAGCATCTATGGGCACGCGGCAACCTTTGCGCGCACTGACAGCTTCTGTGAACGTCAATATGCCGGCACCCGCTGCGAAGGACTCTGCAGAAAAAGAAGACGGCAAACCCATAAAGGCATTCAGTGTGTATTCGGACAAGCCGCAACCCAAGCTTGTTAGCCAGCTTCGGAAACCGGACGCACCGAAACGCACCTCGATCTCCAACGCTCCCTCTGGTCTTCCCTCATTGAAGGCCACTCGTCAGCCTTTGGGCGCACAACCCACCGCGCGCCATGACGACTTCTCGGCTGCTAGGATCGAGGAGATGGTTGAGAGGAAGGTTGAGGAGATCTTGGCTGTGCGGGCCGTGAGCGAACAATCGAGACAGACACAAGTTCATGAGCTTAATGAGCAGCTTCAAAAGCGACTGGAACAGTTGGAGCAGCGCATCGATGGCACAGAAGATGCGCGGGCTGAGGGTCTGTCATATCTGCTGATGGCTAAACAACATCAGGCACGTGGTGAAGACAGCTCAGCCCTGAGGATGTACCAGCTGGCAGCTCCCCACTTCCCTCACAATGAGAAGCTGGCAGGCAAGATTGCTGCCCTGAAGCAGCGTGTTCATGCAAAGGCTTGGGAAGAGAAGGCCCACTCCCCGCCCAAGGGTAGGGGTAGCATGCTCTCCCTTAAGAAGGACGTAACACAAACCCTCGGCAAACGCCAAGCAGAGCGTCATGCGGATGACTTCATGGACCAGACCCATTCTGGCTTTTCAAGCGACGAGGATGTTCCTCGCCCAAGGCATAAGAAGCGTGCCGCAGCCAAGCTTGGTCAGATCGAGGAAGCCCCCGAACTCCTTGATAGTGAGGACCCGTCTATCTCTCCCCGAACAATGCATATTCTTTCCATCATCAACTCACGGGATGTGAGCCAGATCAAATTGCTCAAGGGAGTGGGCGCTAAGAAGGCAGAGGCTCTTGTTGACTGTCTCTGCGAGATGGACCAGACATCATTGGATACAACCGACAGTGGAATCGTCTCAGACCAGTCCCAATTCCAGGTTAACAGCCTGGCACAATTGAGCCAGCTGAAAGGCGTTGGGGTCAAGACGGTCGAGAACATGAGACAAGGAGTATTGGCTTAATTGCTGCATTTTTGGGCGGCATATACCGGAGCATAGTGGTTTTTTTTCTCTTCTCTTTTCATGCATCATCCTTCAGCGACGGTGCTACGGCGTTTTCGTGTCTATACTCTTGCTAGGTATTTTGGTCTATCTTTTGAATTCATCCTAGGCACTTTGGGAACATCCTTCCCCATTGCGCTCTTTTGTGGTCAACCCTTTCATAACCATCCATCCACGATCATTTCTCAGCATTGTCCTTTCTCTATGTTTGCCGATCAGAATGTACGACTAGTTAGATGGTCTTTCTCTGGTATGTTCTTTAACATCCTTCCTAATATTCTTGCCTGGTCTCTTTTATCAGTATAACCCCTCGGGGCACCTGTTGGCACACACAGTTCGTTACATTAAATACCCAAACCCGTCAAAAGACCCTTCTCTTGTAACCCGAGCTCCTCATCCAGTTTAATCCACAATCTCGACCTAGCCTCTGTGTCCCTACAATAAGATCTCGCAGGCCCTTCCCAAATCCGATTAATATACCTCCCTCCACCACGCCCGTTTTCCGCGCCAACACCCTGCTTCCTCGGATCCGGCCCAAACTCCGAAGCAGTAGCGGCATGAGAAATAGCTAACCCACCCTGCTGCGACGTGATAGCGACATAGCGCAAAAGAAAGTTGAGTCCGCCCGGGGCCTTGCCCGTGTTCTGAAGACCGTGCCAAATACCCGAAGCCACAAAACCAGGATGGACGCCGTTCATTGTGATGTGGAGGTACTCGGGGTTCTTGAGAAGTCGAGATTGTAGCTCTGCAATCCACATTTGGAAGTAAAGTTTGTTGTTTTGATAATCTCGGCCCTTCTGGCCCGGTCCACCATTGAAATGGTCCAGATCGAAGACTCCTAGATGGTGGTAACATGAGGTTGTGCATATGACTCGAGGCTCGGCACTGCGAGCTAGAGATGGTAGGAGTCGTAGGGTAAGTAGTACATGGGATAATAAGTTGACCTAGGATGTTTCTTATTAGTGTCTGCTCGCATGCACCAGAAGTTCGAATAGGACAAGAGGGAAACTCACCTGATGAACTAGCTGGAAACCATCCTTCGTCATATAGGTTTGCTTGGTAGATTCTGGAATGCCGGCGTTGTTACATAGGATATCCAAAGTACGGTCGCATTCTAGCCATCTTTGACAGAAAGCCTCGATGCTGCTGAGATCTGCCATATCGATCTGCCACCATTCGATAGTGGATGAATGGCCGCTCGCGGCGGCGAGGGCTTTGCATTCATCCACAGCAGCTGTTGGATGTAATTCCCACGCGGGTGGCTCGCGGCAGGCGAGAATTAGGTTTGCGCCCCATGATGCGAAAGACTTTGCTGCTTCGAAGCCAACGCCGTTGTTAGATCCGGATATGATAATCCATTTGCCTGTCAGATTGGCGCCGGGGACGTGTTTGTCTGTGAGGAATGTGGTATTCGTGCCCCTCACGGCCTGCAAGTAATCGTATAACCATGCGAAGATTGAAGCCATGTTGGGATAGATGTTTCCTTTGCACTGAGGAATATGGACAACATGGGACATGGGAGCTCCTGGAAATAAGGATCATCTTATAAAGCAACGATGGATCACTACCCCGGCAATGTCTTACCTCGGTGGGAGGCTAAGGCTTAGCCGCATTCTTAGGTCCCCCCCCTCAGATGTTGAAAACGTCATGAATTCTGTTGCCTGCGAATAGAATACTCTGTATGGACTTCACACTCGTGTTATTGTTTGTATACGAAGTATGGAGTAGGCATTTTAACTTTGGGAAAGATGGTTTATTACTAGAAAAGAAGACGGAGAATTATCAAATAGATACATATCTATTTATAGTCACATTGTAAATCCTTCTAACTACAACACCGATAAAGGGGAGAATATCTATAAAACAAAGACGTCTAAAATGACCGGAAAACTCTTGACAGGGCCACATATTATACTTTGGTCATTTTAAACCCACCAACAGCCCCCCTGGCAAAGACAAACAAAGTCGACCCAACAGTCATAACAACACCACAGAATATCTGTAGCCGAGTATAATCACCATGGAGAACATCGGGGACCAGAGCACCGCCAATAGGAGTACCAGTCAACGCCGCAAACGAGATGACAGCAAAGAAAGTGCCGTTGCGCACGCCCACCTGGCGAAGATCGGAGATCTGCGCTATAAGAGCCGGTGCAAGTGAGACAAACGCACCAGAGCCGAAGCCGTATAGGGCGCTGAACAAAATTGCTGGGATATTGCCTCTCGACGGTAGCCAGAGGGCTAGGACGAGGATTGCCGAGAAGAAAGTCGTTAGAACCATCATGTTGTAGCGGCCGACTTTGTCGGCGAGATAACCTGGGAGGGTGCGACCGAAGATACTATTTGGATTTGTTAGTTCATCAACAAGGTGAAGGCGTATGGCGCAGAAAGACAAAGAAAAACCTACCTAGACGCATTCAAAATCGGAATCAGATACCCAGCCAGATTGGCAGACATGCCATATCTCTGTGCCTGGGTAATAACAAAAGTGAACGGCACGAACATGCCCCAGAAGAAGCAAAAGGCAGCAGCAAGCGTGAGTGCGAACTTGAGCTCAGCCAATGGCCTCAGGAAACCCAGGATATCAAATGGCTTCGGGCGATGCGGTAATCTGGACTTCAGCGTGAGGTTGGCGATACCCAACATGAACAAGATGAGGAAAGCGCAGATCCTCATCGCCCAGGGGAATCCGACTTTGGGAATCAGCTGGGTGACCATGATTGGGAAGATGACTCCGCCCAGACTGGACCCAGAGGCTGTTACGCCGAGGGCGAAACCACGACGCTTGGCGAACCAGGTGCTGACGGAGTTGACGGAGGCGTTGAAGATGGCGCTTGCGCCGATTGGGCTGCAGATTCCTTGAGCGAGAATGAATTGGTAGTACTCAGTTGAAAGGGAAGCCATCATTAGGCCGAAGACGTGGAGGACTGTGCCGATGAGGAGGATCCAGCGTGGGCCATAGCTGTCAAATATAGTTCCGAATACTGGGCCCTGAGGAAGATGTTAAGATGCGTCTTGGGGGTATAGCAAGCTGTTTCTGGGGGAATGGTATACGCACGCAAAAGAACATCATGAAAGTCTCCAGCGATGTGATCCATGTTACTGTGCTAGTGGAGAAGTGGCTCAATTGGTGAGCTTGGTAGTAATCTTGGAAGACTCCGATGCCTGGATGATATTACTATCTTGTTGAGCTCATGTATTCAGGCAGAACACAGAACTTACAGTTGATCCAGCCGAAGCTGACGAATAAACCACAGAAGGCTCCTAGGACAACCAGCCATGCCTGCGCACCTCCATCAGGTGGTGGACCAATCACCGAAGTTCCTGGTGCTGGGCCGGCAGCAATTAATTTCTCAGAAGATTGTTCATCTTTTTCTGGCGGTGCGAGTCCTTTCTCTGGGTCGTTGTTTTCATGGACACCCAGAACGGGCATGGTGGTAGCACTGTCGATGGAGGGCGCAACCGCAGTCTCATTGTTGGCCATCTTTGTTGGTTTCGAGGGAAGTTCGAGTTATAGACTTGAACTGTTTCTAATCTGTCTTGAGTTATTAGAATATCGCATTTTGAAATAAGACGACCAATTTATAGATCCCAAATGAAGACGGGAAGTATCAAATTAAGAAACAAAATGGCGTTAGACAAGTTCGATTTCAAACTCACCTCAACGTCGGCCCAGCCGTTTGGTCCTGGTGCTCTAGGGCTGTTGCAGATTAAAATCTTCAGGACTAGGTGGTATTTAAGGGGAATATATTCGAGAAAAAAAAGAAACGAAGCTATCATGACCCTGGACAATCGGTTTCTGGCTAAGTCCGAGCTAGCAAATCATGCTTTTTAGATAGCCACTAGCCTAGGCATAGTACATGGTTGCTTCACTGCGGTTGGTCAAGTATTCACGAGACCCGGGAATTGCCCTAACTGGCGAACCAATACCTCTTGGAAGGCTTACGGCGGTAACTGCAGCCGTCGGACATATCTGCGATAGCCCGAAGACCGAGGGCGGATTTAGCTGGTTATCCCGGAATATTACCTGTTTGGGAATAAAATATGGGTCATTAGTATTCAAAACATATGAAACATATCATTTTGGTTAGATGCAGTTGAAACAACTTAATCTCTGGTATCCATCTGGCTATAAATCAGTGAAACTGTGGAAATTGATCCTTCTACTTAGCCCCCCTTAGCCACCTGCACGAAAGCTCCAATAAAAGACTAAATATGTAGTGAGGGAGTTCGAGAGTAGAGGAAAAATGTGGCATTTCTTGGAGCTGGTAATGGATGAAGGCGGGCTAGGAAGTATATTCAAGATGCAGCCCCGGAGTACTTAGCTATGTATGTTATATATGTATGTATACCTAACTAGGTATGTACTCCGTAGGTACCTGGTGTTTCTTCCTATACATTCCACAATTACATGACATTAGGATTCCTTTTTTAATATTGGCTCTTGTTACCTACATCATGGTTGTGAGGTTCATTCGAAGCAATCCCTGCGTATCAGCGCTATTTAGCAAACAATCCGGTCGAGCTTCTACAACATAGGTGACCGTCTATCGCGTTTTTCAGGCTTTGCCGAGTTCGGAACATCCCAGAGTGAAGAAAAAAAGAGATTTGTCGGCAATTGCCAAGATAAAAGAAATGCTCATACTGTACAGGATTCAACGTGATAATCATCCCAAATGGAGACCGCTCTAGCCCGTACAAAACCCAATGCGAAGAGAACTCCAAGTCGACCCTTTTGAAGCGAGTCTTTCTATTTAGTTTGTGCGAGCAACTTCCTCGATTTCGACCTTTCCATCTTTGCGAACCTTCGCAACGCTCCGGCTCGTTCCTTGGATTTCCTGCTCTAGTTCCGCGACAGAGCGCGTCAGGTCAGCGATATTGCTGACAGCCTTTTCGGCTTCTGTCTTTTCCTCTTCTGGCTTCTCGTCTAATGTCTTTGCATCTTCGGTAGACCGAGGAGCGGGCGAGGTAAAGCCACTAGTGACATTGGCGATCTCATTAGCTTCCTGTGGGGACAAAACATCGTTGATACGAGGTCCGCGAGATTGCACGAGGATGGTCGTGGGACCATCAAATTGCAGGAAGAGCTAGACAACATTGTTAGTTGGTGAATCTTAAAGGACAAAAATGGGGCTTCCATACTCTATCTCCCCAGATGGTCATTCGAGACCAGGTGCGCAGCTTGTGGAACCACTGCATAGTGGTTTTGTATGCCTTGGAATCAGACACGTCACGAATGAACTTGGCATTTTGTAGCAGTCTGGGTAGCGTCTTCAGACCCGGGACCTGGAAGTTGAGAGTGGTGGATTTGAAACGGTAGGGGCGAGGAGGGTTAGAAGCCATGGTGTAAGCGACAACATTGCTGTCGATCAAATATTAGCGACGTCAGACGCGCAATGGTGGCGGAGTGGTCATACCTGGGATGAGCAATGTATTGCTCGCCATCCTTCAATTCAACCGAGTATAGCTGTCCGTTTCCAACCAACGCTATTAAACCTCTGCCAGTCACTTCGGAGCTACCCCAATGAGACAAGCTCTGCCCAAATTAGCTTGTTGTTTTCTCTTACCCGACCACGGCTCGACTTACCAAGTTTGCGTTGATAGTCGGCTTGATGTTCAGAGACCGGCCCGTCCATGCAAGCAAAGCCCGTCTTTGGGCGACCATCCAGTCCACGGAGCCATTGACGTTAACAACGGCGAAGGAGGTATTGGGCGATCGAACGGAAACGAGAGCTGTGACAGGGGTTGGTGAGGAGACCTGGGGAATTGTCAATTGCTGCCGTTAGGTTCTCATCTGCATCGCGCGTCTTACCTTTTGATAAAGGAACGGCACTCCGACGATAGCCCTCCGGAAGGGTTCTAGAACGCTCAATGTGGAAACCACCTGCGCAGATTATGCGTTAGCATGACTAGTCTGTCAGGACAACATTATTGCTGGGGCGCATACATTATCCGCCTTCCCGCTCAATCCAACCAGCGTTCCGCGTCGTGTATATAGGTTCTGCGAGGCCGAGAGCGAAACGGAAAGAAGCGAGTATGGAGCGCCGACAACATCGAAACGCGCATCTATGTGTCCTCATTGTCAGTGCCACAATCATAAAGCCTGGGGGAATTGCAATTACCTCGTGATTCAACAGAGCTGGGCGTGCTAGCGAGTGGCAGATTGTCGCCATTAACCGAAGACACTCCCGAGGGCGCGGCGCGAATCTGAACCCATCGCGTTTGCCGGTGGACGCGAGGAACAACTCGAGTCCAGGACAGAGGCCGGACACCTTGGATGGGGCGCATGGTGTTTGGAAAAAAAGAGCGACAACCAAATGCCGAAGGGAGAATTTACGTCAGTTGTGACGAAAGGGAAATCGGGAAATCGTGGGCCCGAGAGCGATGCGGCCCATGAAGTACACAACTCCCCCTCGGAATTGCGACATTTGGGGTTTCATTATAAGAGGTTCCTAAGTTACTTTCATTTTTATTCTGCATCTATTGTTTCCTTGACCATCTGTGACCATTCTGGACTTTGCATTGAGACCGTCGGGTTTTACTCCGAAGCCGGCGATTTCCCCCCACGAGCTATCGGAGACAATAGCTACCCTGCGCGCCAATCTTTCTTACTCGCTCCCACTATGTGCCCCTGAACCTCTCTCAGTGACTCGAACTACTCTGGAGCTCGAAGAATATCATCTTTAGCGGCCATGCTGCTCAGAGCCGCACGATCGCCGTGCTGGCGCACAGCGCAATTCGCCTATCCGAGCTTCACTGGAAAGCAACGAAGCACACGACTCAATGGAACACACCTACGCACGTTCACGTCAAATAACAGTTCACTATGGAGTCAGTCCATAGACAATAAAGATCCCGGATCTGTCAAACCTACTCCTACCTCGACCCCCGCACCATCACAACTAGCAAATGCCAATATCATCCCAAAGCCGGAAGATAGCGGCAATGCGAAGACCCCACCAAAGAAGGACTTGCTGAGCGAGCCCGTGGCTGGAAAGAAAGAACAAAGGAAGGCAGACTGGGCTATCATGAAAGAAATGGCCAAGTATCTGTGGCCGAAGGTAATTCCCAAGCACTGTTAGTATATGGTACAGGGTATTGACTATAGCTGGTAGGATGATTGGGGTACAAAGCTCCGTGTCAGCACGGCACTTTCATTGCTTATTGGAGCAAAGGTGAGTTTTATCTATTCTTGTGTTTTTATCAAAACTATGCTAATATGAAGCAAATACAGATCCTTAACGTGGAGATCCCGTTCTACTTCAAGAACATTGTCGACTCTATGAATGTAGACTTTGCCACCGTCGGTGGAACTGCCTATACTGTGGCTGGATCAATGATCATTGCTTGTAAGGATAGCAGCATATTAAAGAAGGCACTTGTCACTAATATGTTTTAGATGGTGTGACCCGTATTGGAGCTACATTATTCCAAGAGCTTCGTAATGCGGTCTTTGCTAGCGTTGCGCAGAAAGCAATTCGGAAGGTGGCATCAAATGTCTTTGAGCATCTGTTGCGCCTGGATCTCAACTTCCACCTCTCTCGGCAGACCGGAGGTCTGACCCGCGCAATTGACCGCGGTACTAAGGGCATCAGCTTCCTCCTAACCTCCATGGTTTTCCATGTGGTCCCGACAGCGCTTGAGATTTCGCTTGTCTGTGGTATCCTGGTATGTTTTGACGGATGATAACGAGCATTGTTGGTCCTAGGTCACTAACGTGTTGTAGACTTATCAATATGGCCTCCAATTTGCCGCCATCACCACCACAACAATGATAGCATACACGGCGTTCACCATTACTACAACCGCATGGCGAACAAAGTTCCGGAGGCAGGCTAATGCAGCTGACAATCGCGGAGCAACTGTTGCCGTGGACTCGCTCATCAACTACGAGGCCGTCAAGTACTTCAATAACGAGAAATTCGAAGTGGCACGATATGACAAGGCCTTGAAGAAGTATGAAGATGCATCAATCAAGGTGACTACGTCTCTGGCATTCCTCAACTCTGGTCAGAACATGATATTCTCCTCTGCGCTGGCCGCAATGATGTACCTAGCTTGCAATGGAGTTGCGAACGGATCCATGACCGTCGGTGACCTAGTCATGGTCAACCAGCTAGTCTTCCAGCTCTCAGTCCCCCTCAACTTCTTGGGATCTGTCTACCGTGAGCTGCGCCAGTCCCTACTGGACATGGAGACGCTTTTCAACCTGCAGAAGGTGAACGTCACCATCCAGGAACGACCCAACGCCAAGCCCCTGCAGCTGACGCAGGGCGGCCAGATCCGCTTTGAGAACGTCACTTTCGGCTACCACCCAGACAGACCGATTCTGAAGAATGCCACCTTCACTATCCCCGCAGGACAGAAGTTCGCCATTGTCGGCCCTAGCGGCTGCGGCAAGTCTACAATCTTGCGTCTGCTATTCCGCTTCTATGACGTCCAGTCTGGCCGCATCTTGATTGACGGCCAGGATATCCGCGATGTGACAGTCGACAGCCTCCGCAAGATAATTGGAGTAGTGCCGCAGGATACACCGCTGTTCAACGACACAATTGCCCACAACATCCGCTATGGACGGATTGATGCATCGGACGAAGAAGTGCGCCGAGCTGCGGAGCGAGCCCACATCCACAAGCTCATTGAGGGTTTGCCTGATGGCTACCAAACTGCGGTTGGTGAGCGTGGTATGATGATTTCCGGTGGCGAGAAGCAGCGGCTGGCAATTTCTCGGCTGATCCTGAAGGATCCGCAACTGTTATTCTTCGATGAGGCAGTAAGTTTATCCCACCCCTTTGTCTGCTAGCCGCACGGTTGATTGGGGTTACTAATCACCCTCTTTTTAGACATCCGCCCTAGACACCTACACGGAGCAGGCCCTCCTCCAGAATATTAACAGCATTCTCAAAGATAAGAGCCGCACAAGCGTATTTGTGGCTCATCGCCTACGCACGATCTGCGACAGTGACCAAATTCTGGTCCTGAAGGGAGGTCATGTGGCAGAGATGGGCTCGCACCGCGAGTTGCTCGAGATTGATGGCACCTATGCAGAGCTTTGGAATAGTAAGTCCTTTTTTCATTGTAGTCTGCAATTCTTTCTAACTCAGTTTTAGCCCAGGAACAGTCGATGGTCCAGGATGTTGACCTGGAGCAGAGCCAGGGGGAGGATGTTCAGCCTAAGGCGTGAGACCAAGAATCTGTAGATGACCACCCAAGATATAAGTGTTAGATTACTTTTATATCGTACTCGAGGGTTACTAGCACATAGCATCCCAATGTGAATATCATTATGCATATCTTACGGACTTGTTGATTACAGCAGGTAGTAATTAATGTCTTCAATGGTGGATAATAATAGGATTATTCACAAAAGATAACTTGAAAGAGTTCCTCATCTATAGATTTCCATGGTTTGTTACCCTCAAGGGACATACACCATAGGTGCCAATCCATCCTTGGGCTGATGCTTGCCTTGAGCAACACGCTTATTATGAACGACATAAACAACAATCTGCGCGAAAGCACTTGCGATTCCTACAGATACCATAATGATCATGGTACGTAGGCCCGTTGAATAACTGGTCGATATTAGCAACTGTCCAGCAATGAATTTCAGAGGATACCTTCACTTACAATGGTTTGTCTCCCGCTTGGAAATACTGCGTCCCAACCATCAAACCGCTAATCGCCGACATAACCCACATTCTGCAGTCAAAAGACTCTTATCAGCTCCGGTCAAGGTCAAAATTGGAAAAGGAAAACTCACGCAATGCTGATACTCCGCTCCCTCGGATCTCGACAGTTAATCTGAACCCAGAAATTATGTATGGGATGATATCCCACAGCCAAACTATTCACAGCAGTCCAAAGTCCCCAACGGGACCATTTTCCAGCATGGGGCTGGACCTTGAGAGTCACTATCAGGGCAATGAGGTAGCAGACTTGAGCAGCGATAACAGTTGCACCTCTGAGATTAGTCCGATCGCTCATGTAGGCGAAGAAGAATACCACTCCAAGTGATAGGAATGCGCCGACTGCGGCTAGAGCGTTTGCTGCTGTTCTGTCAAAGCCGAGTGACCTATAGAAATTAGCATCAGATCAATCCATCTACCAACGGCAGTGAATACTTACATGATGATAGAAGGTGTGTAAGTGGTGAGAGGACTCCATGTTGAAAACACGACGAATGTAGAAATGAAGTGCCGCCAGCGACGATAGCAAGCGACAGTACGGAAGACGACTTTCAATGGAATATTCACGCCATACGCGCCCTCTGTACTTCCGCCATTGTCGGTTTCCAGTCGCTTTTGGAGAATTTCCTTCTCGGAATCCGTAAACTTGATAATTCCCGGGCTTAATAATGGTCTGGTAAGATCCGGTGATCCAGGTAGGAGTAGTGATAGGAGGAATGAGACGAAGATGGTGAATAGCCCCTCAACTGTTGACGTGTTAGCGAATGAAGTCTTGTAGTTAGAACATACATACTCAGGAAGAGCCACTGCCATCCTCGAATACCATGTCGACCATCGAGCATCAAAATACCAGAGGCCAGGATAGGGCTCAAGGCATTACCACCAAACATCCCAAAGAAGAAAATGGCAACTCTCTTGGCCAATTCTCTTTTCGTATACCACGACGACAAAGTGTAGACTGCACCAGGAATATACCCTGCCTCAGCGAACCCTAAAAGCAGCCGTATAGCTAGGAAAGATCCTCGATTGCGAACAAATACTTGCATGGTAGCAAGCAAGCCGAAGAGAAAAACCTGAGCCGAAATCCACTTGCGAGGACCAACCTGTCAAAGTTCTTATTAGAATCATATCTCCAGAGAAGTAGTCTCGTACATACTCGTTGCAAGGCCATGTTACATGGTATTTCAAAGACCACGATCCCCATAAACATGAGCTGATTCCCCAAATTGATTGTAGACTGTGAAATGTTGATATCAGCGGCGAAGCCACCAGTCAATGCACTCGCAATGTTCATGCGATCTAGCTGGAAAACGAGAAGACCGAGGAAGAGCAGAGGCAGGACGGTCACATCGATCCTGGCGAAATGAATGTCAGCGTTCCATCCTTGGTACTCTCTCTGGGGATCATTGGTGGTTACTTTCTGCGAGCCTTTTGCTCTTGGCTGGGATCCCATTCTGGCAATTGACCCAGTGTTGATGAAGTAGAATGTCCAGAGTCACTAGCCTTGAGATCTAGCTTTTCATCGTTCATTTTGATATCCATAATGTATCATTCCCCTCAGGGAGATTGGTAAAGAGAGCTTGTTAATACCCAACAGCGTGAGGCGAGGTAGAGATAGCAGAACCCGATGAATATTGCAAGTAAGTATAAACTACTCCGTACAGAGTATAAATTATAGATTCCACTTTGTCTTATCAACTGCTATGGAGTAGATATTTACCTCATTCGCTATACCATAATCTATAATATGGCGTGCTACGATAAATCTCTCCTTAAAAAACCTCACGACAGACCTTCAAAATATTTGTTGAACCGTAATTCTTCTTGGGGCCGCGTCTTACTTTAACGGGATTTGAAGGGGTTTGAAGGTAAATTGGACAGGTGAAGTATTCTGGCGTTGTAACTGGTTCGATCGAGGTCGTAGCCCCGCGACGCCAAATTGCGTGACAGGGCCCATAAACCACGACAGCAGCGAACCCTAGATCGATGCTAGAACACCCCAGATCGGTATTTGCGACGGGATCTCGCTTGCATCTATATATCGCAATTATATATCGGGATTCTTCTATAGCTTTTTTAATTTAATTATTTTTTTAGTTTCTTTCATTTTTATCATGGTGCCTGTTAAACGAGTCGCCGTCATCGGCGCTGGGCCGGCGGGAGCCATTGCCATCGATGCTCTGGCGCAAGAAAAGACCTTTGACATTATCCGTGTATTTGAGCGTCGCGAGGGTGCTGGAGGATGTTGGTCCGTTTATTTTTTCACGATGTTCTTCGGCAATGACTGACATGAAAAACTAGGATTGGCGACTCATCGCAGCCTCCAACGCTCCGCGACTTTGCATCTCTGGCGACAAGAACAGCTGACCAACCGTTACCTATCCCCGAAAAGCTGCCTGCACAGACTCCCAAGTCAGATCAGCCTCGTTTTACTGAGTCATCTGTGTACCCTTATCTGGAAACCAATGTCGACTATCTGCCCATGCAATTCTCCCAGGAACCTTTCCCAGTAGAGCGCAGCGAACTCTCTATATCTCACCACGGACCTGAAACTCCATTCCGAAAGTGGGATGTGGTTCGGAAATACGTTGAGAGTCTAGTAGACCGCCGGGGTTACAGCGACTTCGTTTCATACAATACCACAGTCGAATTGGTCGAGAAGGTGGGGACGGAGTGGAAGGTAACACTCCGTAAAAATGGAGAGAAGAGTGACTATTGGTGGGTCGAATGGTTTGATGCGGTTGTTGTGGCAAGTGGACACTTCTGGGTCCCATATATACCCCAAATAGAAGGCCTGGAGGCATTTGAGAAGACCAGACCGGGCAGCGTGATTCACAGCAAACACTTCCGCGGGAGAGAGAAGTTTGCCGACAAGGTAATCAAGATTCTCAAATCACACAATTAAATTGTCCCAGGCTTATTATACTGACATGATTATTCCAGCGAGTTGTGGTTGTCGGCGCATCTGTCTCAGCAGCCGACATCGCAGTCGATCTTGTGGAAACGGCGAAGACACCAGTCCACGCAATCACAATTGGCCATGCCCCTAACGGGTACTTCGGTGATGAAGCGTTCAATCACCCCAAGATACAAAAACATCCCTCAATAGAACGAGTCTCGAACAGGACTGTACACTTGACGAACGGAAATTGCATCAAGGACGTTGACCACATAGTCTTCGGCACAGGCTACAGCTGGACTCTACCATTCCTACCGTCCGTCCCAGTTCGCAATAACCGTGTCCCCGATCTGTACCAACACATTGTGTGGCAGAAAGACCCAACACTTTTGTTCGTCGGCGCCGTCGCAGCCGGTCTGACATTCAAGGTCTTCGAATGGCAATCGGTATTAGCCGCACGGCTGCTGGCTGGTCGAGCCATTCTACCATCGGCTGAAGTGATGCAGAAATGGGAAGCAGATCGTGTAAAAGCTCGAGGCGATGGCGTGAAGTTTACACTGCTCTTCCCAGACTTCGAAGACTACTTTGAGACGCTGAGGCGTTTAGCTGGTGAGGGGGAGGAGGGCAAGGGACGAAAGCTGCCTAAGTTTCGCCGCGAGTGGGTAAGAGCATTTTTTGAGGGACTTGAACGTCGCAAGGCTATGTGGAAGAGGTTGAACTTTAAATCTCGGGCTTTGTTGAATAATGAGACTGTCCACAAGGAAGTAGCTCGGCTTTGAGCCCAACTAAGCGAAGTTCCAATCCATTCAGGTAGATTTTATATTATTTGGTCCTTTCAAGCTTAAATGTAGATAGTACCCCTTAGAGACAGGTCAATTTATTACGGGAAAGCATGGGTGTCGAATCAACTTCAACCTTGCCGGAGGAAGCTCTCGTGGTAAGAGATGGAGCCAGATAAAAATGAGATGAGTTGGGTAGAAGATGAGCTTTATTAAGAGGAATGGATAACAGCCATAATAACTCCGTTTGAACCCATTTTCAACAGGTAGCCGCTTTCATTCTTTTATGAGCTCTTTTCTCATGATAATGAACACCTGAATATGGGTCATTTGTATAAACTGGACTAATGGATATCAATTATCGTCACCCGCGCTAAGGGATGAAGTATCGTATGATGGGCATAGTAACCCCTATTGCACATACATTCTAGTATTGCAGTCAATATTCTGTGGCGCTATCTGTAAATGCGTGATGGGAATTATTGGGAGATTTCAAGCTAGTATTCCAACTTGATGAAAGGCTTTTGATGCAGCATTTTGAAGTGGACGGGGAAGAGGAAGTGAAAGAGGAGGCGGAAGAAGACGGAAGAGGAGATTGCCATGTCATGGGTCGTCGGTCTGGGCCTTCATTGACGAAAAGGTGGCACGGATGTATTAAAAAGCCTCACGCTAATATGTGCAGCTGGACATCAGCTTTGGGCATGCAACATACACCCTCCTGAGCTCGGTCCTCTTGGGCCATTTTCAGACCAGTGAAACCTTGTTTCCCATTTTAAGGGCCTCTACAGCACTCGAAATCATCTTGCTTCTCACGGGTTGGGAGACGATCTTTAAAGAGTGAAGGTACTTTGAAGAGAATGAGATGATACAGACGATATCGCAGAACTGGAAAAAGGCGAAACTGTGATTCCAAATACTCTCAACATTTTAGAGATGTGCTTTAAGGGAGTCTTATGATAAGGAACTGGGGACAAGGTCGAGGTGTCTTGCAAACGGCTCAAGCAACGGGGGCATAGCTCACTGTCAATCAGGAGAGGTAATCATGCCAAGCCCATAACTACCCACTGGAAACCCCAAATGAGGTAAGTAGTCAAAGGTCGTTAAGGTCATTAAATTTGTTGCCGCCTGGATCCTTCTAGAGCTCTGGATCATCTTCTGCCTTCCACTCCTTCACAGTGAATCCGTTTGGAATATGAGAATCAACGCCTTCAAGGATCTTCAGCCTGGCAGTTTGGCATCTTTTTCGCGCGCCAGTTGCTCAATTTGGGCTACGAAATCCAGATCAGATTTGTAATTTAGATAGGGGGTACCTGTATCCACGGCCATCCCTCAACTTGGACCAGAACAATTGTTCATACTTTACCAGTCTATACGGTGTGACATTGGCTGTTGTTGTCGAATGGAATCCAAGTCTTGACGCTGATGACTGTGAATTTCAACCGGAGTACAGTTACTGTATCGTCAAATCGTGGGACGGTAAAGCTTCCCCGGCCCCTATATACTATCCAAGTTTCTGAAAGACGCAATTAACATTTTATAAGATACTTCATTAGCATCCAATGAAACGATATTAGAATGCGAGACAATGTCGAGTCCTCTTGGATAGTGGATGGAACCTTATCAGGCTGCAGCTGCTACGTCGCTATATATGGTTACTACAACATCAGTAAGTGGGAAATAACCTCCTTAGCAAGCTTATGAGTATCGAAAATAAATCATTTAAAGCTCTCACTTGCGATATAATCGAAACTGGGGACAAGGCAATTTCAGAGTCACTCTTGGAGGCTTTGAACCCCTGGATAGGAACAGGCAACTGCACGACCGGGCTATTATCTGGCTTGACCAGCGATGCGGCTCGTGCAGTCTGCATTGCTTCCAACTCTATGATACCCGTGGCATCCTCTTCCCTTCATGTATCCACACAAGTGATAATCACCACTACAGCTACCAGTACTGCTTTTGTCGCGGGCTCTACCACAATATCGCTCGTCATGGAACCGGGATATACATCTAGCTGCGACCAATACTATAAAGTTGTCAGTGGAGACTCATGCTATAGCATTGCACAATCATATGGAATTACTCTTGCTGAGTCCTACAGCTGGAACCCAGATGTCGGCGATGATTGTGCTAGCCTCTAGTTAGGGTACGGGGTTTGTGTTGGTGTTTTTTTAAATGGCACCGCTTTTGCGACTGCAACTGCGACAAATTCCTCAATAAACATTGCTACCATCACCGAGAGAAAGATGCTTTCTATATATCTTGGCGTGAGAAGTTGATTTGGACGTGAAAGGGGTATGGCATAGCTAGATTCATAGCAATTCGCACAACCTGGAAATAGCTCTCAAGTACTAATTTTCTCTGAGGTAGTTGCTTCTGATTGTCATGACAGACCTGAAGTCTCCCTAGATAAATCTGAAGATAACTACTCCCACACCTCACCTTCCAACACAGTGCCAAATATTATACAACAGAACTATCATCTTAGTGAATAAAGCGTTTGGCAATTATGCTTATCGGTATTTCTGGCCAATTTAAGGATATCAGCTTATTTATTAGAAACGATATCCCTATATAACTAGACCTTGACAAGTCCCGCAGCTAGTCTTCCGCACGACCCAGTAATGGGTCTGGGTCGAACTGGCTAACCCAGTATTGGGTCTGGGGCCCCAAATTTGGTTACAAACTAAGCAAACACGCTAATTGTGTGTATAATTCTGCTTGTTTAGCTGGGTTATGACTGCCAAGACCCCCTTCTATGTAGAAACTGGGTCGAACTGGGCCTATACTGGGTCTGGGTTGGGTTCTGGGTCGAGACCTTCGACCCAAAATGGGCTATGCGGAAGACTACTCCTATTGGAGTAGATATGACTAGGATATGGGACCAAAATCCTTTTAGTCCCATGGGAGTTGTTTTAAGGCCTAGGACCTTGGGCCCAAAGTTGGGCTTTGCGGAAGTCTAGTTAGAAGGTTAGACCCTTAAACCGCCCTGCTACTAGGGCGGTTTAAGGATTATGAGGGTTACCTATAGATAGTCATATATAACTAGTTAGACTGCAATAGGTTAATTGAACTTTGATTGATTGATTGATTGACAGTAATATGATTGATTGACAGTAATATGATTGATTGACAGTAATATGATTGATTGACAGTAATAATTACAATCGACTCCGCGTTGGTGTTACTTTTGACAAAGCACAGACAGATTTACAGTATCAACAAGAGTAGGAAGTGAGCTATTGACTTTAGCCTGCAAAATCAATTTCCCCATTCTCCGCATTACCCTGCTCAGAGTTATAGCTGACGCCAGCGACCTTGAGCCCATCACGATTAAGAAGCGTGATAGTGTCACCGTCTGTAGATAAGGGGCAATTCGGAACCTCAAAGACCTTGGTAGCCTTTGCATCTACAGCCGCATTGCTAGGGAGAACCTGTTGTTCCAAGCGCGAATTGCGGATCCTCCAACGTGCGAGTGATATCTTGCGGTTCGTGAGGTTCGCCAGGGTAACAGACTGCTGCTTGTCTTCTCCTTGGCCAAAAGAATCCACAACGGCCTTGTGGATAGCAAGTGAATTTTCGACAAGGTCACCAGGCAGGAGGTCTTTCCAGGTGACTCGTGATATGGCATGGCCAGTATCCTCGCTTGTATGCACGGCCTGCGATGCAAAGGCGAGGAAAATACCAACCCATTTATCAGTCTCTGGGAAATGGAAGATAAGCGCGCCGTCCTGGTACACGCCATCGTCACCCGACCACTTTTCGATGTTGCCCTGATTCATGTGGACATTGTGTATTCCATCATCTGAGTCGTATCGCTCACCGAAGATGTAAACGACAGCCCTTTCCTTGATTGCTTGCTCGACTTTAGGCTCCAGGACATCGATAATGTCATTATTTGGACCATTGATGTCGTGCTGAAGAACCCGACCGGTATTCACGTCAAAGAGGTTGCCCCGGATGTAATCAAGCCGTAGGCCGTGCGGTCCTGGCTCTTTATCGTCCAAGCGCTCGAAGCCGGTCTCGAGCTTCGACAGACCCCTGACGAGAGGATGGCCGCTCATATCCTCATTTACCCAATAGACAAGTCGCGACTCTTTTGGATCTCCAGACTTGATATTTATGGCGGCGTTATATTCTGGCCCTCCATTATTGCGAAAATAGAGAGTTAGATGAGGTGTTTTGGTCCCACGACGTTGAACATGGTATCTTTTGGGATGAGCCTTCCAGACGCCGTAATTGTCGAGCGGCATGTTGCTTCTAAGCTGGAAATGATGATATAATCAAAAGCTCTCGTTGACCGTAATATACAAGGGTTGTCAGGATGGAATAGGTTAGATTTGGGGGCATTTATACCCTGGGGTTTGTGGTCAGACGACGGGGAGGGAGCTTTTGAATAACGTCACCTCCTGGAGTGTTGAGACTTCCTACCATGGTTAGCTTCACGTCACGCATATGTGAACCGCAACTAATATTATTCAATTAAGTATCAATTATACTTGTGTGAACAGGTAGTTTCATCTAGGGTAACCAACTCCATAGCACGTAGATAGACTGAGCACCCCATGATCGTCCAAGGGCTCGCTAATGATGCCCATCATTACTTTACGGCTTTGGAGTTGATTTGTCTGCTCTGGTAAAGACCATGGTACTGAATCTGAGAACAAGAGTGCCGTACAGAATTAAAAATGGCAGCGTCGAGAAGACCCAAAGGTTAAGTTTGTTCTAGACTCATGTCCCAGTATCATTTCTTCATTTGGTTGAATTAGACCTGATCCTAGGTGCTGACTTTCTTACATTTAATCACTACGTAATGAGGCAATAATGAATGGCAGTCTGGAGAATCTACCTTTGTCTGTAAAAGGGCTGGATGAATTTCACCTATCGAAACAAAGATAGCGTCATTTTCCGATAAGCAAATCATATAATGCTCAAGTCCAATTAAAAAGATTAATAGTGCACTATAGAGTCGGGAATACCTTTTAAGTAATTTACATAAATAAATTTAGTCAAGAGATGGAACTTCCGTAATAGGTCGCTAAAAATTCATATTCGCGTTTCGAATATTAGGATGGTTAATTTGCTTTAATCGGATCATGTGTTGGTTTGCTTGGCTTGGTCTATGGTCAACTGGGACACTTACATTCCTTTCTGGCAAATAGAAGACCAGATGTCATTGAGACATCCGCATGCGGGTAGCTATAACACATATAATGTGGTTGAGATAAAGTTAAGGTATATGAAGGTGAAAACCCCTGTTATTCGTCGGAATGTATAATGGCTTAGTGACCCCACTTTATCTTACTTTCTTTGTAGCATTTTTTGCCACATTATCATCAGCAGATGTAAATTGCTGTCAACTCCATAGTGCACCTCATGAATGATCTAGATCCACCTCACACCATGTGATTCCATTTCGTATTTGCAAAGAAGAAGCAAAGAATCTTCAGTCTTACTCGCCGCACCTTGGAGCAGATTCAAAGTAAAACCAGGCCAGGCGCTTCTAACTCTTATCATAGTGATCCACTTGCGTATTTCTAGATCATCATTGTCGAGGCCGCATCGCATAGTTTTTATCATTGTGGTGAAAAAGTCTGATCTTGTCCAGACCTTTTTATTCAAAGGTATTAGCTATTTCAGGTTATCCATGATTTCACTTCATGCAGTACCCCTAAATGGCCCAGAACACAAACATTGATATTTGCGGATACCAGATTACTGATCCAAATTCATTCGTAAGAACTCAACTTCATTTCCATAACTTCATTTTCATTCACTTACTAAAAATTGTCGGCCATGTGATAGTCCTAATCTAGATCGATTACATCTATATATCTAACCGGCTTCCCGCTCAAATCTAATACATCTATTTCCAATTCAGAAGAACCAAACCCTAAATCCTAAACAGCCGAGTATATCTCAGATGTCGGCAGTTTGATGGGGGTGACTCCACCACCCCATAGCCCGGCACAACTGGCCCAGTCTAATCAATCACAATCAGTCCCGAGGTGAGGTCTTGTTATCGTCTTACGTAAACACTGGGACATCGATGAATTCAGGGGTACGTACCGCCCAGAGTGAACGGATGGAGAGATCCACAAGGAGGTTGAGGAGTATAAAGATCCAGAGGATATAATGTCCATACCAGATAGAAAGGATTTGATTTTCTTTAAGGAGGTTAACGGGTTAAGAGCTCCTATTCTAGGGTAGATATATACGGAAATTAGATCTATAGTATCCTTATACAATAACCTTCTTTTAAACCAGATTAATATAAAGCTTAGCATAAAATATTTGCCTAGCTACCTAGGGTATTTCTAAACTAAGACAACGATGAGTGGAAAATTAGTATAGGCTGACGTAACCCTTTATTTAGACTTGCCAGTGGAGATAAATATATATAGTTAAAGTGATTGTAAAATTGGAAGCTTTTTTCTTTTCTCTTTCTTCAATCTGTGACTAGATAATGGATGCTTTTATTTGCTATGTTATATATTGTGCAAATTTGACGCGTAACTGGTAGCTCTGGGAGTCAAAAGGCTTTGTAGGTTCTATAGTATCGACTGAACATAGGGTCCCTCGGCTGATCACATCGGCACTTAGAAATGTGTGGACAGCCCCACCTTGCGAGCCTGGCAATAGGCCATATAGCCCTACAGGATCAAGCTTCAATGTTGGGAAGATTAACTAAGACTTTCCTTATTTAGAGGACCTCGTTTTGCATGCTACACAAATGCAAAGCAAGACTAGTACATATGATCAAACTCACGAAAACGGACTTGTAAAAAGACATTCAGGGAACAGAAAACGGAAATTCAAAGAAATATAAGGGTCTTCCTTTTAGAAGTGTTCTTCTTTTAAAACCCCAATGCTGGGTTCTCGCTTTGATTGCTTAAAGCAATCAATCTCGGCATGATTTGATCCAAGAGCCACTGAACTGCATATTGTAAGTGGTGTTATCCCACACCCTCCTACTCTCTCTGCACCATGTGGTGCGTCAAATGACAAAATTTCCCCGTGGGGGTGGGGCCTTCCCCGCATTTACACCCCGCTACTGCAAGCTCATTTCGGCACATGAGATGGCTTGGGCCTTTTTACATCGGTATTCTGCCCATCTCTCTTCCACTCCATCTGCTCATAATAAGCCACCTCGGTGAAATGACGGCCGTTCACGACAAGCTCTTCCCCGCAAAAGGCTTCTTGTGGTAATATGGCCGTGCTTAACTCTGAGACTAACTAAGAAAGAAGATTGGCCCGGGGCTTACTACGCCCAAAATGGCTGAGATGTTGTGTCTCATTCTGCCGAAGTATACCCGGGCGCCCTCAGCATGGAATCTCCCGGGATTGAAACTGTTCGAAATACCGAAGCTAGGAAGGGGTTCGCGATATAAAAGGGGCTTGAGTCTCACAGAGTCGAAACATACTATTCAGCGACAGTCGGTTTATGGTCTTCTCTAATCATGTTTATCTCATGGAGAAAGGCAGTTGTACTTCTGGGCTTCACAGTGGGGAGGTTGGTGCTCGCAGAGGACATCATTACTAGTGATACGACTTTCTATGGGCAATCCCCTCCAGTTTATCCTTCACGTACGCCATAATATCGATGCTTTCTTTTTGCTTTGGGAGTTACTGCTAATCGAATGAGTAGCCGAAGGCACCGGCGCTGGAGATTGGGCATCTGCATACCAGAAAGCCAAAGCATTTGTCGCCAAGTTATCTGACGATGAGAAGGTCAATCTAACTGCAGGTGTTTCTTCTGAGAATGGATGTTCTGGAAATATCCAGGGTATTCCTCGATTGGGATTCCCAGGAATGTGTGTCAGCGATGCCGGTAATGGCTTGGTGAGTTCTCGTCCACAATTGAAATGGATGAGATATTAATTCGACCTGCTTGTAGAGAGGACCTGATTTTGTCAACAGTTGGTCATCTGGAATCCATGTAGGGGCGAGGTTGGTCTTGAATCATTTGAAAATTCTGTTACTGCATTTTACTGACATCACTCCTTCATATAGTTGGAACCGCGACCTTGCCAAGGCCCGAGCTGTCTACATGGGAAAGGAGTTTCGGAAAAAAGGCGTGAACATGATCCTGGGCCCTGTCGTTGGTCCCATCGGCCGTGTAACACTTGGTGGCCGTAATTGGGAAGGGTTCGCTGCGGATCCATACCTGAGTGGGATCCTGGCTGCCGAGTCGGTCAAGGGTCTTCAATCCCAAAACGTTGCCACATCTCTGAAGGTTCGTCAAAGCGAGCACTGGAGAGCTTCCAGATCTAAAATTGCGTTAGCATTACATCGGAAATGAGCAAGAAACCAACCGCAATCCAGAAACAGATTCCAATGGGCACTATGTTGAGGCCGTCTCTTCTAACATCGACGACAAGACACTCCATGAACTCTATCTATGGCCTTTCCAAGACGCAGTACTTGCTGGAACTACTTGCGTCATGTGCTCATACAACCGTTTGAATAATTCATACGCTTGTCAGAATAGCAAGACCCTCAATGGCCTTCTGAAAACAGAGCTTGGCTTTCAAGGTACGCAAATCCTCCCCAACGTTTCCACGGAACCAAAAGCCTTACAATTATGATGACTAGGATACGTTATTTCTGACTGGTATGCGCAACATGCTGGCATTTCCTCTGCCAGTGCTGGTTTGGATGTTGTTATGCCAAGCTCAAGTTACTGGAACAGCAATTTGACTACAGCGATCACAAATGGAACCATGGAGGCATCACGTCTAGATGACATGATTACAAGGTACGGAAAACTTGCAATTTAACAAGAATTGACGTGCATAAAACTAAAAATCAAATGAGCAGACTGATGGCGACGTGGTATTATCTTGATCAAGATTCGGCCTTCCCAAGTCCTGGCATCGGCATTCCATCTAGCATAAGTGCCGCGCACCAGGCTATTATTGCTACCTCCGAAGCAGCAAAATCAGTGCTTTTGCAATCGTCCATTGAGGGACACGTTCTGGTGAAGAACAAAAACAACGCCCTTCCTCTCAAACCCCCGGAACTAGTCTCTGTTTTCGGATATGATGCCTATACACCGATGTCTTACACTCTTGCAACTTCATTCAGCTTCCCAACTACAGAGCGATCAGACCTCTATCATAATGGAACCTTGTATAGTGGCGGTGGATCTGGCGCGAACTCACCCGCGTATATTGACTCCCCAATCGAAGCTCTGCAGCGTCGAGCCTACGAAGACGGCTCTTCTATTCTCTGGGATTTTACCTCGGAAAATCCTACCGTCAATTACGTGTCGGACGTATGCCTGGTCTTCATCAATGCTTACGCTACGGAAGGTGCTGATCGAGAGGCTCTTTCCGACAGCCACAGCGATACGATTGTGACGAATGTCGCAAAAAATTGTGCAAACACTGTTGTTGTGGTCCACAATGCTGGGATCCGCACGATCGAGTCTTGGGTAGATCATGCAAATGTGACCGGTGTCATCTTTGCCCATCTACCTGGTCAGGACACCGGTCGTGCATTGGTAGATATTCTCTATGGAGATGCAAACCCTTCAGGCAAACTTCCATACACAGTTGCAAAGCAAAGCCCTGACTATGGGTCTCTGCTTGAGCCATCTCAGCCCGAAGGGGAATATGAGTACTTCCCCCAGTCTAACTTTTCGGAAGGAGTTTATATCGACTATCGTGCGTTTGATCAAAGTGGAATCGAGCCCCAGTACGCGTTCGGATATGGTCTATCATACACTACATTTGGCTACTCTAATCTCAAAGTATCGAAGACTTCGGCCTCTTTGACTAGTTATCCCGCAAAGGCTTCGATTCTTCCGGGCGGAAACCCTCGGCTCTTTGATACGCTAGTTAAGATCTCTGCCACTGTGAAAAATACTGGAAACGTTGATGGGAAGGAAGTCGCACAGCTCTATGTTGGAATTCCTGGTGGACCTGTTCGCCAGCTTCGGGGCTTTGAGAAGGTCTTGATCAAGTCTGGCAAAACGACGACCGTCACTTTCAGCCTTACTCGGCGAGACTTGAGCACGTGGGATACTGATGCACAGGAATGGCTACTCCAGCGTGGAACATATCAGATCTATGTTGGACGAAGTAGCAGGGACCTGCCACTTACGGGGACTTTGACGATTTAATTTCAAATTTGATCTACTTATCTACGTTCAAAGGTGTAGGGGATCGCGACTACCATGCTCATCCAAAAGCAAAGTCGTTTGATCGAACATGTTGCCTCTGATTCTAAATAAGACCCAATATGAAGTGCACAACTCAAAATAGACTTCAAAAAGATAATAATTGTGTAAAAGAATATTTGAAGAGGCTGTTGTTTGCAGACTAAGCGATCAGAAGACCCGTGGACATATAAATGCCTTATCTTTGGTAGATACCCTTCTTTCTCCCCTATATCTATAACACTATAGCTACTCAATATATATATGGATCTATCTCCGTTTGCTGACAGAGGTCAGCAGTCAAACGAACCGAATGAGACAACCCCCGGATTCAGGTGTTTGCTCCATCTCTCTTTCCTCAGTGCTCTGTACCAATTAGTCTAACAAGTGAAAGCTTAATCATTCACTTCTACTCTCATCACGTCCATCTCTATTGTCATTCATCAAGACGTTCAAACACATTGCATCATGGTCGGAAATTGGATCTTTCCGCATCCCTCAGATGACAGACTCCAGGTCTTTGAGGAGAAGATTGACTATCGATTCACCGATCGCCTTCTCGCCCGGGAGGCACTCCAATCTCCGAACAGTTCAAACGAAGATGGCAATAGGACATTTGCTTTAATCGGGGACAAAGTCATCGACTTGGTCATTGTGACCACTGGCCGCAAAAACAACAAGACGCGAAGTAAGCATACCCCCTGGCTACTTTACTTGATTTCATCAGCTTATGATTTTGACTCCGAGTAGGCAAAATCAACGATATGATCCAGCAGAGGGCTGTAATGCCCATCTCTCCAAGCAGGGGTTCGATCTCGGCATCGACCAATTTATTGTCAAAAACCCTATCCAGTTGGACATTGGGAACAGGCTTATGGCTACCACAATGGAGGCGATTATCGGGGCCGTAAACCTCAACTGTAACGGGCAGATACCACTATGTGCCGGTGCCATGGCCGCATTGGGGATCTCTTGGCCCCAATGAACACCATTCAACTGCCACGGTGAGATACAGAACCCCCCGACGTAGGGGCTAGCAGGATATATTGCAGCCTGTGGGGAAGGGGGGAGTGGCGGTTTCATTTGATAGCGGAGTGGATTGTAATGACTTGTATCCCACAACACTATTCAATGAACCTTACCCATACCCATAATTGATCCCGCTTGTTCCTATGCGGGGGGTTGTGTACGTTTCCGCGGTCTGGAATTGGTTTTTTCGGGGAAATATTGCAAGGGATACTGGCAGATGAGAATGAAATCCTGGGGACTGGGGAGAGAAAGCATTGTTGCACTGATTCTGGTATTATCCTCGCCTCGTAGCCATATCCTGATGGACAGCGGCTTATTGCTCGAAACAGGTATGTTTTAGTCATAAACCACTACTTCGTATAGGATTTGGGTAAGTGAGCTATTGATGGTCTACGTGGGCCTATTATTGTATTTAGATCGACCTATCGCAGTATTTCCATTCCTTAGCCCCCTGAATTCTTCAAACATCTACTTTCAGTTCACCCAGAATTTGTGCGAAAACGGTCGATAGGATCGTAGGTTACACTGCTACCTATCTTCTTGAGATATTGGCTGACTCCTCTAGTATCTTGAGGGTCGCGCTGCAGAGTATGACCCATCACCTTTGACAAGCGGATTCTTCGAAATCTATCACTTCACCTATTGAGAACTCATGGGAAAGAGATATATGGGTGGCGCTTCTCTCCATTTTGGTCAAAGTACATTACAATTCTCAATTTTATATACAGATTCAAATCATATCCTAGAATTTTTCAAGCCCCTCGAATCCTGTCCCAAACATCCTCAAACCCCTCAAAGCTTGGAATATCCTTCACCCGCAGTTGATCCACGATACCTTCGATAGAAGCTCCATTTTCAAGCAGTACTCTAGCCACCTTCAAATAGTCTTCATGATAATCGTGGCGGTCTTCAATATCATCCTCATCGTCTCCATACCATGCCTGTGGATCTAATGCTATGTGAAGAGCAGTCGGTCCACATATTCTTCCGTCAGACCTTTTGAAGCATCCTGTATTCGCATTCACGTCTGCACCATGCTTCAAAAGAAGCTCAACCATGTTGATATTACCCCCAATTACGGCCAAATGGAGGGGGTGAGCATTCCATGATTCCTTGTCGGAGTCAAAATCTGGTAAGTTATCCTCGTCGAACTGTGTGGTGGAAGCGCAGATGCTAGCCCCGGCAGCAATCAGTTTCTCGACTGTTGCGACTTCATCGCCGCGTGTGGCGCCGTGCAGTGGACGCCATCCACGACTGTCAGCTTTTTCAATATCAACGTTGCATTCCAGCAAGAAAGAGACTGCCTTTGTCATCCCCCGAGCGGATACATGATAAAGAAGTGACGGGTGCTTTCCAGAAAGTGCGGCGCAAGAGTTGAAATCACTCTCGAGCTTGAGAAGGTACAGAAACATGGTCTCGTTGTAATTCTTCAAAGCGTTCCAAATCATGGTGTTTCCTCTTTCGTTCGTTTTGTTTGCTATCTGTTGACAAATTTCTGCATCAAGGAGGAAGGCTCTAGCCTCAACAGAGCGATAGGCATGATGATCGGAAGTATGTTCCGCCATATTCACCGGAAGAAGGAGCCGTACAATATCATGATAAGGTGTATCATCTTCAGCCGAGCGATGTAGTGAAAATGCGGCACAATGGATGGGAAAATAGCCATTTTCATCTGGTACATCTGCATAAGCACCATGGGAGATTAAACTAATGACCAAATCGACGTTCCCTGTGTTTGCGGCGAAGTGCAATAATGTTTCATTGATTGAGTTCTTGTGGTTAAGCTTCTCAGCACGTTTCAACGCCAGGCATATGCAGTCGAAAATCTCTTTATTGCTTTGCTGGCCCTTATATTCCAAATATTGGGTCCAATGCCCCGGCTTTGGGGATTTTGAGGCATGCGATATCAGGCAATGCAGTGACTCTGTGTTGTTGACTGCTGCAGCCGTCAAAATGGGATCAAATTTATTTTCAAAAGACTGGAAGCAATCAGCACCAAGCTTTAATAGAGCAGATGTAATCTGAGCCATTGGAATCTTCTCGGCTGCGAGAAGAAGAGGAGTTGTGTTTGTTTCTGAGTCACAAAAGTTCACGTCTGCACCCGCCGACACCAAACTAGTCAGAATTGGCTCGAAGGCCTGCACCATGTCCTCGTGTGGAAGTGTTGGTTTTTGAAGGCCATTCTTTGCCCTTGCCTGTGCAAATAAACTGCTAAATCCAGCGCGAGATAGCATCTTTCTGGACGAAGAAAGCAGGGAGGAGGGTCCAGCGAAAAGTCGGTCATCAATGCTCTTTACCAATTCCAAAGCAGCATCATCACCTGGTGACACCCCACTCCCAATAAGGCGTTCGACGATCTCAATTTGAAGGTCTCTGGCCGCATCTGTCACAATAGCCCGAGCACTAGGGCTGGTGGGGGGCTGCGCTCCAAAGTTCATCAAGAGCCGAGCTATACTCCAAGCTCTCCGCCTCAATGCATTAGTCAATGGCGTGTCTAATTGAATGTCTCCGTCATCTGAAGACTTGGAAACAATGGATTGACAAGTTTGCCGGGCCAGTAATGAGATGATTTCTTCTTCTGACAATCCACGGAACAACAGGCGGAGAACTTCTTCCACCTCTTCCACATCCCAGCTCGGCTTCACGGATTCCATCATGGTATGGATTGGACTCCGCTGGCTCTCGTCAACAGTCTCAATGTTAGACCCAGGCCCCATAAAAAGCTCGATGCATTTCACACTCCGATGCCTTGCTGCATCGTGCAAAGCAGTTTTGCCTTCTTTATCTTGGAACCCGGCATCAACTCCTTTCAAAAGCAGCATGCGAACCATTTCAGCACCCAAAGCCCTCTTCTCTGAATCCTCATTGTCCGCACCGGCAAGACAAACAGCCACCGTTAGATAGCTTCGCCATTCATCTTTGTTGGAATTGACATCTAAACCACCTTCAATCAGAGCCTGTGCTGTCGCAACAAATCCGTTCGACACTGCGATGTATAGGGCATTCCATCCACACTCATGCAACTCAAATTGTGCCCCTTTAGATAACAAAAGTAGTACAAATTGTGGATCTTGTTGACCCGCGGCTGCATCCAAAGGTGTTTTAGTATGCCACCGATCATTCACATGAGCACCGTCATGGTCGAGGATGACTTTCGCAGTTTCCAAGTACCCGAGGTTGATAGCAGTCTGCAAAGGAGGCTCGCATGTTCCACTATTTCGTCCTTCGGCACCCTTTTCCAGCAGAGCCTGTGCAAAACGTGGGTCTCTCTGTTGTGCGGCAAAGTTCAACGGCGATTTGTATCCAGAAACGTAATTCACATCTGCGCCGAGTTCAAGAAACAATTCAGCTGCCTGGAAATCAGCATCTTGGATAGCAGAGACAAGTAGAATTGACTTCCATTTTGATGGATCTTCCTTCATTAATCCATGGAGGTAACTTCTCGGGTCCTCGTTCACGTATGTCTCTCCGGCGATCAATTCGCCTGGGCGAATTGGATGTCCGTTCAAGAGTGACTCCAGTGTGTTGTGCCACGTGCTCTCAGCAAGAGGAACTTTGAAGCTCTCTCTGGACCAGATCTTCTGGAAATCTTCCCCTCTAGTAGAATCTAGTGTATCAAAGTGGGCAACAAGCAGGTCGAATATTGTAGCATTCTTGCCCTCAGCTGCTATTTGTATTGGCGAAGTGTGCTCTGGTGTGTTCAATCGTCTGACGTCCTCGACGCTGAGGGTCCGAATATCAGCCTTGGTAACACGCGACAAGTGTGCTTGGTGATGCTGCACAAGCTCTAAAACCACCTGGGTTTCGCCGCGGGATATAGCCCAGTGCAATGCTGTCCATCCGTATTTGTTGCGATGCGTATACTTTGCACGCTCGGATAATAGAAGACGAACAATGTCCAAACTTCCAGTGAATGACGCCCAGAAAAGAGGGGTCCACCCCTGATTGTCTGCAGCATCGAAATTCACTCCACTTCTAACGAGAATTTCGGCAGAGGAAAAATGGCCGTTTGCACAGGCGTAGTGAAGAGGTGTCCAGCCATGGGTATCTGTTAGAGATGCACTGATTCCTGACTCGATCAACGCCCTGAGGGTTCCCGTAAGATTCCAATAAGCCGCAACATGCATTGCCGTTTGATCCGGAAGGATTGAATCAAAAATAGAGTCCAGGAGATTAGTCTCGAGCTCATTGCGGAAGTGTAATGCTTGAACGGCAGCATTCAGGAGCTTCTTGTTGCAAAGTGTAATGCTTGAACGGCAGCATTCAGGAGCTTCTTGTTGCAAATGACAAACCAAACAAGTGACTTCAGATCTTTCCCCACGCTTTCTATTTCGTTCAGATGTCTTGCCCAATTCCGCGAGGCATAATCCAGAAACGGCATTTTATGGAAGCGGAGAGACATCTCCACGCGACTAGTGCATGGACCATCCTTGAACGGACTGAGACACATGTATCGTAGACATGTGTTTGCCATGTCGGTCTCCATATCACATGGTAACAATGCCGTGGATCCGAAGAAGTCGTAAGCAGTCGCATGGACCATTGCAACAGTCTTGTCCTCATGTAACACCACTAGACCAAGACACGATCGAAGAAGAAGATCAGGGCTAATGAACTTATCTTCTTCAACATAATCCTCATCGCTTTTAACAGCGAAGGCATGAATTACTTCATCAATATTTAGACGTCTCTTCGCAAAGACAACCCATCCGATAAATCGTCGAGCAAGTTCTCTCCTTGCAATTGGCTGCATATTGATTCGCTCCAGTGTTAATTGGTATACTTGATTCAACACTGTCGCCTGTTTTTCAAGGGCCTTTTCCATATGAGGAACAGTGGTGAGATTCAATATCTCATCCATAATAAGCTTGGTATGTAAAAACCTAGTATCTGATCAGCGCTGTACTTATTCACCAAGAGTAGACAATTCATACATATTCCCCGACTTTTCCGTGATTCTTCCAATTAACTTCTGTGCCCCTCGAGGAAGCTCGTTCTCTCTAAAGCGAGAGTCGATGTAGATCTCTAAATCTTCCAAATGCGAACATATCTCCATCTTGGTTGCAGAATCCATAGCCTTCCTAATATGACCAAGATCTCGGCTCGTTATCATTACTTTGCACCCACTTCTGACAAACGAAGGCAGATAGGGGAGCAAACCATCTGCTCCAGTCACCTCGTCTGGGCCGTCGACTAGAAGGTATGTCGACTTCAGCTCGCATGCGGTTGCAAATGATTCAGCCAGCCATGCAGGCTCACACTGCTTCATCGGGTCCATGAAGATATGTTTCATTGCCAAAAGCACTTTTTCATCTGCTTGCTCGATTACTTGTCGGATCATACATTGCAAGATTGCCGTGAGGGTTTGCTGCTCCCGAGATGAGAACTGACAAAATACATACACCACGGAGGATGTAGTCTCTGATCTCTGATCCCATAGGTGCCCAATAGTGATTGATCTAACTGTGTCAGCATTATATAGTCATGACTGAGAGGGTTTGAGCAGCTCGTACGAGAGTGTCGATTTGCCGACACCAGCTAGTATCGGTTAGCAAAATCTTGATACGTTGCAGAGAAAGAATTGCTTCATACGGGCTCCGTAACACCAGAGCAGTGATGGGGCTCCAGTACGCCAGCTTTCCACGTTTTGTGAGCTCAGAAACCATCTCCCAGTTCCAGGATAGGCATTTGGTCTGGAGCGTAAAAGGTTATCTGACGTCGGGAACAGCGAGTAAAGATGCTGCCTAATATGCTCTATAGTTTGGATTAGAGCCAGTGTAAAGATTTATGCCATTCAAAGGGCTACAAGCCTTGGTCGATGTCTGTAACCCTTTTGTACGTGGCCGTGGCAACGGGCCTGCTGCAAATTAGTTTTGTTTTTCAAGTAGTTGCCTAGGAAAGGAGATGGACATTCGAACATTATATTTGTTGAAAGAAAATCGGCAAAGAGAGATCGGTAGTAATGCAAAAGGTCAATATAATTTTTCACCTCTTTTTCCTGGAATGGCCACACGAGGCGGCGTAGTCGCTTGTCGAGATCGAGGTGGAGGACCAACATATGGCTGCGAAACTCTTGCAGGGCTTCTTCATTGAGCGAAGATGGCCATAAGGGAAGTTCCAAACCCGTAGATTCCGCCTCTTGTGTAGCCTTTTTAACTCGAAAAAGCACATCTGTGAGCGCTGAAACTTCTTGGAGATACAAATTTTGTGTTTTGGGGGCTGATTTGATGTCCGACACATAGCTGTAGCTGAGTTTGGTAATTTGTCCCACAATCTGGATAAGGTCAGCAATACTGGCAACAAGACCTACTTTCTCGGCCATAGTCGCCTTGAAAGTGATAGCTTCAGCTTGAAAAGACCGTCAAGATGCAGGGTTGCGTGAGAACACAGGTGGGGTCAGGCACGAAGCCAGAATACGAAACGATAACCCAACCAAGTATTTGAATCTCTCGTCTCGTTAAGTTAATGGAAGTAAGTAGGAAAAACAAATTGAAATTCAGAGAAATAGGTTCATCGCCATTCAATTTATACAATGTGAAAATGTTCTATGTTCTACCCCTCGGGCCCTTTTCACACCGCTCAGCGCCAAGTTATATCTCTTAGTTCCAAAAGAACAGATATTTTCTTGTCATCCTTTTAACAAAAAGCCTGAGGCCTCATACCTGAAATTTCCTTAAAATCCCTTGCTCTCTAACATATTTGGACTCGAAAATCAAGCTTCCATTTTACAACAAAGCATGTCGCTTCCCGAAGACTTGCAACGAGCCTCAGTGATCGCTTCTTGTGAAAATCCGTTACCTTGCAATATTGTTAGCCAATACGGCAAACGAATTATCAGAATCTCGGATCACCAAGTCGTTAAATGTGGCCCAGATGTGACAAGAGAAGAATTTGACAATCAACGGATAGCGTATGAACTTGTGGATAGCCGCATTGCTCGTATTCCACGTGTGTATGATTTTTTTCCTGACGAGCGAGGCTGGGGTTATATTGTGATGGAGTTCATAGAAGGAAAGGTTATCGATCCTTTGGATGACATTATCGCTATACAGAGGGTTGCCGGCGTGCTTGATCATTTTGCATCTTTGCGATATAATATCCCTGGGTCAATCTATGGAGGCGCTTGTCGTGGCCTTTTATTCCCTGAAACTGAAGACTTGGTTTTCGACAGCCTTGACCGGATGGAGAAGTGGTTTAACAGCCGGCTTTTCGCGCACAACCCGTCCTTAACCTTACAAGGCTGTGAGCTCGTGCTATGTCATCTAGATATTGCACCTCAAAACATTATATGGCAGGAGGATGGCTCTCTCTGCCTTGTTGATTGGGCATCTGCGGGCTTCTATCCAAGGCTATTTGAGTTCTGTATGCAGTGGATATTTGATGGAAAAGATGGAAGCTTTAATTCCCTTCTGTTAGAGTCGGTGGATCCTCTATCAGATTATGAAATGGCGCAGAAAGAGGCTATTCTGTGTGCGTGGAGGAACATACAAAAGTATCCATTGTAAGTCTAGAGATCTCCAGGTATCACTCCGTTAATGCTCATCTACTCCGTACTTTCAGCCGAAACAAAACGTCAACATCACGCCAAGGATTGTCGAGACATTTGACAAATCTTCTCCCTGTGCCCGCTTATCCAATGCCAGAATACCCAATTGAATGGAATGAAACGGCTGGATGTGAGAAAAGCTCGGTTGCAGAAAATAGAAACTAAAAACATGTTTATAATGGTGTTTCCTGGTATTTGCGTATAGATTTCCCCACGCGCTAAGCTTCCATCTGCCCTCAGAAGAACATCCAAAGGACATCACAAGATCGCAGGCGTGACTGAATTAGGTAGGTACGCTCCAGGGTTCTGGGGTTAACGATGACTGGCACCCGCCTAACCTTCCAAGGATGGCAGATCTACGTCATCATTTCCTGTTCCTATTTGTATCTCAGACGGGGTTACTCAGCTGTCTATTCTCGGGGGGTTATCGGCATATCATTGAAATAACATCATCTGCGACCTGAGGCACTCGACGATGCTGAAAATGCGGAGTACCAGCCGGTCATTTATCGGATGAGCCTTACTCGGTTCGGGATCTGTCGATGCCGATCTGCCATGCCGATCACGATCAATATTGACTCAATGTAACTGCATGTGGATTTAGAACGGATTTCTATTGAACAGTAGCTCATTTATTATCCGTGAATTTTCACATGAGAGAGATCAACGTGAAACTCAATTTCCGAGGTGCTCGCTTGTTTGTTTAGAGATCTAATTTTTGATCGACAGCGGTGGTTGGAGAACATATAAAGAGGCTGGAATTCCCAGAATATTCCGAAGATCACAAAATCCCAAAATCATCCATACATCATGTTGACATTGAATATTTTGACTGCACTATTGGCACCAGGTGTGGTATCATCTGCTTTGCCAGCCCACGATCTCTATGCCCGTGCCGACTTGGATACTGCTGGTGCTCTTCAAGCCATCCTGAACAACATTGGCGCTGATGGGTCTGCTGTTTCTGGAGCATCTGCTGGTATTGTGGTAGCATCTCCATCTAAATCAGACCCTAATTGTGATTTACCTCTCTCCGAATTCGAATGAAAGAAACTAATAACTGCTAGACTTTTATACCTGGACTCGTGATGCGGCCTTGACATTTAAGGTCTTGATTGATGAGTTCATTGCTGGGGATACCTCACTGGAATCTAGCATCCAGGATTACATCTCTGCTCAAGCGAAGCTGCAAACCGTCTCTAACCCATCGGGTGACTTGTCCGATGGATCAGGACTCGCAGAGCCCAAGTATAACGTGGACTTGACAGCCTTCACAGATGCTTGGGGTCGTCCTCAGCGTGATGGGCCCGCTCTGCGAGCGACGGCTCTGATCGCCTATGGCAACCATTTGATCTCGAAAGAAAAGGAATCTGTTGTCAAGTCGAACATCTGGCCCATCGTGCAAAATGATCTAAGCTATGTTGCACAATACTGGAACCAAACCGGATTTGATCTGTGGGAGGAGGTCGAGGGCTCCTCATTCTTCACTATTGCCGCACAACACCGCGCGTTGATAGAGGGCAGCACATTTGCCAAGGCGCTGGGAGAGTCCTGCGATGGATGTGATTCCCAGGCACCTCAGGTCCTATGCTTCCTGCAGTCATTCTGGAATGGCGAGGCTATTGTTTCTAATCTAGTTGACAATGGCCGAACCGGTCTCGATGCAAACTCTGTGCTTGCTTCGATCGGAAACTTCGACCCAAAGGGTTCCTGCGATGACGTAACCTTCCAGCCTTGCTCTGCTCGTGCCTTGTCGAACCACAAGCTATACGTTGACTCGTTCCGTTCGATCTATGATGTGAATAGCGGCAAAGAAGCTGGAAATGCCGTTGCTGTTGGACGTTATGCCGAAGATACTTACCAGGGCGGCAACCCATGGTATGTGGACCTTTCGCTTTCATTTTAGTATCTTCAAACTTTGCTGACATTTCCAGGTATTTGACAACACTGGCAGCGGCTGAGCAGTTGTATGATGCTCTTTACCAGTGGGACCAGCAAGGCTCGCTAGCCATCACCGAGATCAGTCTTCCGTTCTTCAAAGACCTGGTTTCATCCGCCGCCACCGGAAACTATTCGAGCTCTTCAGACACTTACTCGTCTGTCACTAAAGCGGTCAAAACATATGCCGATGGATTCGTGGCTGTCGTGAATAAGTACACGCCCAGCGGTGGAGCTCTAGCCGAACAATTCACTCGGGCTGATGGCACCCCAGCCTCTGCTAGTGATTTGACCTGGTCTTACGCGGCGTTCCTATCTGCTGCTCGACGTGAGGCTGGAATAGTACCTGCTAGCTGGGGTGCGTCGAGTGCTAATGAGGTACCCTCAAAGTGTGAGGGAAGCTCGGCCACGGGAAGCTACGCGACACCATCAGTTGGCTCGTGGTAAATGTCTAGCAGTACATCTTGTATCTAATTCCCCCAGACTCGAAGTATTTGTGGAGTTATGAGTCGCGCTTTCATACAAGGCGCGGAGCAAATATGACAGACATGAAAATATTGACCCCGGGTGCTTCTTCTTTGAGAAAGTATAATAGGAGCTTGTTGTCGGATGATATTAGTAGTTCATCGAGATTGTAGAGAGTTACAAATCAATAGCATGTTGAATGTGTGGAGCTTTGGGGGTGAATTTTGCAGTAGAGCTACGGAGTACATAAGAAAAGAAACCAAGAATGCAGGATTAGGCAAAAAGCAATATCTAGGCAAGCGTAGAAGGGCATAATCATGAACCCAAAACCTTCCATGCATGTACGAACACCCGGGCACGAATAAGGATCTTACCGATCGATTAGATCTTGGTCTAAGCACCAGGCAGATTACGACTTAATTTACTCTCAATTGCCGGGTCACGCCCCAGTATATGTGACTGGATCAGGTTAAGTGAACAGATTGAGCAATGAAATAAAATTATATCCGTACTCCGTACGATAATGTATGAAATGCTCTGCAAAATTCCGCAAAGCGGCGAGACTGTTTGTAACAAGTGTACTCCGTATCCACCTAGGCAATGTGAAACCGGCGGGCCACGGAATTGGAGCTCAGACGAACTCGCTTAAGTTCAAAGATGGTCGCCTTAGCGTTGTTTGCTGAGCTCCCGGATTGGGAAATTCGTCTAAACAATCAACACTTATGAATCATTGGATAGGACCGGTCTGAATGGGGGGTTATGGTGTGCTTCTTATCGCCAAGAAAGTCTTTGAATTTCTCTACTCCGTACTCCGTACTCCGTATGTTGTAAGGTATAAGTTATATATTATAGTTCTATTTATTGGAATAGTTCGAGTTAATAATCCAATAGTAAAATCATTAGTTTCCAAAAAAGGGCTCTGTTCCCACAATTTTGACCGTTTCCAGCACAGACCCAAAAGTCGACCACGTTGTACTCCGTACGGACCCTCCATACGGAGTAGGGAATTCCCTAAAAGCACAAGATAACAGACGCCAATATCCACTCAAACGAAAGTTAGTGCCAGAGGTAGTGCATCCTACGCCGTACTAGTTCTTAGTGTAAATGCGTGATTAATTAAGCGGGTCAAGCGGTCTGTGCGAATCGAACATCGAGAACATTGTCGCGTGGTTTCTTAAAAAAGAAATCATCTACTTGAAGGTGATGGATATGTAGCATATATTGTACTATCTTTAATTCTATCTATCCTATACTCTAAATCATAAAAAAACCAATACATCTTTAGGTTGTAGTAGAAAAGTAAGATGTATAGATGAAACACATACGCATTGTCTAGCCTCGCCGGATATTGACACGCTAATTTAGTCGAGTCTCCCCACACCCCCCTTTTCTTTTCTGCAAGGCTTCTCTTCTTCTTCTCTACACTCTTTATGACTTCGGAGGAATTGTATCTCTTTACTCTCATTCAATTGATTTAGATCTCGACATTCTTTAAAACCATCCCACTCTTCCGCTATTCCGCTAGTCCAATTATCCATTCCAGACCCTGCATCTCCCCGGGACCTCCTGCATAAGCTTCGGCCTTTAGACAAGCGCTTACTGAAACGACCATCGTTATCGAGTAAGCACAAACTCTTATTTATATCAAGGCACAGGGCATTGCGTGTCAAGTTTGATCATCAAGGACTGACCCACGGTTCCTCACAGAAACGTCAATTTTCCTCCAACACAGTTCCGCTTGCGTTACCTTCCACGTGGGATCGTCGCATTCTATATCCAGCATTGAGCATTTAGCATCTGGTGTTCCTGTCACCAAGTTTTACAATCAAAATCTTGAACATATTCACCACCGCATTTCAACCGTCACAATGGGTCTCATCGACAAGCTACAAGCCAGTATGTTCCGCGACTCCCGAATAAAACACCCAGCAAAATGCCATTTCATTCCGGAATGGTACCCAGAAAGATAACTGACATCGAAGCAGAACTCGAGCTCTACCGCCTTGAACAGCGCTACGCCCGCCGCAAGCACCGTAGCACATTCTCCACGGGTGCCCAATACGTCGACGGCGAATATGTCTACTCGGGCGCAAGTTCGCCTACGAGTACCGTCTCCAAACAGTCCACTGGCAGCTGGCGCCCATCAGGATGGGGCAGCGGCAGCCAGTCATCGCGATAGCGAAGGACATTTCAAGTCGACATGTCTGAGCGATTCTTTGGGTTACCGGCGCCATTCCTTTTCTTCTCCCTGTCTTTAGCATTTTCACCCTTGTTCTCTCTTTTCTGAAGGCCTGTTTCTTCTGTTTTGTTCTATACCTTTGCGTGATGCTTCCGCGGAGTCTCGACGAATTCTTGTACAGTCACACATCACACACCGCATCTGTTTTTTTGTTTTTGTTTTGGGATTGTTTACTGCCCTTTGCGTCGGTCTTATGATTTCTATGTGTCAGCGGGAAGCCATGTTCAAAAAGAAAAGTTGAGATCTGCTTTCTCATTTTGGATTTTGATATCTCCTGCGATATGCCTGCTTGGTCATGTACTGCTTCTCATCTTCGTCTTGTTTCATATTCTTCATCTACATAAGGCTTTGATAGTCATACTCATCTGAGATTGAAATTATTTATCTCTGAATTTTTTTCTTATTCAAGCAAAAGAATAGTCGGCTGCTCATGCGGCCTCTGTCCTTGACAGCATAAGACGAAGTATCTGATCTATTTAGCCCAAGATGATATCAGGGATGCTATATGTAAGAACATTCTGACGTGTTTTTGGGTGTTCTTTTTAGCTATCTTTTTCTATATATGTACAGCTCACGCTTTTTACCGCCTTTATACATCCCAAAGACATTAAAAAGGGCGGTGCTCTAAGTAGTCAAGGCCGGCCCTGTTTGGGTTTCGGTTCTTTGTTCTTGAATTTCTTTCATATTTTGCTCATGGATGCCCACGCATATTGCACCCTAAAGATAATCATACATAAACAAAAGCATTACATCTGCAAAAGCATTACATCTACAAAAGCATACGGATTAGGCACCACGCAGGTGCACTGGATTTATCTTGAGGATATAGACTTAGAAAGCATAAGGCGGTAAGGCTCGAGTCCGCGGACCTTACGTCACACCACCGCTCTGGTCTCTCCATCTCCACACTGCCAACGCATCTCCCTTATCCTGTGGTTGCATTTTTGCTTGTGACTAAGATTGAAAAGCTCCCGGTCAATCTGAGCTTTCTTATTCACGCGATTTATCATCAGACCTACAACCCACACTCGACTTTTAAGCTCCTGACAGTCTCGCGACACCCGAAAGCGCCGAGATACCCCCCATTCACCATGAGCAGTGCTTAGCCGACCATAGCTGGGAAAATATTGCAGCTAAGCTGCTTTGAGCCATGGATAACGCAATCCAGCGGTTATTAAACGACAAGCTCTACGACAGGAGGAAGCAGGGAGCTTTAGAGTATGCCAGCCCAGTTTCATCTCTCCGCACTTGAAAGAGCTCCTACTGATCACGGTCCAATCACACCAGGCTCGAGAAAATTGTCCGTGACGCTGTTTTCCAGGGAGAGCAGGAGAAAATACAAAAAATCGTTGAACAGCTCTGCCACGACTATGCATACGCCGTACACCAACCCCATGCCCGGAATGGAGGCCTGATCGGATTGGCTGCTGCCTCGATTGCACTGGGATCGGTGAGTGGTGGCTATAACGAACGACTTGGAGAACGTCTTGGCTGATACATGGGATATAGGAAGGGGTTGCGCCGTATTTGGGTGAAATTGTGCCGCCAGTGCTCGCATGTTTCTCCGACCAAGATGCGCGAGTGCGGTACTACGCATGCGAGAGCATGTACAACATAGCAAAAGTGGCCAAAGGAGAGATATTGCTGTTCTTCAATGAGGTTTTTGATGCGCTAGCTAAGGTAAGGGGTGCCGATAAGTTTTAAGTGGGGTAATGCACATGCTGACATGCAATATAGCTGGCGTCCGACTCGGAGCTATCAGTCAAGAACGGCGCTGAGCTTCTGGATCGCCTGGTGAAAGATATCGTGGCTGAATCGGCGGCCTCGTATGTGTCTATCCTACAGCTCTCTGAAAAAGAAACTCCAGAATCGGAGAACCAGGAAGACCAGGAACTTCCCATGGCCTTCTCCCTTGGACGATTCATTCCTTTGCTTAAGGATAGGATTCATGTGATCCAACCGTTCACTCGCAACTTTCTGGTCTCGTGGCTTACTCTTCTAGATACAATCCCTGACCTAGAGCTCGTGAGCTATTTGCCAGAGTTCCTGGAGGGATTGATCAAGTTCCTCGGCGGACCCAACAAAGACGTGAATATTGCAACTCAGGGTCTGCTTGATCGGTTCTTGTTGGAAATCAAGAGAATTACCCGACTTAAAAAGGGGATTGAAGAAAGCCGGAAGGGCCAGAAAAGCAACAGACAGTCAGTCACCAGCGATGTGGTGAGCAACGCGACAGAGCAAAACAACCAGACCGATGGTGCCAGTGATGACATTGCCATCGCAGACTCTGCCTCAGATATGACCCTCGATGATGAAATCGCCCAGGCCGATGGAGATTGGATCCCGGGACAAGATGTACAAATTGACCACCCCAAGATTCTTGATATCCTTGTCAGCTTTGTCAACACTTCTTATGGTGAGAGTGAATTTATCTTCCTGATTCCCACATGCTTACGTTTGTCTAGAGGAGGAAATGCAATTGACGGCCCTTCGTTGGCTTGATTCGTTTTTCGAGATCAGCCCCGAAGATATTCTTCCTTTCGTTCCGCGGCTATTGACTCAGGTACTCCCAGCCATGTCCAGTGGCTCAGATCAAGTACGAAAAGCAGCAAACCAAGTCAACACATCCCTTGTTCAATACATCTACTCCTTGTCAGACGACACGACCGAGGAACCCCAGGTGCCACCGTCAAAGATCCCTTCCGTTACGGCCAGCAAAGAAACCATAGAGCGAAGATCATCGACTCCCGGAGTCCGGCCTTCAGAGACAGCGAGCATTGACACAAAGAAACAAACAACACAAGATAATTCTGTTGCGGCTACACCACGTAGTAGCATTGTTTCCACGCCCGTGCCTCCTGCCGACCTTGATTACGCTGCTGCTGTCAACTCCCTCACTCTACAATTCCTCAATGAAAATGAAGCCACTAGAGTTGCAGCCCTTGTATGGCTCATCATGCTCCACCGTAAAGCCCCGCGGAAGGTTGTCGCTTTCAACGACGGTACCTTCCCAGCTTTGCTAAAAACGCTATCCGACCCTTCAGAGGCGGTTGTAACCAAAGATCTGCAGCTCCTTTCACAGATCTCAAGAAACAGCGAGGATAGTTACTTTACCTCTTTCATGGTCAATTTGTTGCAGCTCTACTCTACAGATAGACATTTACTCGAAGTGCGCGGGAATCTGATCATCAGGCAGCTTTCTCTGAACCTGAGCCCTGAGCGTATCTACCGGACTTTGGCAGATTGCCTCGAGAAGGAAGAGGTGATTTTCATTGCCCAGTTTGGGGATATTCCATGCTAACGTATCATCAGGATCTCGAATTTGCCAGTATCATGGTCCAGAATTTGAACAACAACCTCATCACAGCGCCCGAACTCTCAGAATTGAGAAAACGCCTGAGAAATCTCGATTCAAAGGTAGTACCCCTGGATACCATTCCTTGATTGAGACTAATGGATCGGTTAGGATGGTCAAATGTTCTTTGTTGGGCTTTTCAGGTCATGGTGCCACAACGCTGTCTCTACGTTTTCTCTCTGTCTTCTCGCCCAGGCCTATGAGCAGGCATACAATCTTCTCCAAATCTTGTCAGTATACCAGCTCTATCTACCACAACAGTCTGCTGACAAGACCATCCACAGTGCTGAATTGGAAATGACTGTTAATATGCTAATCCAAATCGACAAACTGGTGCAACTACTAGAGTCGCCAGTATTCACATGTCCGTTTCTTTCCGTCAACACAACTCCAGTCCCGGAAGCTAATCCCAACAGATCTCCGCCTCCAACTCCTTGAACCCGAAAAATACCCCTTTCTGTACAAATGCCTCTACGGCGTGCTCATGCTCCTCCCCCAGAGCTCTGCCTTCGCCGCCCTCAAGAACCGTCTGAACAGCGTTGGCAACATTGGTTTCCTCCACGGCGCACCCCGCAGGTATGGCCCCTGCCCCCCGCATTGTACCCCAGGGCTTACTAAAACGAACTTCCCTAGCACTACGCAAACGGCCCCATCCTTCGACCGGTCCACAGGCACCCGCCTCAAAACCCGCGACGAGAACTCCATCCGCTGGGTCGAACTCCTTGATAAATTCAAGTCCGTCCAGGAACGAGCCCGGCGATCTCAAGGCTCCACCCGCCACTCCTTCGACCAGTCTGGACCCATGAGCAACCCCTCGCTTACAGCTGCTCTCTCCGTCGCTGCTGCAGACCGTCCCAAAGACCGATCTAGTCTACCCGATGCGCCGCGCGGTGCTCCGGGCCCTGGTAACGCTGCTGGTGGAAATTCTGGACTGGGAGGTCCCGGTTCCGGTGCCAGTGGCACTGCTGCTGGACGTACATTTGATAGCAGTGCGACGAAGGCTGGGCCATCCCATAAACACAAGTCTAGTCTTCCCAATCTGGGCCGGCTAGGTATTGGTGGACGGAAGTCCAAGAAATAGTTACACATGTAGCTAGAGCTAACTTGCCTCCTCCATAGACCTTTCTTTTTTTTTGTCTTGTACTTAGCTAGATCGTTTCGTTTCGTTGGCATCATACCCGGGATCGTTCGTCTGTGAATATTTATCGCTTGTGAATAGGTATCGATGGTTCTCAATGAGATCATATTTCTTAACTTCTCGCTGATTTTCTTATTGACTTGACGTCTTGGTATACGTTAAGTCATCTTTGAGTATCGTATTCATAGCTCTTGGTGATACGAAACAAAACAAAAACATTCAATTCGTTCTATGGTCATAATTATTCGCTTCCCAAATGAATACGCTCCAACAATACAATCCGACCCAATACTGAATGAAGTAAACTCCGAACCTGCCCAAGTATGCCAAATAAGTGTATCAGTGACTGATGTACTGGAAGATAGCTGAAACATCCTGTTCCCCAGTCTCTTGCCGAAGAAGCAGATCCTGGATTTGATTGAGCGGGCCCTTCTCGCCGGTATTCACAAAATGGTTCCAAGAACTAGTATCACCATACAACATAGCGGGTGCTTTGATATACTGCAAGCCGTCAGGCCGACACCGTTTGCACTTGAAGGTGTCATGAGTGTCACTCCGGGTATCTGGTTTGAACTGGAAGAGTTCTCGCAGGGAGTCGAGAGAGAAATGACGCTCGACGTCTTCCGCGGAGTCCACGACACATGACGAAAGGGACTGTTTGTGGGACTGGCGCTGGAAGATTTTCTCTTCGATTGAGCCTGTTGCAATGAACCGGTAGACGAAACAATCTTTCTTTTGTCCGTCTCGCCACACTCGTGCTAGCGCTTGCTGGTCAGCGGCTGGGTTCCAGTCTGGATCGAATAATACCAGCCGGTTTGCGCCGATTAGGTTCAGTCCACAGCCACCGGCTTTACTGCTCAGAAGGAATACAAATTCCTGGCCGTCTGGATCGTTGAATTTGTCGACTAGCTTTGTGCGCTTCTTGATGTTCATGGTACCGTCGAGACGCAGGGAGCCGTAGCCGCGCGACCGACATAGCTTTTCAAAGAGATCTAGAGTCTGAGTGTAATTGCTGATGAGGACGATTTTGTCGTTGGTGTCTTGTCTGATTCGGGCTAGCATGCGGTCGAGCACCATCATCTTGCCAGAGTACCAACTCTTGATTTCTCTATCGCGACCTCGAGTATCCGGGGGTGAATAGTCCTCGGGGAAGGTGTGCTCGCATCCTGGAAGGTCGTTCGCTAGATCAAGTAGATCTGGATGATTACAAAGCTTTTTCAAAAGGCCAATTGCTTTCAGCGGCTGACTGCCCTTTCCGCGAAGAAGACTTTGGATCTCTGGACTCTTGATGAAATGATTGTATAGGCCGCGCTGGAACTGTGACATGTTGCAGAACACCACATGCTCATACTTGACGGGCAAGTATTTTGAGAGGAGCTCATTGGTTCGGCGGATAATAAACTTGTTGACAACTCCAGAGAGCTCCTGTAATCGTTCATCTCCTAGCTTCTTTTCTTCGTCTGTGCCTGCGGCATCCCGACCCCGCAGAATCGGTAGTTCGAACCTCTTCCGGAAATCGGCTTGGGAGCCGAGCAGATTCGGGTTCGCGAAGTGAAGAAGAGCAAAGTATTCAGACAAATCATTCTGGATAGGTGTTCCAGAAAGAATCACTCGGCGAGTAACATTGAGTTGATTCAAAGCAGTCCATGTCAAGCTTTCCTTGTTTTTAAGTCGATGGCCTTCGTCACATAGAAGGAGTCCAATCGGGGTATCATTCAAAGTATCCGCATACATACGGAGTGTCTCGTAGGACACAATAAGGACGGGCCTGACGATTCCACGCCCTGATGCAATTGCCCACTGCTTGATCTGGGTTATTAACTCTGCTTTCGTGGCCTTTCCATCGATCGCAAAAGGTGTGGTGGCGTCCTTTCCAAGCCATTTTACTAATATGGTCAGTCGAGCTAATGAGAATTAGGGTATGACGCATAACTCACCCAGTTCGTTGGCCCAATTACCAACCAAACTTGACGGACATGCAATCACGCATTTCTGAATGGTAGTCTTTCCAGCCTCTGAAGACTGCTTGAGCAGCGTCCACATCAATGCGATGCATTGAAGCTGTGTTCGTTAGAATAAATATATGAAAGTCAAGTTGGCCAAGCTCACCGTTTTACCAAGTCCCATGCCGTCCGCCATGATGCATCCATTTGCATTTTTGTCAACCAACCCAGTAACACATCGATACAAGAACTATATGATATCGTAGTGTCAGCCTTGCTCCCATAGAACAGCTTATCTTGCGGCGCAATACCTTCACACCCTCGACTTGATGTGGTCGAAGCACTTTGCACAGTCTCGGATCAATCACGACAGGCACCTTTGGCCTGTCTTCCACGTCCTTTTTGAGCCCCAGAATGTCTGCTAGACTCTTATGCATAATTGGCTCATCCAATTTTGGCGTATCCTCCGTCGGTGCCTCCAGGCTTTTGGGCGCAGGTTCCTCGGCGACGTCGTCTACTGTAGGGTCGTATAAAACAATCGCAAATTCCCCACTGGGGTCATGTAGTGGCTTCACCACAAATGTTGCGCCTCGTCGCATCCCCAACGTCGGAGCCACCCGACCGGAACTGTACTCGCCGGCGGCTTTGTTTATAAACGGAACCTGAAATCGTGCCCTGAACGCCACATCTTTGTCCTTTGGTTTGTACGCGGGGAATTTGTTGGCCTCTCTTGTTTCCAAAGCGAGCCGGTCATCATTCGTGTATGGCTTCTCCTCTCCATCTTCCACGCTTCCATCCGCGTTGGCGTAGTTGACCTTTCGTCGCTTTCTCGATGGTTTTTCGGATGCTCTAGTGGGCGTCGCAGTCCCAGGACATTTGAATGGCCTGACTAGTCGGTCAATCGAGTTCTGAGCGTTCACGGATTTCGGTTGTAATGGGGTCTTGACGCTGTCGTCGCCACCGGTCGAGCGTTGTCGATACCTTCCAGGCATGTCAGCATAGAAACTCGAAAAATGATTAGCACGAGTGCTTACATTGGTCCCAAAATAGACAAAGCAAATACACCACGCTCCTGCTGTACAATGATCCCAAAGTTGTGGCGAGGCAAGTGCGAGTTGTCGACGCGTCGCGTGTTCACTTGAGGCTCCCAAACACCAAACTGCCGCGTCCCAAAATAACCGACCGCCCAATGGGGTATGGTGGTCCGAGCTCAAATGGGGCTTTGTTTTTAGGAAGTCACGTGCATTTTGTATACCTGCGCAGGAGAACAACCTTCCAAGAGGAACTTACATAACCTCAAGGCTATTTCCCTTTTTTTCTGGTTGCATTCTATGTAACAAGTGGAAATATCTCTCATAATGAGAAACCTCCCTCTGCTGAAAGGAACCAGTATCGCACTGGAAGACGCCCTGATCGACGACGACAACATCCTGCACCGCTTAGACCACCCGCAGAAATAGAAGGAGGTCTGACCATACCTACTCGCCCATAAAAGTGAAATTAAAAGAGTGGTTTCATTCCATCTCCGTGCAAATCATTGCCAAGTCGCTGACCAAGCTGATTGGTTATGTGGGAGTTACAATGTCTGCATTCCAGGCTATATAACCTTCCATCAGAAGAGTGTGTCCTTATTCGAATTCCACTACCTTAGAAATACGGAGAAAAGAACATCCCAGAGAATATGGGTGAAAAATTGCGCTGCGAGGTTGCCACATACATTTGGATACGTGAAATTTGACCCGCTGTTCCAATTCCCACTCTCTATGGGTTTGCATTTCCCAATGGGCAGACTGGATGTGAGCCTATAATCTTCCTCTGCCTTCGAAGTCTTACTTTGTTTTCTTAGTTTGCTAAGGAGAAATGTATGCCTTTTTCTTATCGGTGGCATTGGCGCATCATGCAAGTCATGCGATCATGGTTTGGGTTCCCCCGAGCCTGCCCATATATCCGTAGGAGGGACAAGGACGTGTTGGAAACTGGATATACAATCATCAGTTTTGTGAAGAACGGTTAAATGCTCTCAAATACCTGGGCAGATCACCTCCTGAGCGACAAGATACGAAGGCATACGCTTTTCGGTGAAATTGCAAAGATTATGGTCTCACTTAATCGCGTCAAATTATCACGAATCGGTTCCTTGACTTTAGGTAATGATGGCCTGATTGAGTTGGAGAATCAACCGCTAACATTACGACTGCAAACGTTCGAAAATGAAGGCCAATACCAAGGGATTGTATATACCAGTCTGGGTACCCATATGTTTTGGATCTCTTGCAGCTCCACGACAATTTTATTTTATCATCAGCCAAATGCTATTCATACTCTGAAGGACGGCCAGGGACAATTCGCGGCCTTGCCCTTGATGCGTGGTCTGTTGCCTCAATTCATCTCCCGTCAATACCGTGATGGGCTATTTGTGCTTACCCTTACGGATCTCCACGCAAGTAATATCTTTGTTGACGAAAATTGGCATATTACGTCCTTGATTGACTGCGAGTGGGCATGTTCTTCTCCCATTTAGTTAAAAACACCACCTTACTGGTTGACTGGTCGACCTATTGATGATATCGAACACGGAGAACATCTAGATGATTTCCAAGAAGTTATGACTGAGTTCATAAATGCCTTCAATGACCAGGAAGAATGTGTGCACACTTCGGATGCTTCTCAGGCCGAGATCATGCGGAAGTCTTGGGATAGAGGTAGCTTCTGGTACTTCCAGGCTGTCAATAGCCCGAAAGGTCTGCTTCGGGTATTCAATGAGCATATCCAACACATGTTCTGTGAAGAACATTGCACCCAACGAGTGTTTGATCGAACCGTCAGTCCTTATTGTTCTGTCGGGGCTGAAGAATTCATCCAAACGAAAGTGGAGCAAGAGGCAGAGTATAAGGATCAGATTAGGAAGCGGTTTGGTGAAGTTGGTTAACAAAAGCTGATTCGTGTGGATGCGGTAATACTAGGGAGGGTACTGTTTCGTGTTCACTGCCTCTCTATCCCTTGTGCAATGTGTTTTATGGAAGCCATGTTTGACGTTATAAAACTGCTTTTCAAACGCAAACGATCTTCGAATCTGGACAGCCCTTCTGTTCCGTGGTACGAAGGAGCATTGTCGACTTCGACTATCTTCAAATCTTTGAATTCATTCTTGACAAACGCGTCTGACCATCAACCAAGTGATGTTTGAGAATCACCCTATCTCTTACAATCTAAAAAAGCCCTTTAGGAGTGGAACTCCTCTCCATGAGGCCGTTGGGCTCGGTAAGGTAGATGTGGCTCAGGCTGTTCTCGCCAGGGGTGCTGGTTCAGCTGTTCGGGATATAAGAGAGGAATCAACCATCGACAAGGCAGAGCGTAAGGACATGTCAGTACTTGTTGATTGTCTCCGCAACCGGGGTTCAATTGCAACGCCACCAACAGTGTACTTGATCTTATGTAAATCAAATATTGTCAGATTGGCTGCATGGATTTCCGAAACAGGAAAGAGACTATCTGTTGTCAAGTCCAACATATGCACCGCAGCCTCAAGGCAACTGGCAAATGCCCAATCAGTATCCAAGGCAACCGCCTACCTAAATATTGCGCATATATGATTAACCAACAGGATTTTACATGCTCCTCTGTTCTATACCCTGTTCGTGCCCGGTGCTGCGCATAGCTCTGTTCCCACTTGACCCCGCACCGCAAGGCATACTCGCCTGTAGGGGATTGCCCTGTTTTCTTTATAAACACCTTTATGATCTCAGAAAAACTTTCATTATCTAGTCACTTCACTCTTGTTTCATCAATCTTTATCATTCACCAAGACTCCTCATTGAAACATATTGAACTATGGTGGGACGCTACATCTTTCCTCTCCGCTCGGATGAGGAACTTCTGGTTTTCGAGAAGAAGATCAATTATAATTTTGCCAATCGCGCTTTGCTGCGGGAGGCACTTCAAGGCTCGAACGCTTTGAATGGAGATGGAAATAAGACTCTTGCTTTAATCGGTGTCGTCAAAAACCCCTGCCAGTCTCAGATCGGGCGCAATGTTATGATCGATACCATGCAGGCGATCGTCGGGGCAGTATACCTCGACTGCAATGAGCAGATCCCGCCATGCGCCGATGTTATGACCGCTTTGGGTCTTTCTTGGCCTGAGTAAACGCCAATCGCCTGCCACTGTGACATACAGAACCCCCGGACGAGGGGGCTGGCGGGATCGATTACAGGCTGTGGGCCATTTTCATTCGACAGTGAGGTGGATTGCAATAACTTGCATACCACAACACTATTCAATGTGTATCGCCCATGCCTGCAACTGATCCCGCTTGCTCCTCGCCGGGGGGCTCTGCACATTTCCGTGGTCTAGAATTGGCTTTTCAGGGAAATATAGAGAGAGATCGCGACGGGGAGTATGAGAATTGAGGGGATGAGAACTAAGGAAAGAAATGAAATAACCGTTGCACTGATTCTGGTGTTATGTTCACCTTGTAATTGTATATCTTGATGGACAGCAGCTTGATTTTGGATACATTCATGAGTGATAAACCACTACAGGATCTACCTTCTTGCATCTCACCAGCTAACTGATCTTCTCAATATGTGTGCCTCCGCTTCCGAAGACGACATAGCTTGCCAACATTTGGGTTCTTGGCGATTCTCTTGAATATCTGCTTTTCCTCGCGCTCTGCGAGCAATTTCGTCAGATCATATGAAAAGACTAATACTATCGCTACCGACGTCCTTTTTTTCCCCACTTTCCTCCCCGTATTTCGCGTCAGTTTTTTTTTATTTTTTTTTACAATAGATAAATCATACAACCCGGCATGTCAACTATTGGGGTTGACATGCTATATTTTTGGTAGAACGTTGTTTTCATATTGTTCTTTGTTTTTCCCGGTGATCTAGCTAATGCGGGGGGGGGGGGCCTAGTACGAACATTATAGGACTCAGGGTTCAAAACCCCTTTTTTAGGTGGTTTAGTGCCTGAACTGAACGCCTGACTTTAGAACGGCAGAAATATTAAGATTCCTGAATTACTATTACACATATCTTCATAATCAAAGTACACGGATTGTGGTCGCGTTCAAGTTCAAAAATGAAGCTTTGATATCTCAAACAATTATCCTATAAAGACCATCTGTAAAGACCATCTGTAAAGACCATCTGTAAAGACCATCTGTAAAGACCATCTGAAATGTCCATCTAAAATGACCATCTAAAATGACATCACAAGGCCGCAAAGGCGGCCGACTATTCTTGTATGAAGATAGATTCATTTGTATAGGGCCAAAAGCTTCATTTTTGATAGTTGTAGTATTAATGAATTTACCATACACTGTATAGAACGGTGTAAAAGGCGGTGCTAGATAAGGTACTCAGGCATCAATTTCCACCCACAAACGGAGTTTTGAACCCTGAGTCCTATAAGTCTTCGTAGCCTAGTCACTTTACATAAGCCTTGGAAGCATTGCCTCGGCCAAACTATCTGGACAGAGTTCCTTCTCTGTGATCTCTGGATACTGAATAAATAATTGAGCGTCACTCAAGTGAACGTGTGCCGCGTTACGTCGTGTCACCCGCATACTCAACGTACTGTCCCTAGGAACCTTGTCGCTGGGATTGCGTTCGCGTGCTGCATCCCTCCTGGCAATGATAGGTGTTTTTAGTTGTACTGCATATTTAGACAACGACTTGGGTCGTTTCTTTCTATTGTGGCCTTTTATACCGAGCATCACTAACATCTTTTTTTGTGTGAATAGAAAGCAAAAGTTGAAATATGAAATCGAGGTGTATTGAATGAAGAGGGGCAGTTCAAAATCTCATTTTGGTACTATGCCAAAAGTGATACATAGAAAAAGAAGTGTACAAAACCAGTCATTCGTTTTTCAATCCAATTTACCCAATTTGACATTGCTATGTTGCTGTGTCAATGAAAAGTAAATCAGAATAGCAGTCCTGTATGACGTCCAAAAGAGCCGATATCGAGAGAGGCATCGAACTCTGAAAGCAAACAAAAGGTCATGCAAAGATGACTCTTATGTTTCTATTTACCAGGGGAACTCTGTTCCATCCCACACACGCAGCTGCCCACCAACCGACTCCCTCGTCCCCTCATCAATCGTCTTCACGATACCACCGACGCTCTCTTCAACCGTCTGGAAGGCCTTCTCAAACCCAAAGAGTTTGGCACCAGAGTTGCCCATGTCAGTTTGGACGAATCTGCAAACTTATTAACATTCTTGCGGCACAAAGAAAATTCGAGAGTAGCAAGCACTCACCCAGGATCAGCAACGAAGCAGATAAAGTCCTCATTCTCGAAGTGAATCTTGCGCACAATCCAGTGCAGCATAGCCTTACTAGAACCGTATCCAGTATTTGGGTACGGGCGCTGGTCCATACCACCAATGCTTCCTAGAGGGCTGCCGACTCCTACAAACGTGGGCTTCGCGCTCTTCTTAAGTAGCGCGTAGAACGCCTGGTAGAGGTAGATAGGTCCGTAGGCATTGACCTCAATATGCTCCTGCACCACAGAAATGGAAGCCTTGTGCACGGGCGAGATGTCCTCGCTAATGCCGGCGTTGGCGATCACCACATCTAGGTGGTCGATACCGTGCTCCGTCTGGAGGGTCTCAACGGCAGCAGCTGGATCGGTGGGAGACTTTGCATCGATCTTCACGACTATCAGGCTAGAGGAGTCGCCTTTAGAGAGGGATTGGAGGGACTGGGCTGAAGCACCGGCGGGGTCGCGGACGGCCGCAATAACGGTGGTGTTAGGACGGGCGAGGAATGTCCCAAGTAAACCACGACCAATTCCGCGGCTAGCGCCGGTAATGAGATAGACAGTGTTCGCCATGGTAGTGATGGTGAACTTGTTGGCGGATTTAGATGGCAACGTTGAGATGTAATGAAAGGTGGGTTGAACATGTAGGGTATGGACTTCATAGTATATAGACAGGGATCAACTCTAGCGCTGCGGCTTCTAATGGACCATAGCAGCGCTGAAGAATTTAGTTGTAATCAGGACTGACAAATCAATTCTATTCTGACAAATGCAACTTGAAGGATTAAGAAGAAAAAAAGGGGAGAAGACTAGGTGTCTTGGTCCTAGTTCGGACGAAATCGTCCGCTGCGGCGCTCGACCTAGTTATGTTGTACACTACCTTGGTGCTATCTTAGGCGAGTTTAACGATAGCCAAGGCCGCACTAAGAGTATATGATACTAGTCCCAGGTTCACAGGCAAAACATCGGTTAAAGCTCATGTTATACTTTCCATCCTAAAGCGCCGTTTGTGGAATCGACACGAATATGCCCAGACACTCGTGGGGCTGTCAAAGTGATCATGGGCTTAGCAATGTCTACTTGTGCACTAGAAAGAGGCTCACACTCTCATCAAGCTACAGCAACGAGAGCACATTCAGTGGGACGCTAGCCAATCGTTCACAGTGTGCCAAGTTCTATTGGATATCAAGAAGGCTGTTCTACCAGTAGCAGACACTACGACTTCTCAATTTACTGTAATGACGAGGGACAGTGATATATAAACCACCAATGGGACCCCATCAATAATATGATTTGGGTGGTGGGCCAAAGATAGCTTGTTACAATCGTTGCACGAATCGCTCGTCGGGTCGTATGATAGACAGAACATTACTAATACCTACTCGGTTTCACCTTGCATGTTTGGAGATTTGGACAACTTATTATGGCATTACCAGAGGATTTGATACGAAAATGTTGTCTTATTCTTGTGCTGCAGGCTCGAGAGAGAGATAGAAGGAATAATCATGTTCATTAGAAATTGGCAAATCCCGGGTATTTATACCCAGTAAACCTATCTGAAAAGGGCTCAGTCTGCTACCAAATAACTCTATGGGATGGCTCAACACTTGTAAACAGTTTAACCATTGAGATTCATTATGGTATCTGGCTATGGACTCTCGCTATGTGCGTGATGAACCTTGAAATGTGACCTCATGTAGAATCCAAGGCCCTCGGATTTATATCCATTGTCGCCCTAAACCACCTTCCACACAGCGTAATATTTAGCTCTAAGGAAGGAAATCATTGATCGGTCACGCCGATAATCGACGACGCCTGCCCTAGAATCCATTGTGAAAGCGACAATGCCGATACAGTCCTGCGTCTTAGATGCATTAGCCCTATCTCAAATGCCATTGCAAATATGGATTTCACATCTCATCTAAGATCTCGGCAAATATAAGGATAAGTATCATGCTAAAATAAAGCCCAGGCTACTAAGCCATTCCTCGAACTCCAGCGTCACCAACATTTCCGATCGCAGACCTTCATACTAATCAGCAGAGCCACACCGTTTCTCGCACCGTGCTATTGATATCGGGGGCGAGGCCCTAACGGCAGAACAAGTGGCACGGACTATCTCCGAGGTCAGTGGGTGTGAGGTTGAGGTTGACCATATTCCTCGCGATCTGTCTGAGCGTTTGGCGCCCTCGAATCCCTAGATTGACCCCCAATTATGGTTCTGGGAGCGGCAGGATAGCTTTGAGCCGCGGGAGCTAGAGGCTGAGTTTGGGATTAAGTTGGCTACGTTTAAGGAATTCTTGACTGCGAACCAAGATCTGGTGAGGGAGATGTTTGGGTAGATAGAGATTTGCTTGTTCTCTCCAACTCTTAAGCTAGTTTCATATAATCTTAGACTTAGTTACGAAATACCATACGTGCAGTTTGATGTATCCTTTTAGATATCTTTAAGATGTCTTTCGGCATATCTTTTTTAATATATTTTTGGCGTCATTCTACAGATCGCTCCACACCTCGGCTGCTACCCTTCCCCGCCACTCCTACACCTGCCACGCCCACCATGACAACTCCGACAACCCTAACTCAACCAAATTCCGGGTAACCGAGATGATTAAATCTACGTCTACTGTGGGTGTAACATTATCCAACGGGACACGACCCGTCGTTTCGATATGATCGCATACATGGGCCCAGGCCGCTGCGTCGGATGTCAATATTCGGTAGACGGTGGATTTCTTTTAAGTATAGCAATACTCGGAGAGATATCCAATGCAGATAGCACTCTGATAATAATAGATAATAGATCAACCGTGAAGCGAGTGAGCTAATTGAGAAGCATCGTGACTTCGTTAGGAAGGAACCCTACTGAGAGCTCAGCCAGCAGGCGACGAACTACTGGCACCAACAGGAAATTCTGGATAGGGAAAGGTTTATGAAGAAATCGGGGAAGTTTACATTGAGAGAGACATAAGGTGATTGATGCGTGTAAATAATAACGATAGGGGTAGACACTAGACATCCCTTATCGCACAGGCTCGTCTTTACAGTGAGAAGGGCTACGGACACACTCTATATATTGCCACACACTTCCTAAGCTTTCCAAATTCCGTAGTACATGGGGGAACTACAGGTCCGCAATTACTTCAGGATAAGGTCCATCTGCCCCGGGCCGCCCCGGGGGTGCCCTACTCCAGGGCTTGTTCATGATCACTCGCGTTCCTCGGCACGTGAGGGGTCACCCCACTATAGAAATCTGGGGAGCTTCGAATCATTGACCTTTGTGTCAATTATCTTCAAATTGGCCTTTAGAGCTGAGATCTCATGGCCGCAGACTTCTGGGCTGGCTATATCAGCGGAGCCATCGGGATCATCATTGGCAATCCTCTCGATGTGATCAAAGTCCGGCTACAGGCAGGAGACTCACATGCAGATGCATCGTCGGCACATTTGAGCCGCTTTGAAAGGGCAAGCTCTCTTGTGCGAGGTCCGTGTTGCACTAATTCGATGATACCAACAACAATTAATTGACCATTGGTTATAGGCGCGGCTGCTCCGATCTTAGGCTATGGAGCTCTCAATGCTATTCTTTTTGTCGCTTACAACCGATCCTTAGCAGCATTGGACGGGTCCGTAACGGATCCCACCAATCCAGTGGGGGTCTCGGCTTACAAGATTTGGCTCGCCGGTGCCGCAGGCGGACTGGCTAGCTGGTCCATCTCATCCCCAACAGAGTTCATCAAGTGTCGGGCACAGCTGGATCGCCGGCCAGAAGTCTCCTCGTGGGCGGTGGCCAAGGATATCTTCCGAACGCGCGGTTGGAGGGGTCTGTACTTTGGGGGCGGGATTACTAGCGCCAGAGATTCAATTGGCTATGGATTCTAGTATGGACCTAACACGCCACCCCCGGATACCCCAGTGTATCAATTGAGGGATCTAGTGCTGACATAGTGCAGTTTTTGGTCCTACGAACTGTGCAAACGATTTATGACCTCTGATGATGATGGTTCACGCCAGGCTGCTTTGAAGATTCTGCTTTGCGGTGGCATTGCTGGCGTTGTTACTTGGGGCTCGGTGTTTCCTTTGGATATGATCAAGACTCGACTGCAGGCACAGACAATTACAGATCATTCGCCCGGGACAATTGAGAACCAGTCTCTGTTACGACCACAGCGCCAGACGCTAAATTCCTTCCAAATTGCGAAAGAGACATATCGTGCCGAGGGTATCAAGGCATTCTATCGTGGCCTTGGAGTCTGCAGTGTCAGAGCGTTCATTGTGAATGCCGTTCAGGTATGTTTACTCTATGTTGTTATCACAATTGATCAAACAACTAACATCTGATAAAGTGGGCGGCATATGAATGGTTGATGAAGACCTTCAATCATTCCTGGGACGCACAAGTGAAACCCCAAGAGCCCATAGCGGGCCTGTGAATATATGCCCAACCTGGGAGCCCATCAAGCTTAGAATATACAACATAGAAGATCTGGAACATATCAAAACATCCAAAGCCAAGCTACGCAGTTACCGGAAGCCCAGTTAGGTTAGATTCTATTTGGTATTGAGGGATTTCTATTGGAATTACTCGGTAGTATTGCTAGTAAGGGGGTAAAATTTCGCCCCAGATGCCGTTTTCGCCGATTGTCGGCGGTTCCAAGTCACCCGCAAAACGGAAGAGCGAAACCCCGGCGAGTATCGGCAATATAAAAAAAATTGCTTCACGTGAGACTCCACCGATATGCATGAACGGAATGAGGAAACTCAACATCAGTACGGGTCTAGATGTATTGTCCTGGAAACTTTTGTGTGTCGATTTGCGTATGTCGATTTGCTGGAAAGAGGATCGTGGTCGCGTAGCAAAGGTTTGATTTTTATCCCAGAAGGTGAAGCTCAAGCTTCGATTCACTCCTTCATCTCGTCGGGGTTCTCTTCGCGCTTGCCGTTGTCGATTAAACCCAGTCCGATCGCACGCTCGGCAAGCAACTGGCTGTGAGGCTCATCGCGCAGGATGCGAAGTCTGATAGAAGACAACTGGTCAGCGATGCGACAGAAGACCTTTTTTTTGGAATAAACTCACCTCCGCTTGTGGTTCTTGCCCTTGGCGTGTGCCTTGAGGTTGTAGTCGCTCTCAAACCATTTGGAGCATTCCGTGCAGTAGAACTTGCCTAGACCAGGCAGATCTTCGGGATCTTTCGAGTCCTTGTACTTCTGGAGGTGACGGGGAGTCTTGATATCCGCGACAACTTGATCGTAGTCTCTGTGAGTAGGTTAGCAATCAGCGCCAGCGTCAGCGACAGCAACAGGTACAGGTACAAGTCCTAGGGTAGACGTACCTAGTGCGACGCTTGTTCTTGACTTTTCTGAGAGCACCCATTGTAACTGATAGCCGAAAAACCTCGGAGCTTGAGCCGAACAATGGTATCAAAATAGATGCAAGGAAATGAAAATTGGTTACTACCGATTTCCGGAGTGAACAGTGAGAAAAGCGGGTCTGAGAGGCTTTGAACAATAGCGAGTGTTTGAGATGAAATTTCCGCCGATTGTGGGTCAAGGGCAACGATTGAAACGCCTGAGCTGTGATTGGCTGGTGATCAGACACGGCACCTTGGCGGCGATGCGGGATTGCCATTCGGCTCACCTCGGCTTAACTGATTTCGTCACCGTATGTATAGGGTGTATTTAATGACGTTTGCATGCGGTATGTTGTTCCGTATATCAATATCAATATTCAATATCAATCAGGTTTTTTTTACATGTATAACCAAAGTACATATACATGTAGATAATAGGTATAGGATATAGTGATGGAAGTACTGGAAAGCACTCTACTAATAGAATATTACATAGTAACATCATGAACTAGTAAACACATGCTGATCATTGGCTAGATTCATACATATGAAACCCATCAAATCCACATGCGTCCAGGTGCCCTTTGCCGGTAGTACGGGGTATAGGCCGAGAGAGTTACATACCCAGGGTGAGAACACATTGACCTTCCAAAGGTAGCCCTTTGGTCCGAAATGGGAGAACTGGGCGAAGGGGGCCTTATAATTGGAAACTCCGTGATTGGTGGCCGAGTTATACCCGTCACATGCCTTGTATCGGTGTTACGTTCCCGGTACATCCCAAGGCGAACACAACAGCCACAGATGTTGAATATTGACAAGTTCACATGGGAAGAGAATAGGGATAGAAAAAGAATCGGGTGTATATCCCTCATGCAACTCATCATCAATCATTGTAAATCTTCAATAAATATCGAGAATTCTCGGCCATAAGCAGCGTCTATCAAATTGCCCAGCCCTTCTTGCCGTCGCATGCGGCAGGCTTAGTCCAATACCAGCGTATTGTATCGCCGTGGTAACAGCGGTTACGGCTCTACTCCCGGTCCCCGTAGAATCTTTCTCCCACTCAAAACCAAGCTTTCGTCCTCTTCTTCCTTTTTGATCTCTTCCTCTCTCATTCTACTCTCCACTCTCATACTTTGGTGAAGGTGGTTACTAGCTCTTGGATGTGCAATCCCATCTCATAGAGCTTCCATCATGATCTCCACCCGCCTCGCGCGCGCCAGTGCGCTGGTACGTCTTTCTCCCCCAGCTCAATATTGCCACATTGCGATATACCTGAGCGCCAGTCTGTGTTGTTGATGAATGGAAAACTAACTTATGTTTCGACTCTAGGCCCCCAAGTTCCGTCTTGTAAGCAGCGACCTCATTGCCAAGCTTCATCTACACGTGGGCGTGACACATATGCCGGCGTGCATGATAGCTCAGACATAGCTTAGGTATGCAGTTACTGACTTTTCAATTTATAGATGACCGGAACCCGGGCCTTCGCTACCGTCAATGACCCCCTCGACAAGAAGGTCGAGATGACCAACCAGGAAACTGTGAGTGGCTGCCAGCCTAGCGCCCGAGAACCAGGCGTGGAGCACGATTCCAAGCAATAGCAGCTAATATATTACATTTCAGGGTCACTACATCAACTACAAGAAGATGTCCGAGAACCTCGCTATCGTCCGTTCTCGTCTGCAGCGTCCTCTCACTTTCTCCGAGAAGGTCCTGTACTCTCACCTTGACGACCCCCACGGTCAGGACATCCAGCGTGGTGTCTCTTACCTCAAGCTGCGCCCCGACCGTGTTGCTTGCCAGGATGCCACCGCCCAGATGGCTATTCTGCAGTTCATGTCCGCTGGCATGGACCGCGTCCAGACCCCCACCACCGTCCACTGTGACCACTTGATTGAGGCCCAGATTGGAGGTGAGAAGGATCTTGCACGTGCCAACGACATCAACAAGGAGGTCTACGACTTCCTTGCTTCGTCTACCGCCAAGTACAACATCGGTTTCTGGAAGCCCGGTTCCGGTATCATTCACCAGATCGTTCTTGAGAACTACGCCTTCCCCGGTGGTCTGATCATCGGTACCGACTCCCACACCCCCAACGCCGGTGGTCTCGCTACCGCCGCTATTGGTGTCGGTGGTGCTGATGCCGTCGATGTTATGGCTGGTCTCCCTTGGGAGCTGAAGGCCCCTAACGTCATTGGTGTCCGCCTCACTGGTAAGATGTCCGGCTGGACCACTCCCAAGGATATCATCCTCAAGGTCGCCGGTCTCCTCACCGTTAAGGGTGGTACCGGTGCTATCATCGAGTACCACGGTCCCGGTGTTGACTCCCTGTCTTGCACTGGTATGGCTACCATCTGTAACATGGGTGCCGAGATTGGTGCTACCACCTCCATCTTCCCCTTCAACGACCGCATGTACGACTACCTGAAGGCCACCAAGCGTCAGCACATTGGTGACTTCTCTCGCGAGTACGCTTCCTCCCTCCGTGAGGATGAGGGCGCCCAGTACGATCAGCTCGTTGAGATCAACCTCGATGAGCTCGAGCCCTACGTCAACGGTCCCTTCACTCCCGATCTTGCCACCCCCATCTCCCAGTTCAAGGAGGCTGTCAAGACCAACAAGTGGCCCGAGGAGCTCAAGGTCGGTCTGATCGGTTCTTGCACCAACTCCTCCTACGAGGATATGTCCCGCGCTGCTTCCATCGCCCGTGACGCTCTTGACCACGGTCTCAAGTCCAAGTCTCTGTTCACCATCACCCCTGGTTCCGAGCAGATTCGCGCTACTATCGAGCGTGACGGTCAGCTCCAGACCCTCGAGGAGTACGGCGGTGTCATCCTTGCCAACGCCTGCGGACCTTGCATTGGTCAGTGGGACCGCAAGGACGTCAAGAAGGGTGAGGCCAACTCCATCATCTCCTCCTACAACCGTAACTTCACTGGCCGTAACGACGCCAACCCCGCCACCCACGCGTTCGTTGCCTCTCCCGATCTGGTCGTCGCCATGACCGTTGCCGGTACCCTCAACTTCAACCCCCTCACCGACACCCTCAAGGACAAGGATGGCAAGGAGTTCAAGCTCAAGGCTCCCTCCGGTGACGGTCTCCCCACTCGCGGCTACGATGCTGGCCGTGACACCTACCAGGCTCCTCCCGCTGACCGTTCCGCGGTCACCGTTGCTGTCTCCCCCACCTCCGATCGTCTCCAGATTCTCGCTGGTTTCCAGGCCTGGGATGGCAAGGATGCCACCGACATCCCCATTCTGATCAAGTGCAAGGGCAAGACCACCACTGACCACATCTCCATGGCTGGCCCTTGGTTGAAGTACCGTGGCCACTTGGACAACATCTCCAACAACATGTTGATCGGTGCCACCAACGAGGAGAACGGTGAGGCCAACAAGGTCAAGAACTACTTCACCAAGGAGTACGATGCCGTCCCCGCTACTGCCCGTGACTACAAGGCTCGTGGTGTCAAGTGGGTTGTCATTGGTGACTGGAACTACGGTGAGGGCTCCTCCCGTGAGCACGCCGCTCTTGAGCCCCGTCACCTCGGTGGTCTCGCCATCATCACCCGCTCCTTCGCTCGTATTCACGAGACCAACCTGAAGAAGCAGGGTATGCTTCCTCTGACCTTCAGCAATCCTGCCGACTACGACAAGATCAACCCCGAGGACAAGGTCGACCTCCTCTGCACTGAGCTCGCTGTTGGCAAGCCCATGACCCTCCGTGTCCACCCCAAGGACGGTGGCGCCGCCTTCGACATCTCTCTCAGCCACACTTTCAACGAGTCCCAGATGGAGTGGTTCCACGACGGCTCTGCCCTCAACACCATGGCCCGCAAGGCTTAAACTGCCTTCCTTTTGTCATGACTCCCCAACAATAAAACCTTCAAGTGTTTCGGTTACGACCGAGACCCTTGTGTAAACTACGTTCTCTTGTGTGTTGAACAATTCAGATACATGCTTCTGAAAACCACGGTGTGACACGGCAGCCATTGGATTGGTTGTCTATTGCCCATGTCCCTTTCGTGAGCAGACTACGAGGAGTTGCGCTCTGGGAAAAATTATGAATGAACTTGTGTTTTTGTAGGCCTGATTTCTCGGCCTTGCGTTGATTCCCGATATCTGGGTGGGCTCAATGGATATACTCTTTTTGATTTGACATCACTGTTTTTGTATGTTAGAAATGGCATGCATACACAATTTCTTTTTGTTTTCAATTTATTCCTTTCGTAGGTTGTAGATTCGTATACCAAGTATTCCAACTTTGCCGACTCGGCATAATAGACAGAGCGTGAACGTCTCACAGAAACGCCTCGGACACCTCGGACACATCAAAGGCTGAGATAAGCTTACCGAGGCACATTTTCTGCCCCGCGTTCGTTGGACTTCAGTATAAGATTCACTTGGACGCCATCAGAACATCTTATTCCGTCATAGGGTTCGGCAAGTTTGGCGCTTCGGTATCTTCTCAACTTCACCTCTGCATCTCATCACAAACCATCTATCGGCAGATTAAAGAAGCCTACCTTGAACATCTTGACTGATAAGTCAACCATCAGTTAACCATCAATTTGCACCCCTGGATCCAGATATAAATCCAGATTCTTGAGGATCTCCTACTATCTCCATCCCATCTCTCAATATGGCGACCCAGCTCGTCCAACTCCCAGAAGTGGAGCGCCTCAGCGCCTCAGTGGTGAGAATACTAGGCGGAAATCCGGGGAAGGTAAGTGCATAGATGCCATGATGTCATTAGAACATGGCAAGCTGATCAATAGGACGTAATACAACCCAGTTCACACTCCAAGGTAAGCATCAGGCTCTATCCCAACTCAGCACAAACTCTCTAACCACATGCCCAGGCACAAACACATACTTAATTGGCCGCGGCCACCAGCGAATCTTAATAGACACAGGCGAAGGCAAGCCCGCATGGGCAGCAAACCTTCAATCCGTGCTCTCAGAAGAAAAAGCAACAGTGCACCAGGCTCTCCTGACACACTGGCACCCCGACCATGTCAGCGGACTGCCAGATCTACTCAAGCTCTGTCCCGATGCTCAGATCTTCAAACATCAGCCTGATTCCGCTCAGACAGATATCCAGGAAGGTCAGGTATTCTCCGTTGAGGGTGCTACCTTGACAGCATTCCATACGCCTGGACATACCGTTGATCATATGGTGTTTATGCTCGAAGAAGAGAATGCTATGTTCACGGGTGACAGTAAGTGCAACAGTTCTTTTACTCCAAACCTGCCCTTCCCCCTACCGAATATGTACATAAAATATCTAACCCAAAATTTACAGACGTCCTAGGCCACGGCACATCCGTCTTTGAATCCCTCAAAACCTACCTTAACAGTCTCCACCGGATGCGCGACCGCGTCTCCTCAGGCCGGGGGTACCCCGGACACGGGGCGGTGATCGAGAACGCCGGCGCGCGGATCACCGAGTACATCAAGCACCGACAGCAGCGAGAAGACGAGGTCCTGCGCGTGCTCCAATTTGGTAAACTTGATGTCGCAGCTGGCGAATCCTCGCCGGAGCGCAAGCAGGCGTGGACGCCTATTGAGTTGGTCAAGCGCATTTATAGTGACGTTCCCGAGTCTTTGCATGTACCTGCTTCGCATGGTGTTTTGCAGGTGCTGATGAAGCTTGAGGATGAGGGGAGGACAGTTCTTGATTCAGACTCGGGGAAATGGAGTCTTTTGAGTGAGAGGTCGGCTTTGTGAGCTTTGTAGATTCTTTTAGTATATATAGAAATGGTGCCTATACCGTCTTTTCATCTTTCTAGCTGTAAATTTGAGAAGGATAAGAGACATACTAAATGACATTTAGAAAGACATATTAAAAGACATCTCATAGAAATCTAAAGAGATATCTCAAAAGACAGCATAGTGGTTATCTCAAAATAACATTCGACGTCAGCGCTCTGTCACTAATCATTCTGACTGGCTGGGCAGACCATGTAGTACGATCCAGCCCAATGCGGAGTCAGAATGACCGTTAAAACCTGCCTGAAATATCTCTTTTGAATCCAATCTTGTATGGAAATAGAAAGATCCTTTTTATATTTTCCCTTACCCTATGTGAGCGATATTGAGGCCCACACGTAGAGTTCCAGGAATTCCAAGAGTGACGTTCGCATCCCGGTCCCCCGCTTTGCTCTCTCACCCTTCACCTTTTTTTTCTCTTCACACTCGACTGTCTTGTTGAGTACTACTACTAGCAGTTATCTGCCTATGGAGACAGATTGCTAGTCTGGTGCTCATCCGGAGTGATATATCCACTTGTTCCAAAGGTTGGTTCATAGTCGTCATGATCTCCAAGGGTTTCCCCGCCTACGAAATTGACTCTAACCGCATGTTCTATCGGAGCTACAGGAGCCCAGCTTACTTTGCCTACAATCACAGCTCTTTATTCCGGTCTAACCCCATCATACATTTACGCCCGGCATTCGGTCCATCGCCATGCCTTCCGTCGAACCCAAGAACGAAGCTCGCCTGCTTCTGGTCTCCAACCGTCTGCCGATCACAATCAAGCGGTCTGATGATGGAAAATATGATTTCTCAATGTCTTCAGGAGGTCTGGTCAGTGGTCTGAGTGGCCTGTCAAAATCAACCACCTTCCAGTGGTACGGCTGGCCCGGTCTGGAGGTGCCCGAGCCCGAGATCCCTGTCGTGAAGCAGCGCCTCAAGGAAGAATATGGCGCTGTACCCGTTTTCATTGATGATGACCTGGCAGATCGACACTACAATGGGTTCTCCAGTCAGTTGAGAGGCTCCTCCCCGCCAACCCCCTGGAATATACACTGATGTCTCGTTCTTTCCGATAGACTCCATCCTCTGGCCCCTGTTCCATTACCACCCCGGCGAGATCACCTTCGACGAGTCCGCCTGGGAAGCCTACAAGGAAGCCAACCGTCTTTTTGCACAGGCTATCGCGAAGGAAGTGCAGGATGGCGACCTGATTTGGGTTCACGACTACCACCTGATGCTACTTCCTGAGATGCTGCGCGAGGAGATCGGCGATAGCAAGAAGAACGTGAAGATCGGTTTCTTCTTACATACACCGTTCCCTAGCAGCGAGATCTACCGAATCCTCCCCGTGCGGAATGAACTGCTCCTGGGTGTCCTGCATTGCGACCTGATCGGCTTCCACACTTATGACTACACTCGCCATTTCCTGAGCAGTTGCGCGCGTCTACTGTTAGTATACCCTACCCGGTCTGGAGGTTGTATCTAATTGGATTAGGGGTCTTGCAACTACGCCAAACGGTATTGAGTTCCAGGGCAAGATTATCACATGCGGAGCTTTCCCCATTGGTATTGACCCTGAGAAGTTCAAGGAAGGATTGAAGAAGGAGAAGGTCCAGAAGCGCATTGCCATGCTAGAGCAGAAGTTCCAGGGTGTGAAGCTGATGGTCGGCGTCGATCGCCTTGATTACATCAAGGGCGTGCCCCAGAAGTTGCACGCCCTCGAAGTCTTCCTCAGCGACCACCCAGAATGGGTTGGGAAGGTTGTGCTTGTACAAGTTGCCGTTCCCAGTCGACAGGATGTGGAAGAGTATCAGAATTTGAGGGCCGTGGTGAACGAACTGGTTGGTCGGATCAATGGAAAGTTCGGTAAGTATTCTCGATTGGTGCTCTGAGTGAACGGGGCTAATCGTCTTTCAAGGCACGGTTGAGTTCCAACCTATTCACTTCCTACACAAGTCCGTCAACTTCGACGAACTCATCGCTCTCTATGCCGTATCAGATGCCTGCATTGTCTCATCTACCCGTGACGGTATGAACCTGGTGGCCTACGAGTACATCGCCACCCAACAAAAGCGCCATGGAGTGTTGGTGCTTTCTGAATTTGCCGGCGCAGCCCAGAGTCTGAATGGCAGTATCATCGTGAACCCCTGGAATACTGAAGAACTGGCCGGTGCCTACCAAGAAGCCGTGACTATGAGTGACGAACAGAGGGCCCTTAATTTTGCCAAGTTGGACAGATACGTGTCCAAGTACACCAGGTAAGTTACCCTGTCACCCTGTCAACCAGGCGGTCTCTTCTCTCTTCTCTCGTTTCCAACTGACCATTTTCTAGCGCATTCTGGGGCCAATCCTTCGTCACCGAACTCACCCGGATATCAGCTCGCTCTGCCGATAAATTCCAATCCAAGAAATTGGCGGAAACAGATGCAAACGAAACCGATGTGCCACCCACGCCGCAAGACGCGTAATGTGTAATAATCTTGGATATTTCTCTTCCGAGACATGTTGTTCCCAGTTACCTGGTCTGCAGTCGGAACGGGTCTTTCAATGAACCTTAGATGGCCTTCACGAACATGGATGAGACGAAATGTATTTTCTTAGAGGTTTCTTATTGGTTTCTGCTTTTGCTTTTTTTCCCCATCTAAAATTTGATTCCTGTACTCCGTATACAGGTTGGGTTCCCTTCTAGACAAGACATATCAGAATTTAGCCGGGTCTAACCCGGATGAATGGTTCCTCTGAGCTATCTGGGCAGAATATGACTATGTCCCCATTTATCTGTCGAAGAGGAGACCGCGAGCATCAGCAAACAAGTGATTGTGTTACCTCCAGGAAGTGTGTATGGGCTTTCACGCGTTTGTTGTTACTTTTTTGCTTTTTTATAGAGCTTCCTCGGACTTGGTGGTTTGGCTAAGCGGGTTTAACCTTTGATGTAAACAGATCATTTCACTTACTGATCAAAATAGTCTAGTTATAACATGTCTTATTTTTGTGCAAAGTGATATTCAAGGGAAACAATGCAATCTCAAGGTCAGTCACGTTAAATGCTCATTCCAGCCTTGGAGGATACTCAATACACATTCAGGGATACCGGATGTCAATTCAGTGAGCAACCCGGATCGCTCACCCACCCTAACATTAGGCCGTGTCTTGATGGGTTTATCATCCTATTATTAATTAAGATGACTTTAATTCGACACTCGCTTCGGAAATTCTCTCCCCTTAAATATCTTTTGTCTCCAAGCTCGTCCTTTTCCCAGGCTATCAGTTGGAAATCTCCTTCGGTCAATTAGACACTGTAAAGTTTTTTACAAATAATATGAATTCCAGATACAATCTATACCTAGATATGAGGATTTTGCTATCAAATTGCCCAGTTACTCCTGAGTCCATCCAAGTCGACCTTTTATACTAGAGTGCAAACAGTGCAAACATGCTTCCCCGAGAAATTCTCGAAATCCTCAACTCCAAACACCTCAAGCTCGCAACCATTTGGGCGGTCACCATTAACACAAACCATTCGCGTGCTTGACCATCTCCCATTCCTTGTCTTCTTCAACCCCGTCCAACTTCAATTGGAAGAGCAACCGCCTGCTCCCCCACCAACAATGGCACCAAGCCACCTCCTCCGGGCAACAATGCCTCTCCGCGCCTCAATCACGACACCTCTGTCCCTGACACGCCCCTCAATCCTCCAATCAACCACATACCTCACCACGCCCCTCCGCAACGCCTCAACAACCATCCCAACCCGCACACAGCCCAAGACCACCGGCACAGAAACACAAGCGCCCTCCCGACTGCGCAACTACGCCTCCGCCCTGAAAGCCGGCACCGTGGTCTCAGTCGGCCGCATGGACCGCACAGTGCGCGTCTGCCACCGCCACACAGTCTGGGACCGACACATCCGCAAGTTCTACCCACAGGAAACGCACTACCTCGTCTCCGACCCGCGCAACTCCCTCCGCGACGGCGACATAATCGAATTCTCGTCCGGCGCTCCCAAGAGCCGAAACGTGCACCACGTCGTCGAACGTATCATCACACCTTTCGGTGAGGCGATTGCGGACCGGCCTGCTGTTCTATCGAAGGAGGAGCGTGAGGCTGAGCGTGAGACGCGCTGGGCGGCGAAGTATCTCCGTCGTGAGTCGAAGCGGCTTGGTCGGGAGGTGGATCTTGTCAAGGAGGCGGCTAAGGCGGGTGTGCCGGTGCCTCAGGGTGAGGTGCTTTCTACTGCGCAGTTGATTCACCGTATTCATGCGGAGAATGAGCGTATCGGGAAGGTTAAGAGGATTGTGCAGGAGAGATTGGCGGAGAGTGAGAGGGTTACTCAGGAGAGATTGAAGGAGGCTGAGAACTGAGCTGTTGGCTTTTACTGAAGAAGTGTACGTTTAACTCTTTTTGGGACGGGCTTCAGTTGAACTGTTGGACTTGTCCTTTGGCCTCCGTGGTGTTGCATATCGGAGGTTATGTACTGTATTATACCGCTTCAATCTATTTTCATTGGCATTGTGATATGTTGTATTCCTGGGATGGATCTTCCAACTAAAGGTAGGTCTAAAGTATGTATGAGAAAAGGAAGAAGGAGAGGAACCACCCATCAATATCAAAATACAAAAAAAAAATCAACAGTGTACATCGTAAACATGGGTTTAGCCTAGACAATACTGTCTAGTCTAATCCCCTCATCATTTGCAAACAGAAAGAAAGTCACTGGTATCACGGAAGAATAACCAACTCCTTTACCCAGAAACGGCAAACTGTGCTCATCAAATCCTGAACCCTTCAACATGTAAGCATCACCCTCGCGAGAGATGCAGTCCCCGCTCAATGACGGGAATGGATTGTATCTCAAGCTTTCGGTGTTGCCCTCATCTTCTTTCCCATTGCTCCTCGCTCGGTGCTAACTCAAATAGAAGGTCATGCTGCAAAGACCCGGACCTTGAGATCAACACTGCCAGTTGCCAGGACAC